CTTCTTCTCCTCCCTCAGACACCGTGTTTCAGTGTCCATTTCGTCCATCCGCCGCATCATCTCTGTGATGTTGCGGGCAGCCTGTTCGCCGAAATCGTAAAGTTCGACTTCGCGGGCTTCCAGGTAAACGATGCGGTTCCGCTGCGCCTCGTTCACCTTTTGAGCTTCAGCCAAGTTGTATTCCAGCTGAGCTCGGAGCTGGTGGAAGACTCCTACTGCCGTTTCCGAGGCTATCAGTGCTGTTTGCACATCGGCCAAATCCTTCTGCGCCTCTTCGAGTGCTTTGTGCGACTCGGCGAGTTCTTGGTTTAACTCGTGGACCGCATTCATAGATCGATCCAGCATACCTTTGAGTGTGGTTACTTCATCGTTGTCGTATCGACACGGTTGGTCGGTACGCTTCAGTATGGCGTTAAGTCGATCAATTTCCCGTTGTTGGGTGGCATTGCCCTTGTTAGCATCGGCCATATCTCGTTCCCATTTCCTCCGTTCGAGTTTGTGGGTGTCCTCCGAGTTCCGGAGTGATCCTTCCGCCGAGTTGACAATCCGGTCTGCCAAAAGGATCTGTGTGATCAGTTTACGGCATCTCGCACGGAGTCGGTCGATGTCGTCGATCTTTTCAGGCGGTGTAGCCGCGATCCACTTCTTCGCCGTATATTCGAGTGAGCTGGCTTGGTAGCCGAGGCGATCCTTGTTGGACTTTAGTGGTGTTGTGAAAAATCCGTCCGCACTGCTCGGTCGCGACATTTCTGTTGTGCGGAAAACTTTGTCTGTCGGTGACGGAGTGCTACCGAGTTCGCAAGGTTCGAACATCAGTGGTGACGACTTTATGTTCAGGTCGACAGGTCGACTTTGTGTCGCCTTAGTCGACTTCACCGTTTGTTGAGCATCGGTTGCTCGAGTCGACCCGCTTGCTGTTGGCGGAGGTCGCCTCAACGGCGAAATGACCCGTTGGTTGGGTGCTGGTTTGTTATTCGGCGATCCAGCTGGATGAGGGCCGCTTCGTGGCGGTACCTCGGAATCTTCCGTTCCGGTCAGTAGTTTGGTCGGCTGGACGGCCGCATCCGACTTTGTGTCGGTTGGTTGCCGTTCCGGGCTAGTCGGTTGCCTATTGCCGACTTCTTTTCGTCCATCCTCCGTGGTCGGCTTCGGTTGACCGACCTCCGTGGTCGGCTTCTGTTGACCGACCTTCGAGGTTGGCGAAATCCTTCCGACCTTTGTGGTCGGTTGGACTTTGCCGACTTCTGTTGTCAGCTGTTCTGGTCCAGTCGAGGTCGGCAACTGTTGTCCGACTTCCTTTACCGAAAGATGGTCGGCCATTTGTTGGTCGGCTTCACTAGTCGGTTGTTGTGCACCGACTTCTTTGGTCGGCGACATTCGCTCGACCTGTGTGGTCGGCGATTTGCGTCAGACTTCGTTAGTCGCCATGTCCGTGTTAGACAAGGTCGACTTCGGCGTTCCTTCCGTTCTGTTGGGTGATTGCCGCCCAAGCTCGGTGGCTTTTGTTGCCGTTACCGAGTCCTGAGCTCTGTGTGAGCTCGACTGTTGGTCGGCATGCGACAATGTGGTCTCTGCCTGCAGCTGTTCCACATCCCCCCGGTCGGGTGGGACGGGGCTGCTACGTCAGCTGGGGCTTCCAGGAATGTTTTATCCCTGGCGTCCTCGAAACTGTCATCCGAGGTTGGATTCGAGTCAGCAAGGAGAATCCGCTCGTTGCGCCTTTCCCTTGCTTTTGCCGACTTAGTCGAGTCGGTTGAGGACGGCTGACTTCTTTCCTGACCGGCGTACCGGGGCGAGTACGACACGGTCGGATTCATACGCCGGGAGTAATCCTTATTGTACTCCCGTGCATACTCGTTCTTCTTTGGGTTCGACATTGTTGTCAAACCAGGTCGGCTCTGATGGAGCCTTAAAGGTTTTTATCAGTTAGAAACAGAAAGTCGAACGATCTTCTGTGTGAAGATGTTCGATGGATTCGGGAACTTCTTTTCGGTTCAGGAACTTCCGAGTGTCAGGACCGTCCGGCTTGTTGCTGTGTCTGTTGATGACTCAGTACACAGGTATTAGTATACAGTACTATGGTACAGTACAGTACGTAATAGTAGTACAGTATGGTACGTCCTATACTACTGTGCTGACCAGTATGACGTAACAGGTTAAGTGGTCTTGCACTTTTGCCTACGTCACAGATAGCAAGCCGCGTGCAAAAGTTCCAAAAACGATGACTCACGCCTATGTTAAGCGTATGGGAAGTTTCCCCTGCACGCTGATTGGCTGACGCTAAAGTACTGAAAATCGGTCGTTCTGACGTCACAAGGAAGTTCGAAGAATTTTCGCGCTATTTCCGTAAGCGAGACAGATTATTCTTAGTCGGCCAAAAAGTTTATTTGGTCGGATTTCAAGAATCTAATCCGTTAGAAATAGGTTTTTCTATTTTTAGAATTTTTCTGGCGGTCGAAACGCCGTTAGAAATGAAAAGGAGGAAAATTTCCGACCTGTTGTCGGTTAGTTTTTGTTAGACAGTTCGTTGACCTAGCAGGTCGGTTCTCGACCAAAAGTAAAATTTTAAGTCGGATTCTCCGTTAAAATTTACTTTTTCACCGTTGGAAAATTGAAATAAGCCGTCAGAACTAGTTTTCTACGGTCAGAAAGTTAAAAGCCGACCTAGTTACGGCTAAAATCGACCTACAACCGTGACTTTACCAGTGTCGGTGTCGGTGTCGGTTCCGCTCGATTTCCTCCGTCCGAGGTCGGAAATCCGTCGTTTCCGTGCTGAAATCCGCAGTTAAAGTTGCGGGTCGGTGTTCAAACCGATGGCCCCCGTATGTTTGGAGTAATCCTGTCGCGCTGCAGACTCTCGTTCGAGTCTGATCCGTCCGTTGGGAGAAGAAAATCCGTGCGTGCGGGAAGTGAGATTCCGCTCTTCTTTTGTAGAAGAGACAAGGAACCAGGCTCACCAGCTGTGGTAGGAATCACTTCAGTGATCCCCGTTTATCCGCAGCTGTAAGACGGCAAGATCGGTCCGATCCCAGTCAAGGCAGAGGCTGCTTCAGCAGTCAATCTGGCAGTGACTGAAAAGGATTCCCTTCAAGTTCTCCGCAAGTGAAGCCTTCACCGTCTCCTCAGACAGTCCAAAGATCGAAAACCATAAGAATCTGCTACCATGTAACAGACAATGGCGAGGAGATCACGAGTGTGTCTTTATTGACAAATAAAGGCTGACAATGCTGCGTAATAGCAGTCAAGGAAGAACAAAGGCACGTCTGGCCAAATCTAGCAAGTGTCCGCTAACAGGGTTCTTGAGCGTCTGCCAAGGCGTTGAAGAATGCTGGCGGCAACCACGTGCGTGCTGCAGGCCAGATGCGTCAGCTGTGTGATGATGCGCAGACTGGACTCTATCCAACGCGAGCGTATGAACGCTGAGTAGTACTGCGAGAGAGGAACGAGAGAGCAAGTACAGCTCAGTGTGTGCGCTGCGTATATCCGCTTCAGCGGATGAGTCAGTGCAGCAGCAGCACACGTACGTACAGCGAGAGAGGCGATAGCGGCATGCAATGGGTGCAAGTACGTCCTGTGTGGACCGTACGCACCAGGCGCAGGCTGCCGCCGCTGACAATGCGTTTTGCGTGTGGAGCAATCGAATTTTCACGAACCGATTCGAAGTAAAAACGAGTTGAAAAAATTTGGCATTGCGCACCTGTGCGGTAGTTTTTGCTTGCCAGGGCCTTGTCACAGGCTCCCGGCTCCGAAAAATTTCGGTTTTTTGCAGGAAGACAGAGTTACCCCTGGGGCTTGGGTATATTTAAAAAAGTGTTTTCATCGGCCATGGTTAAATGGGCGCGGCTGAACTTAATTCCTATGCCATTCACACATGCAGCACTGTGTACTGTGAAATTTTCTGACATTAGCAGACCTCAAGCATATCCAGCTTTATCATTCCCAGCCTGGTATTGCTTTAACAATTTTTTTGGTTCGAAGTCCAAAGAGATAAGCAATAACCAATAATAACACATACCGATGGACTTATGCGAGCGATGTTTGAATGCTACGCTTACTAGTCACGCATCACCGGTAAAATGCATTTATCGTAAGACGATTTGTATGAGCGGCACCGGAGACTCGGAGAGCAGCGAAGGGATAAGGAATGAGAAATAACAGGAAATGACACTTCAACAATTTTGACTAAAAGAACTTCATAATTTTCTTACAAAATAATTGTTGTTTTAAATTTTCTACAGAGAAGCTTCGTAGTACGTTGCTAATTGCACGTATAAGAGGGAAACAATTAGCGCGATGGATCAGAATGTTTTGCACTGCTCTTCTAAAGAATGTGCAGCTGGGATGTTTTTCGCAAAGAAGATTTCGCCTTTGTCAAAATTAATTAATTAAGCAGATCAATTAACTAATTAAGCAGATCAGTTGCTAATTAAGTATCAGTTCATTTTGTGGCGCTGAATGAAACTGGAAACGTTTACTGTTGTTAGCCGACATGGCACAGTACATTTATGAATAATTAGCGCAGTGTAAACTGTAATTGTAAATTTGTAGTTTACAATTACAAAATTACCTAATGGTCTGATAACAGGTTAATTTTAATTGCTTATTTAGACGCTTATATATGTATGTGTATGTGCGTAGTAGACTGTTGTTTTCATGCTTACTGCCTGATGCCGTGATGCGTATTTGCAAAACGGAGCTGTTCACGTGGGTATTTGTAAAACGTGCCGTATCTTTCCTTCGACCAGTTAAAAACCAGATCGGTTCGGAATGTTATGAATCATAATCCTGGTCAAAACAAAACCAGACCAGAGATAAGAAAGCCAGAGGTGATTGAGGACGCGTATTGTACGGTACACTATCACGATATTCCCTTATTACATAGTACTGCATGTATTGCCACTGGAATTTAAGTTTGGCCACGTCCACTCAACCATGGCCGATGGAAATATTCTTTTATGTATGCCCAAGGGTTACTTGCAAAAAACGAAAATTTTCGGAGGCGGGAGCCGATGACATGGCCCTGGTTTATTATTTAACTTTATCGTGCGTTCAATTTACAGTGCACACACGAAGTCTTAATCAGCATTAAATTTTTATAACAAAAAAACCGGACTTTCAATGCCGCAAAATCTATATATACTCTTTCATTTGGTTAAGATAGTATAACCGAACACAACAAACTCTGTAAAAAATTACAGTACAGCAAGAGTCATATCAAACTCAAACGGAAGCCCCGTAAAACAGTGGAGCATACAAGACAGTCCGGCGTTCTTTGGGGTTATAGTAGTCATATACAACAACGCTCTGGTTCTTAATATTGTCCACTTTGTAGATTCGGTACATGGTCACAGTGAAGCACTTAGCGGACGGCATAATCTGCAAAATGAAGATAACGGGGCTTTTTGAATCAAGTAGATCTGTAGTAGCTATCACTGAACTGCAACCGCTATATTACCTCGTCAAAATACAGGTAAATCTTGGTGTCCTGGCTGTCGATTTCCGTTTTCCGTAGTGCCTCAACCGTTCGCGGGAGCTTCTTGATCTCTTCTTCATCGAACTGGTAGCCTGAAAGGGCGTTGACTTCGACAACCGCCATACTGCTAGTGCCATTTTTCAAATATCTGCAACACCTCGATCGGTAACACATTCGGAAAAAAACGATACACACGAAAACGTATAATTTGCAAAAAATAAAAGAATGTTGTACTCACGATGCACAGATGTTCAAGCGGTTTTTCTTTGTAGACGCTGTAGCGTATGTGACATTAAGGTCAAACGCCATGGTTTCTTTGGGTTCCACCACGTGATACGTCCAGCCCACGTAAGCTATGGCGACCCCACTGCCTCGGGCGTGAATCACGATATCTTCTGGTTTAGTGGGAAACTCAAACGATTGAGTTACTAAAGATGTTTCAGGAGTAACGCTTAAACCGTTTTTCTGGATTCCATCGGTAACATCGAGTTGCAGAGATGCCGGGGTGCTAAATACTACTGCGAATTCTGCTAACGCTTTAAGCGCTACGACGGTATCCTGAAAAGTAAGAAACGACAAGCTTACAGTAGTGCGAAAGAGCAGTTTTTGTGCGTTGTATACGTACCGCTGTTGAATAGAAGCCACCTTCCACATTCTGTTTGGATATGAGCCAGTTAACAATTTTCAACGATGTATTGAATTTTCCGTTGGCCATGTATGCTAGTAAAGCATAAGCGGTGGCTTCCACATCTTTCGCATTGAGTGAATACGAATGCCCGGAATCTTGACCTTCATCATTATTCGATGGGACGGTTGTCCAGTGGACTGTGGTAACGTTGGTCACCATTCGATCGTTAAGAAAACCAATCGCGTCAGCTGCTTTTGAACTGTTCGCTTTGGTCAGTGCGTACGCTGTAATCGCTAATGCGTATGAATCGTTCTTCACATTGTCCAACTGCGATTCCAAATATGTCACCGCTTTCGGTAGCGAAGAATTCATTTTGGCGAGGTCAGGTCTGCCAGTGCTGTTGTACTGCAGAAACGAAAGAAGTGTGAAAGCAGCCAATGAGACACCTTTAGAAGCGCCGCCTTGGTTATGTTTGTCGATGACCTTGCCACTTTCTTCGAACGATCCGTTTTCCAGCTGCTGATCGATGAGGAAACGCAGTGCCCTCCGAATAATCGTGTCGTCAATGATGGGAACGAATTCAGCAGCTTCAGCAAAGACTCGTGCGACATAAGCAGTTAGCCATGTGGAGCCATTGAGGTCAGACTGTCCCCAGGCGCTGAACGAATTATCATCGCGCCGGTACGTTAACTCCCGTTGGTATCCACTTTGGATATTTCTCAACAGTTGCTGACGCTGTGAAGCTGACAGTTTGTTGACCTTTTCCAGGTATTTCAACACCGCAAAATTGGGCGTCAGTATTGCCATGTTCTGTTCACCACACCCATACGGAAGCCGGATAAGTCTGTCGAGATTATTTAGCGAAGCGCCTAAAAGGTCACCAACGACGCGAACTTCCACTTTATCGGAGCCGGCAACTTTTCCAATGGGATCTGTCGGCATCGGTACGACCATGTCGAACTCGCTAAAATTGCGTAAATCAATTAGGATCGGTTGAGTGAAGAACTGTTTGATCCCTTCCGGCTTTACTGGCAAATTCTTTTCTAGTTGATCCGCGGCGAATTTGGATTGCGCTGTGACTTTGAGATTCAGGTCACCAATCTGTTCGGGTATGATGACAAATGTCGCCGTAGCGGCTTCATTCGGCACAGACAACACTTTCTTCGAGTACGTCGCTGTAGTATTGTCCGGATTTCGCAGCTTTAAGGTGACCGTAACGTTTTGCTGCATTGACATGTAGTTAAAGACAAGCACTTCGGCTGTAAGGTTTTCCAAGCGGACCACGCTGAACGGTAGGTTGAGCGTTACGAAAAATGGTTGGAAGACTTTTATCTGCAATAGTAGAGTTTAATGTGATTTGCCGGTTTTAACCACACTGATAATTAATAAGTGCACCTTAACTGGCTCCGTGGAGACTCTTAGTCCGCTGGTATTGCTCAGACTGAACGCCGAGATTCGCCATGTTGTGATGGCATCTGGCACTTTACGCTCCAAGGTGACATCGCCGTTTGCGCTAACAGTAACAATATCCATTACTGCATCACAGTGATTATTAAAGCGAGCCACAATAAAATTGCTCACTTACTCTGCCCAAGCTGTCTCAAAAAGGAAACTTTGACGGAAGTCTTTGCGGGTTTGAGCCGGTTGCTGTAAGCCGGAGTCAGAGGGAGAAGCTGATCCGTAACCGCTATTGTACGATGATGATCCGTAACTTGCGTAGGAATCGTATCCTCCAACTCCACCTCCACCACCCCCGCCACCGTTCATACCGAATCCGAAACCTTTATTGTATCCAAAACTGGACGTATAATAATCTTGGAGACGTGGAATTGGTGTCGTGGACAGCTTGGTGTTCGTCAGCAGAAATTGCTGTACACGACCGGAATCGATTGCTTTCTGCAATTTGCAATAGAAGCCGTTACGATAATCTTCAACTATTTTACGTACTGAACTATTTTTGTAGGTCAAAATGCATGTTTGCCTTTGTCTATCAACAATTTGCTACAGGAGAAAAGCAAACTTTCTGGTAATACAGTGTTAGGCAGGTTGCACTACGTCATACATTACCGTAAAGTAATCTTCCACGGACTGCATATCACCAGGCTGCTGGATTTGTTGTCTGGGTTTCGGCTTGGTATCAAGCTAGAAAAACCAGCACGTTAAAATCCGAGCTGTGGGATCTGTTCCAGTGAAATGCGAGATACTTACAACATTTTGAGTAATATCGTTGCCAGATTTCAGGAGCAGTAGGCTTTCGTCCATTGCAAGAAATGCCATGAACGATGAAGGACTACTGTGAGCTTGTATGGAGATCTCCGCAGCCGCTTCCGCATAGGATAAACCGCTTTTGGCTTGTGCTGCGAGGGTGACCTACGAGCACCAACATAAGTCAGTACCGGTAAATCGTTAATAATATTAATAATTTTGTGTACAATTCTCCAGTTGCACCTACATTTTCGGCCGTATCCTTGACAAGCGTAAGTGCCTTAATATTCCCCACAAGTTCACCGTCACCTCCCACATAGTACGCAATGAGTCGTCCCGATGCGCCCATCGCAGCGGCAATCGGCACGGACACTTTAACAAACTGACCGGATCTTGAAATCGAATCGCTCCATAAGAAAGTGGCATTGGAACTTGAAAGAACCTAAGAAGATCACAATACTCGTCTGGTTGAACTTTACTGAAATATCCTTTTCGGAAGCTTACCACGATGTGAATAGGTTGATCGGTTCTTGTCGTAGTGTTAATGGCAAACTCGGCCACTTTGTCAGCACGAAGACCGTTCGTGACCTTGTTGATTTCAAGGAAACTGCCGCTCGGAGATTGTTTGGCGAAAAGATATAGCCCTTCCGATGTCCCCTGATACCACATGGCTATCGCCATTACCGTCGCGTTCTTGGCAGTCGGATAACTGATGTTAATGGTTCCATCAGCGGCCACTTCCACTAACTTCTGATCGGGAACAGGGAAGCAACCCGACTCGTAATAACTGGAGCTGGAGGAGTAGCCCATGGGCATACCAAAGCCGGTGCTTCGTTTCTTTCTTCCGTAACCGCCGCCACCGCCACCGTATCCACCGCCACCACCACCACCGAGACCGCCACTGAAACCGCCTCCGTTCATCCCAAAACCAAAGATGCGGTCATAACGGTTACCGCCACTACCGTAACTACTGCCACCAAAAGGAGACGCGTATGGCTGTCCGCGGCAACTTACAGCACCGGACAGCGATACAGGCTTTGCGCGCCAATCAGAATACGAATAAGCCATCACACCCACTATGGCTTTCTTGGTGCTGGGAGGTGGCGGACGGCCGTCCCAGTCGGTGATAGTTGCCTTGATCGTGTACGGGTATCCAGGCATGAATGTCTTTGTGTCCGCCTGGATTCGAATTTTGTACGCTTCGGTTTTGACGGATACTGTAGCGGGCGTAGCGTTCCGCTTCTGACCGGTGGCGGCTTCCGTAAAATGTACTCGAATAATTATTTTTGATGCATCCGTGAGGTTGGCAAGGAGTTCCGCTGGAACGGAAACGGTCCCTGTTCCGCTTTTGTCCTGTAGAATTTCAAGAGCTTTCATTATCTGTTGGTCACCTTTAGCAAAGCGTGGTCATACCGCAGAAATAGTCTGGTTCCACACCGGATCGTACAGATCCCTCTCCTCGGAGCCTCCTGCATAACCAAATGCACGGCGCGGACGAAGTACCGCAATGTCGAAAGCGCCCTTTGCAGGCTCTCCAAATGTATAACTACAAAATTTAATACCCTATTTAAAAGAAATGCCAAATGTTTGTCAAAACGTATTAGACAGTGTTCATACTTCGCCACGACCTGGAAACGGAAATCCTCCTCCATCCGTGGGACGATGTAGCTCTTCGATGTTATAATTCTGACATCAAATCGCGGCACAACTGCAGAAAATTAAATCATCTTTCAACGGTTGTCAATTGTCACGTTAGACCAACTGAATATCCACGGAATGAAACTGTAGCTACCGAATTCTTCAACGGAGAAGTCTTTACTAGCCAAAACCGAATCCATCTGGGATCCGGTAGGCTTGCAGTCGTTTTCATCGTCGTCACTGCTTCTTTTCTTCCTGTCATCATCACTGTTATCGCCGCCACCGTAGCTGCTACCGCCGTAGCTGCCACCACCGTAACCGCCACCACCGTAACCGCCACCACCGTAACCACCACTACCGTAACTACCGCTGCTATAACTACTACTGGTGGTGGCGCTGGAGTAGTCGGGGCAAGTTGCTTTGACCTACAAGCAGAAAAAAATATGTTTTTTATCTGATCTACACGCTGCATCGGTTGGTTTTCGTACGCTTGTGTTTCTGTCGGCTGCGCGGACAACCCGCACTGTCCAGCTGCCTAACAGCGGATCCGACGACAACGGCATTTCCCCAGAAAAGTATCCGACAACTGGCAAAACAAATACAAAATACATAAAACTGATAGTTCGGTTGTGGCAGAATTTCTTTTTGACTACCAACCTTGCGAGTCATCTGCGTTACTGTTCAGTTGCACAATATTGCGTTGTGGATCCTGAAGATCCAAAAAAACATTTAAAACTTTTTGATACCCAGGACAGAATGTTTTAAAAAAGGTAATAATTTTACCAGAATCTGCACGTTAAAAGGCACGAACAGTGGTCGCAGTTGGCCGTCCACCGATTCCACCGATACGACTCGGAAGCGCACCGTGTCTTTGGCCTTGTACAGCGGCTGATCAGTCTGTATGAAAATAACCGGTTTCCGCTTGGTCTTGGATTTCTTCTTTATCTTCGTGGCCTCGCTGTTGTCGATACCAATTGGAGAAAACCCGGAACGAAACGAGTCGGACAAATCAGATCCGTTAAGGACAAACATCAAAGTTTCTTTAGCCATGCGGGAAAGGTCACCCACCTGTTGCAAAACACAACTATAATTATTTTATTTACTGATTTTGTGTAAATACTTACTAAAATACAGTACGTACTATTTTACTAAATGATGTACTGGAAGATTAATTTAGCAAACACTAACTGTACTGTGAAATAATAATACAGATGAAGTCGTTCAGGTACGCACACTGATCTCCAGGTGAGCCAGTTTATTGGCTTGGATAACGGCCGACGCATTGTACACCAGGAATCTATCGTCGCCTTTCAGAAAGGAAGGGGCGAAAGGCAGCATATACGAGTAGTCAGGACCGTAACTACCACCATAATTAGAACTCCCATACGACGTGGAAAGCCTTCCTATCAGGGCCAGATCAATGCGCACGTCCGAGGTGGCATTTTGCACCAGAATGGATACGGGAAATGAACTGTTAGACCGCGCGCTGTTCAATCCAAACACCACATAATCAAGGCTTTTTACACTGCCGGTCGTTAAAACCAGCATAAGAGCTGGGAGAGAGATATGCAGAAACTGCATGATAGCAAACAAGGAGCACGCCAGCCTAAGAAATATTTTGCCGGCCAAAATTTATGGGAACCGTTATGGTATTATCACCATGCATCAGAGTGTTGAGAAAAAATCACTCACGCAAATAAACACTGTAAATTTAATTTTTAAATGTTTACTAGTCAGTGCGCATTACTGGCGCAATATTGTGGTTGCAAATGCTGTGCAATACCACGTTGATAGCTTCTTTTGAGTAGCCGGAAAGACTGTCGGCACGACTTACTATTTAATGAATGTCAGATGTTGAGAACAACGTACTGTACACTGTTCTTCATGGTTCCGCTTACTGAATAGTAAAATGTTTAGTTCGTAGGCAGAAAATTTGCCAGAAAAACCAGTTAGGGTTAATAATCGGAGAGAGCTAACCAATCAAAACACCGAGTGTAACCGGCATCTTTCCCTCATCGATGACTGTCCGTTGTGATCAATATTTTGACACCGGCATGGAACCCGTTAGAATGCCGCAGGATACGGATCTCATACGCAGATGCGCAGCATCATGCCAGCCTGCTGTACAATAAAGCCACGATCAGCCACCTCAAGATCCGCTTCTACGGACAGATTACTGCAATTTTCTAGTTTCGAAGCAATGAACAAAAAAATGCATACAAAAAAGTCAAAAGGCTATAAAAACATAGCAGTCGATTCCTAAAAAAGAAAAACATGGATGAAGTTGGCATTTATTCTGTCGCTGTGATTAACTGCACTGCTTAATTGCTCTGCAATCTAAGTACTAATTTATTATTTTCGGTTAGCGGAAATAATAATACCTACACACGGAGGTTTAGGTTACTAAATTCAGCAAAAACAGCCTCGACTGGTTGCTGTAAATTTTTACAATAGATTCGATGCTGCCACATGTTAAGCTGTCAATAACTAGCGAAAATTAACTCCAAATTATTTTACATTCATACCTCTTTGTAAGACACACGTATAGGTTTTGCACTTAGATAGTTACCCTAAAATAAGTACTGTTTTTTGCTTTTGGTTGACACACATATATACAGAAATGTGAAATCCAAAAAATTACTGAATCATAAACCAATACAAACAATAGCCGAACTGGAACGCTGATTAAGGAAATTAGCAAAGCGCGTGTCCGCAATAAACTTACAAATTTTCCGGTTCATATGGCGTACAATTTCGCTTAATAATTATAGTCGGTCCAAGCAATATCCGTTTTTTAAAAAAGAAAATCTTTGACGTTAGGAATTCTCTGCCAAATGGCGGCGCTTCCTAACTTCCTCAAACCTCCCCTTACATCGGACTCTGGTGCTGTGCTTCCTATGCACAACTCGCTTGCCCCATGTTACTGGTATTGCTCGGCGGCAGATTGGAGGTCAACATCAAGATGTCGGTTCTTTGTCTGTCGCTTTGTCATAAACCCAGTTTCTTTTTTCCAACTGCCCTGGAAAACCTAAATTCTGCGGGCGTGCATTTAGCTAAGCTCCAGAATCTCTACTAAAGGTGACCAGCAGTTGTAATACGTACTGTAATTGATAACATCCGTGATTCCGCCACCATCCAGTGAGACAGCGGAAAGTTATGTCAACATGGGCAGCAACTAATGTTTAAGCAAATGTCTGCATAAAACTTAGATGATGTGTGCGATAAGATGTTGACATCGCTCCCACAGAAAAGTCGTGCAGACATCACCATGTCCCTTTTTCTTACCAATTACATACAAGTATAAGTAGCAGAAAAGCATCCCGGCTGTTCAGCAATGGGATGCGCAAAAACCAGTTGAACTGCAAGCACAAGAACTTTTATCACCTATGGCACATTTCGTACACGACTATTTTTTGGGTCCACGTTATTAGCTTGCAGCCCCGTAGACCACCGTAGCGTGCGTAGTCACCCGCAGTACCTGTCTGTAGTCAAGGTCATCCTCTTTAACTACATGCAGCATTTGCAGTCCCCGGAAGATTCTATAGCCTGTGCAGTTAACTGGAGTCCTTGTAGTCTGTGCAGGCAGTGTAGTTACTGCTAGTTAGATTATTATTTGTATTATGCTTAACATATATCATTGTAATAACAAGCAGTAAATGTAAAATATCGGGTACCTAACGAAAACCCGGCACCATAAAATTTATGGGTCTGTGTAAAATAAAATTCTTCTATTTAATAAAGTAAGTTTTTGCATCTAATAAAAAAAGTTATTTGACACAGAACAATCCGGGAACGGCCACCGCTAACCAACAATATTTTTTTATACCAGCTGTGAATTTCTTGTTCATGTTTACATCAATTTATTTGACTACGTTTCGAAATTTTGAGTAGCTTTTTGCGAACCGTATATCGCACCGCTGTACACAGAGTTTGCTTTGACAGCAGACGTCGCTTTCGGAAGTCCAAAAAGCGATCCGGAAATCTCGCACTAATTTTGCAGTGTTACCATTGCCGCAATGTTTTCTGCAATTTTCCCAGTACTGTGCTATTTCTCATCAACCGGTCAAATCTACTCTGAATTTTGAACAACCGGGCACCATGCTCTTTCTGTTCTCTCTTCCTTCCTCTCATTCTGAAACCGAACATACTCTGCAGCCGCAAAACTTGTTTAGGTGTGAATTCAAAATTTACGTTACTGAAACTTGTATCAGGCTCCTACCATGTAAAATGCCACATGGAGGCTGGTGACCGGTTTTTCAGAACGTGATAAATAAGAGTGACCAGTTGTCAAAGAATGCCGAAGTATCGCAGATACCGAAGTCTATATCGAACTAAGAATTGTGAACCGGACACGAGTGCAAACAGTTCATCTATGGTTGTTCGAGGACATCGAATGGACGTGCAAGATCAGTCACCAGCGCTAGATTCTCAATGGTTTCCTTGTTACAATAACAGCCCTCGGGCTGATCCTGTTTAGCGCATTGCCACCTGTCGCGTGTTCTTCTTCTATTGTACCGGCACATGTTACAAAGCGTATATGTACGCCGAAGTTGTTGTGCTGTGCTGTTGGCTTCACTCAGCATTTGCGTTGGCTCAATATCGCGTTCATTAATGTGTTGCTACTCATGTATCTTTTACCATGGTGGGAGAGCGAAGTGGGCATGTGGAAGTTCTCGGCTGGAAATCGGTGAAGCTCCGGCTGCGCACCTGGTGTGTACGCGCTTGCGCACCTGGTATGTGCGCGCCTGCGCACCTGCCGGTGTGCGCGCTTGCCGGTTTCCTTTCCCTGCACCTCAAACCCCCTTTATTTGGCTTTAGACAAAAAACAGAACACAAAACAAGTCGGGTGTGGCGGGTGGTAAAGAAAAGTTTGCAACTGCACGCTAGCTTGGCAAAACTGAAATGAGCTGCGGTGCAAGCAGCGATGAACTCTAACACCGATCGGTGCCATGCTGGCGCTGGGAAAACAGGATGTGGGCGTAAAATGAAAAACAGAACAGACAGCACAACACTCGTACGCCACATTAATAACAATTAAAACATTTTTAATTGGACATTAACCTGTACCAGTCATACAACGTTAAAACGTTTTAGGTAACCGGAGCTTAGTTGCCTGTTGCAATCAGCAAGCCTTATACTTAATTTTGTAGAACTATCGCTGTATCATTTGTTACAGTTTGTCGACTGATCACAATTGCACTCATGAGCCAAACGTTTAGAATTTGCACCATCGGGAGCATTTGATTAAGACAACCAATAATTCTCTGGCTATTAATAATTTTTGTTTGCGGGGTTGCTTTGTATAGTTGACAGCATGCCCTCCCGGCTCATCTCTGGGCTATTGCTGCTGGCCGGCGCTGCAAATGCGCTGAATTATGTGATTTTCGGCTTGAACTCTGTGCGATCGAACAGTGTATTTCCGGTGTCAGTTTTGGTTGTTAACACAACATCCGATGTGCACGTTAATATGACGCTACTCGGTTATCGTTCTGGGTCATCTGTCAATGCCAATTCCACTGATCCGTCTCGTCATTTTGATTTTGATCCTGAAGGCAGCGGTTTGTCGTTTACGACATCAGCTGTTATCCAAGCTGACGTTCTTACGCGGGTCGATATAAAAGTACGTAAGCAGGAACTGGTTTTATGAACTGTACATGAAGGTCCAAGCGTACAATACACAGATCCGCAAGTTATGATACTTCTCTGAATATGCATGGAATTGTGCTTTAACCGACTAGAGCGCAGATCTTTTAATTTTAGTGGCTACCAGCTGCAGACGGCTTATAAGAACTCTTTGAAAAATACTGTTGTAATATTTACGTAAATGCAGATTAATTTTATAAAAGATCAAATTTTCGAATCGTTTTTAATTTCGACCGGAGCGCAGCGTCAGTCTTTGATTCAACGGAAGCGATTAAAAGCAATCAGGCGATTGCACTGCATTTAAGATCGTATTGCTGTACCCATGCGTTTTTTCCAAAGGTTGGTGACTTCTCGGGCCTCGCAACGCCAGTTGCACGGTTAATCGTCAGTATTTCCGACTCGACGTACTCTTTCACGGGTTATGTGGCACCAGTGGCGTTAGACAACGCAACCACGGAAAAGAAGGACGCGCCTGTAAAGCGCACTGGCGAACCCCTGTTCCAGATACAAATGGACCAGCCATACTATAAAGCCAAAGATATGGTCCGGTTTCGCGTATTGACAGTGGAATCTGTGGAGGATAAACTACAGCCACTGTTCGTTCCATTTATTGTGCAAATTTTGGTAGGTCACCGACTCACTGTTAGCTTTTGCTGTGCGTGTATCCTGTGAAACCTTACAGCTCACTGCTAGCATTCTTTATTGGTTGCAGGACACACAGCGTAATGTAGTGAAGGAGTTCAATAACCCCAACAATTCCGAAGGTAAGCTTAGAAAAAAGTAAAGCTGTTAAGGGCAGAGGACTGGTCTAAAGACATAAACTAACTTGCTTGCGCACGTATTATAGCAGTGGGTTACTTCGCTGGAGAGATGCCGCTGTCGTCGAATCCATTGTACGGCACGTGGACAATCCGCGTGGTCAATGCTTCCTGTGATGAAGTAAACGCATGTGAGAAAGATGTTCTGGCCAACAAAGATTTCTTCGTTGTGGAAGCCGGTAAAACGTTAACTCGTAACACTGTCTGTACTTACTGGTTCCACAAGGTATAGACTTAGAGTGTTTCAGCCGTGACGGACTGATTTATGCCATAATAACGAGTCGATGATTGCAGCGACTCCAAGGTTTGCTGTCAAGATTGCTACTAACAAAACCTACATCGTCCCGTCGGTTGACGAAGAAATCCGATTTCAGCTCACAGCGAAGTACTTTCAAAAACCGGTACATAAATACGTACGTCAGAATTGCGGTAACACGTGTTTTTTTGTGCAGCTACACATCTGGAGACCCTGTCACAGGGATCTTTGACGTTGCCGTGACCTTTAAGAGATGGTTTGGCCCATATGTGGACGGCTACGGAAAAACTGAGACGACACTAATACGCAAGTCGATATCGACGGTAACGCCGCTACTTTCCTTAACATTAAAAAATTAAATTTTTTGACGCGCGGAACGGTTCTAGCATAACAACGGAGCAGTGACTGTTTCCGTTCCACTAAAAGGAGCGCTAAACAACACCCGACCGTATTACCACAACGCAGTGATAATTCAAGTAAATTTTACCGAAGCGACTACCGGTCTCAAGAAAAACGCTACGTCGGCTGTCATACCCATACAAACTGGACCGTATTATGCTAAATTTAAACCAGATACCGGAACGTTTATGCCCGGTTATCCCTACCTTTTGAAGGCGGTCATAACGGATAACGAAGGACGTCCACCACCCTCAGGCCGAAAGGCACTGATTATTGCAACATCGGCCAATGTCTCAGCATGGCAGTGGCAGATTGTTTCTCTCCACGGCGATGCGGCCTGCTTAAAGCTGTCTTTTTCGAGTCTATACGGTTCTCAGTATCCGGACGGTTACTCGCATTGGAGCCAATATGGAGCTGTCTTCGGTCTTCAGCCCATTAAGCTTGGCTTCGGCTTTGGGATGAATGCAGGAGGTCTCTTTAATAGCGGCTCAAAAGGATACAACAGGAAAAAGCGCGACCTGGGTCCTTTCTTACAACACCGTTCCACCACCTGTCACTACCTCCCGACTATTCTATCAGCCGACGTGGCTGCCGATGGAACACTGAACATCAGTATACCAACGCCAAAAACAGCCGATGCCATGAATATTGAGGTCTCTTATGATTTTCACTCACCGCAGACCAGGATGGTCTACGCAAGGGAGTCCGCCAGCGGCAGTTTCTTAGATATTACTCCGGCTTCTGTCGATCTGTTTGCCGGCCAAGTGGCAGAGTTTGTTATTGACACAACGACACGACTGGACGAGGTTATTCATATCGTGGTACGCCTGTAATGACGGTACACCATTGAATATACTTCTCTTCTCTTTAAGCCGTCTTACTGCAGTGTTTTTAGGTGTTGTCTAGTTCGAATGCAGGCTTCCTATGGAGCGATACGGTTTTTACGCCTGGCCAGCGGGTTATTATCTCTGTGCCGCTTGGGAATGCGATCGGCCCTGCGGGTCGTCTTATTGCGTATTATGTCAGGCAGGACGGCGAAATCGTAGGCAATATCATGCCACTACAAATTTCAGCTGATCTTTCGGGAAAAGAAGTAAGTGATACTTCAGTCCAAGAAAATCTCACTGATATTTGGTACGAAACATGTGGTACAAAGAATCCTTTTTCTTGATTAAATCAACAATCGGGGTCCTTCGTACAAGATCTCAAACATATCGTGCAAAAGATTGTTAGGCGTGTAGCGCATGACGGTTCTGGTTAGGCCTAGCTGTAACGGAGAATCTGTTGTTACGCTAATAACCTAGTTGTGGCCTCGCTCGGCGTTAGAGCAGCAAGTACTGGGCTGCATTCCCAGATCGGCAGATTTTTGCTAGTTGTCCGCAAGTGACGGTCAGCCTAGCAATACGCCAGTAAGATGCAGAACGAAAGCATAATTCAAGTATTCGAACAACACACTCAAAAGTCTCAGACAGATAACATATTATACGCACTTTGTATAATTGTTTATTCCCGTCAAAACCAACTTACGGCATTTTATAAATAGGTAACGTTGTCCGTAACATCCAAGAACGATCTATCATCTGTTCAACCAGGCGAAAAGGTTATCGTAAAAGCAAAGACTGCTCCACTGTCTTTGGTAGCCTTCTTGGCCAAGGAGGAAAGCCGGACATTGCTGAAGACGGACGGCGAGATATCAACGACCATTGTAAGCCGCTGCAAAGTCAATAATGATTAATATTTATCACCACACATTATGTATTTCTATGGATTTAAATAATCTGTTTTTTATGCAGATCCGCAAAGCTCATTTGAGCCAAAAGCCTAGTCGCCGGCTTTCGATAGCAGATTATTTTACGGTACGCCAATTGTTCCAAGTGTTTGACTGGGTATTTTAATTTTCTGTATTACTGAAATGTCGGTCAGCCAAAAAACGCGGTATATAGACGAGAGCTCTTGCATCTCCGATACCGCACTAGCCTTACATGCAAATGCCATACTCTGAGCTCGCGGTTGAAAGCAGAACTGACCGTCTTTGCAGAAACCACTTGATGCCGGCAGAGTGCAACACTGACCAACACTAAAAGTTCCGCGTCCGATCCCGGGATCGATGTACTAGTAGAGCCTCGCGCTAGCTGTTTTTGTCCCGATGCAGAATTTCGCTACGGGTTTCGCATCAACAATGATCATCATGAGGACTCGCAGTGCTCATACTACTGTCAGTACGAGGGAGATAAAAGTGCTGACGCTGATGGAGCAGAAGCCACCTCGTTCTTCGGCAATCCCACATCGCAGCTGCCTCTGTTGACGCGAAAACAGTTTTCCCAAAGCTTTCTTTTCAAAACTGCTATGGCAGAGTGAGCATACCTTTTTTTTGTTAGGCAGTTATAAGGAACATACAGTTTAAAAAATACTGCGTCCTCGCAATATATTCGTACTTATGTTTCGGGGTCACTGTGATAGCACACGCATTATTCAGATTAGAACTTCTTAAAATTTTGCTGCTTTTTAGCGCAAACGGAGATGTCGTTTTGGAGCGCAAAGTGCCGGATGCACTGACAACATGGGATATTTGGGCGTTCAGCTTTAGCAGCACTGACGGATTAACTGCGGCAATAAAACCCATCAAGGTCTGCGGAAAATTTGCTTTATGTCAACCTTAGGCAGACGCGCAGCGCATGATTAAATTTCTGGCTTTTATGTTTTAGCTAAAGGTTTTCAAGTCGTTACTTGCCTCCCTAGAAATACCATACAGCGTTATCCGCCACGAAAATTTCACTGCTGAAGTTTTCATTTCTAACTACTTGCCGCATCAACAAGATGTGACAGTTAACTTAACCATCCGCAGTCCGGACAACACAGTGATAACCTTTACAAAGAACATTATTTCTGAGCCGAATGGTACGGTAACGGCGGAATTTACGATAATTCCGGAGGAAATTGGTGACTGGGAACTCGAGGTCACAGTTCAATCTGCACTCGGCTCGCATCAGTTGAATAAAATTTTGCTCGTTAAGTCAGAAGGAGTCACGCAGTCCTATAGCCAACCTATCCTCGTCGATCTCCACAAATCAAATGTTTTTGATACAACGATCCAGTTGCCGATAGATCCAGTTGATAAGGTCACAGGTTCCGAGAAAGTGACAGTTGACGTTGTTGGAGACATTCTCGGAGTTTCCATCCGTAATGTGGAAAAACTGATCCGGCTCCGGCTGCCGACTGGGTTCTGTGAGCCAAACATGGCGATGGTAGCGTCCAGCGTTGCAATGTTAAAATATTTGAGAAATATCAACCAAAAATTGCCTCAAAAGGAGAAAGACTTGGTAAGCATCATTCAGCTGGGTTACCAAAGAGCGCTAACGTATCTGCGCAGTGATCATTCGTTCAGTATGTGGGGAACGTCTGACACTAATGGCTCTACATGGTTAACTGCTTACGTGACCAGAGTTTTCGCCGAAACACCGGAACTGCTACCAAACAGCAGCGCTACAGTTATGAAAAAAGCGGTACAATTTTTACTGGATCAGCAAAACCACGATGGCTCCTTTCGAGAAAGCGGAAAAGCCATCGACAGTTATATCGAAAGCGGCGAATCCAAACAAGTGCCCTTGACAGCATTTACGGTTCTGTCGTTCACGAAATATATTAAGACAGGAAAGGCTGGCACAGAGAAATCGGACGCTTCGCTCCAGAAAGCAGTCGCTTATTTGGAATCAAAACTGGGCAATATAAAGAGTGACACGTACGCTTTGGCGATAACAGCATACGCATTGGCGCAAGCTAACAGTTCAAAAAAGTTAGACGCTTTGGGTCGGTTGCAAGATGCAGTGGTCCAGGATGCTTCTACTGCGCACTGGAAAACTCTTGAGTCAATCAACGATGACCGGGAAGACATCGGCTATTCGTATTCCGCCCATGCCAAAGATGTGGAAGCCACAGCGTACGCATTGCTAGCGTGCATGGCAAACGGCTGCAACTGGAATATGTCACTCAAAATCGCTTCCTGGTTGATTTCAAAACAAAATACTGAAGACGGATTCTTTTCCACGGCGGTAAGTACAATATTCTCTTCTCATTACTTGTTATCTAGAGAACCACTCCGCTGTGGTTTGCTGTCGATAGGTGTTTTTAAAACTGTGAATATTTCAGCTTAGAGAAGTGGCCTCTATCCTAATGCTAATGTTGAGACTTGAGAATTCCAAACCTCGTAGGTTAATTTTCAGTATTCTTGAGGGTCTCTAGAAGAGGGACCTCTGAAAAAAATGCCTTTCCTGGATCGTTGTAGCAACAGCAATGAAACCTGCTCAGTTTACGAAATTCCAGCGCTGAAGGTTTTTTAGGATACAGCAGCTGCATTGACGGCGTTAGCCGAATTTGCCCAGTCATTCACGGCTGCTCCGTCAATTCAAATCGATATCATGGATGCCATTCAAAAGAGGGATGTGACGATCTTCCCAGAAACAGCGATGGCTGTGCATTCCGTGGAACTTGCACAGAAACCCACAAATATTGCGATTCATGCCAGAGGAAGCGGGTTGGCTGTCGCGTACGTAAGCTGGACGTACAACGTACTGCGACCGATAGAGGGCTGGACGTTTGACCTCAATGTCACTTCATCCCGTACTGAATCCGCCAAGGCTTGTCATTTAAGCATTTGCGCCAGGTGAGCCGTTTTGTGGTCAGTTGAGAGAACGTTCAAATGAGGCTTACATATACGAACCCGGTTTGCATGTCAACAGTTAGCATGTTTTTACGCAGACACTGGCAAGAAGGTGCAAGCAGCATAACCGTTATGGAGGTCACCGCCCTGTGCGGTTATCAGTTTGAGGAAGAAGAGGTCGACCAGCTGTTGCCCGCAGTCAAGTCAGTGCGGAAAAGCGAGCTGGACAGCAAGGGCAGCCAGCTGAATTTGTATTTCGACGAGGTAAGTATATATTTTTGCGGTTGGTGGAAGGTGTTCAGTCGAATATCACGATATACAAAGTAGAACTGATTCCGCGCTGTTTTTGCTCGTAGATGACGTCGACTGCCATCTGCTTCAATTTGACCATGTATCAGTCTTATAAAGTGGAGAATTTGAAAGCGCGAAGCGTAGTAATCTATGATTATTATAATCCCAAAGACCGACGAGCGGTTTTTTATACCCCGTTATAAATGATACTCAAAGCTGACCATCTACAGATAGCTACATAACGTAGCTTTGGCATTTACAATACTTTGAATGGTAGCGGTACAGCCGTTCTCCTGGGTGTGAATAACGATAAAAAATAGTATTACTGTATATTTATGGCAGCATATGCATTAGTCCATAATACAGTATACGTGAATATTCAATCATCTTAAAATGGCGTGTTTTGCCAGATTCCAAAAGAACATGACTGTATTTGGCGATATCTTACCAGAATAAAAAAAATAGCAAATAAAGTATGTACTGTATAACCTAAACTTGTACACTTACATTTTAGTAGTTCTGCACTAGTTTTTCGCATATCGCCAAAGTATGCAATAAAAAGCTACACTATTAATATTTCTCCGATGCACAAAGATCTTACAACAGCTGACTTGTGAGCTGCTTCGGGTCAGTCCACCGGTATACGACAAAGGCAAATTGCAGTGGAATTAGTCTTCCACTTAAACACCATCCGGAACTTCCGGAGAATCAAATCTCCAATGAATTGTGCAAACTGTATCGATCCCTTCGATATGAGTACTTGAAAGAAGAGTGTTATTACATAAAAGATTTGACGATGATTCCCGGTCAGTATTTATGCGAAAGCGAAGTAGTACTGATTTTCAACATGAACATGCTGTAACATCCTTATAACGGTTAAAATCTAACTGATGCAAATGACGTATGTACTTTGTTATGTATGAGAATGTTATATGTTCTTATTGTTATGTTTGATTTTCCCCTGCTTAACGACGTTTTGTGACAGCTAAAAATGTAGATACCATATCAAAGCTGAATCAGGTTTTAACTTTTTTCCTTTGTGTTCAAACAGCAACCTTTTTGTGGTGACCTTTGCTGAGCCCAGTTGCTGCAACCATGAGAGTATGTTTTAGTTGGGGCATTGCTTAACCAGTCACTTAGTTCGATTGTATCAAGTTCAAAGAATAAAACCCGAAACCTGTACAACGTTAAGAGCGTATACATCTTAAAACCCAAATTATACGAGTCCATGGATCAGGAAACTTTTATTGGTTCATCGATTTCCGAATGTTACATCATATTTGTGTTTCACTAATTCATGCTGATAGTTTCCTGTTTCGCGTTTCATGCCACATACTTCGTGTCAGATGTTTCGTTTCTTGAGTCTCTAAAATCGGGGTAGCTGTCCAACTCGTTTTAGGATGATTTTAAAACCTTCAGCTGGAATAGAACAATTTTTGCTGGTTACGGGCGTTTAGGTTTACATGATCACAAATACGCTGACCTTAAACGGCTCAGTGGAGACTGTTAGTCCGCTGGTATTGCTCAGACTGAACGCCGTGATTTGCCAAGTCGTGATTGCATCTGGCACTTTACGCTCCAATTTAACATCGCCGTTTGCGCTACCGAAAACAATATATCCATTACTGCATCACAGTCATTATTGAAGCGAGCCACATTCAAGTGGCCGACTTACTCGGCCCAAGCGGTCTCGAAGAGGAAACTCTGACGGAAGTCTTTCCGTGTCTGAGCCGATTGCTGCAATCCGGAGTCAAACGGAGACGCTGACCCGTAACCGCTTCCATACGATGCCGACGAATACCCCGCATAGGAATCGTAGGATCCTCCTCCACTACCAAATCCGAATCCTTGGTTGTTTCCGAAACTGGACGAATAGTAATCTTGGGCTCGTGGAATGGATGTCGTGGACAGCTTTGTGTTCGTCAGAAGAAATTGCTGTACCCGACCAGAATCGATTGCTTTCTGCGATAGGCAAACAGCTTTCGTTGCAAAGTATTAACAGTTCGTTTAAGGTAAATGCTTTGTGGTGTATAAAGTGCACCAAGTCGCGGTATACCGTAAAGTAGTCTTCAACGGACAGCATATAACTCGGCTGCATTCTTTGTTGAGGTTTCGGCTTGGTATCCAACTAAAAAATCCCCAGAAAAGGAGAATCGGAAGGTCTGATGTAATTTAATTTTAAAAGATACATACAACATTTTGAGTAATGTCGTTGCCGGATTTCAGCAGCAGCATGCTTTCGTCCACTGCAAGAAATGCCATGAACGCAGAAGGACTACTGTGAGCTCGTATGGAGATCTCCGCTCCCGGTTCCGCATAAGATAAACCATTTTTTGCTTGCGCAGATAGCGTGACCTATTCATCACTGTAATGTAGTATCTTAAACTGCAAATAATATCAGTGTACACCTACATTTTCTTGTGTGTCGTTGGCAACGGAAAGTGCCTTAATATTCCCCACCAGTTCACCGTCACTTCCCACGTAGTACGCAATGAGTCGTCCCGACGCACCCATCGCAGTGACAATCGGCACGGATACTCTAACGTATTGACCGGATCGTGAAATCGAATCACTCCATAGGAAGCTGGCATTAGAACTTGACAGCACCTAAACAAAACCACATGACATAGCTACAGATTGCACCCCGAATTGCTTTGTATGAAAACCATATTCACTGGAGCCATACCAGGATGTGAATATTTTGTTCGGTCCTTGTCGTAGTATTAATAGCGAACTCTGCCAATTTGTCAGCCCGCAGATCGCTCGTGACCTGACTGATCTCTAGGAAACTACCGCTCGGGGACTGTTTGGCAAAGAGAATTATCGCTTGCGATGTTGCTTCGTAAAACACTGCTATAGTCATGGCTGCTGCGTTCTTCCAAGTCGGAAAAGTGGCATTAATGGTCCCATCAACGGCCACTTCCAATAAGTGCTGATCAGGAAGAGGGGAACAGCCCACACCGCCGGGACTGTAGGAGTAGCCCGATCCAGTCATACCGAAGCCAAAATTGCGGTTATAACCGTAACCGCCACCACCGTAGCTGCTACTGCCATAGCTGCCACCGTACGGCGACGGGTACGTCTGCCCCAGGCAACGTACAGTGCCGTGCGATGATATAGCCGTTGAGTGGCCTTCAGAATAAGAATAACCCATCACACCCACTAAGACTTTTTTGGTGCTGGGAGGTGGTGGACGACCGTCCCAGCCGGTGAGGGTAGCCTCGAAGAAGTACGGATACCCAGGCATGAACGTCTTTGTGTCCGCTTGGTGAATGATATTGTACGCTTGGGTTTTGACCGATACAGTAGCGGGCGTAGCGTTCCACTGCTGACCAGTGGCGGCTTCCGTGAAATTTGCTCGAATAATTATTTTTGATGCATCCGTGAGGTTAGAAAGGAATTGCGCCGGGACGGAGATCGATGCCGTACCGTTTTTGTCCTGTAAATTTCAACAGCTTTCTTTATCTGTTGGTCACCTTTACCAAAGCTGGTCATACCGCATAAATAGTCTGGTTCCACACCGGATCATACAGATCCTTCTCCTCGAAGCTTCCATAATTTCCATAACCGCTTACGCGGCGCGGGCGAAGCACCGTTACTTCGAAAGAGCCCTTGGCAGGTTCTTTAAATGTGTAACTATAAAATTTAATATCCATTGAAGGAGAGACTCACAGGTTTATGAAAAACATGTGGAATTAGGCAGCTTCCATACTTAGCCACGACCTGGAAACGAAAATCCTCCTGCATCTGTGGGACGATGTAACTTCTCGATGTTACAATTCTGACATCAAATCGCGGCAGAACTGTCAAAAATTGAAGCATTTTTTTTCAAGAGCTGTCACTGGAAACGTTAATGTGGTTCAGTATCCATGGAGTATAACTGTAGATACCGAATTCCTCAACGGAGAAGTCTTTACTGGCCAACAGCCCCAATACTGAATACTGTCTACTGGCATCGTAACCGGCGTTGCAACCTTTGCCATCGTCGTCAATGCTAGAGGCACTTGGATCTGAATCACTCGGGCTTTCAGTAGTGCCCAGACCACCACCGAAACCACCACCGTTGATACCAAAGCTGAAACCGATGTATCTTTTCTTTCTGCCATAACCACCGCCCCCACCGTAACCGCCATCACCATAAGCGCCACTACCGTAGCTGCTACTGCTTCCTCCATAACTACCACCATTGCTAGAATAGCTAGACGTGGCGTAGCTGGAGGTGACGTAGTTGGGGCAAATAACTTTGACCTACAAGCAGAAAAAAATATGCTTTTCTACAAGACCACTACGCTCTTCTGTTGGTTTCAGTACGCTTGTGTTTGCGCGGACCACCCGCACTGTCCAGCTGCCTAGCAGCGGATCCGATGACAATGGCATTTCCCCCGAAAAGTATCCGACAACTGCCGAACAAATTACATAAAAATCGATAGTTTAGTAGGGCATAGAAATCAATTCTGTTTGACTGTCAAACCTTGCGAGTCATTTGCGTTACTGTTCATTTGCACAATATTGCGTTGTGGATCCTGTATAAATATCAAGAATGTGTGAGGCTTTTAATTTTCTGAACGTAAAGGTTTTAAAAAATCAATAATTTCACCAGAATCTGCACGTTAAAGGGCACGAACAGCGGCCGTAGTTGGCCGTCCACCGATTCCACCGACACGACGCGGAAGCGCACAGTGTCGTTAGCTCTGTACAGCGGCTGATCAGTCTGTATGAAAACAACGATTGCGCTTGGTTTTCGGTTTTGTCTCTGGCCTCGTCGTCTCGCTGTTGTCGATACTAATGGGGGAAAACCCGGTACGGAACGAGTCTGATGAGTCCGATCCGTTAAGGACAAACATCAAAGTTTCTTTAGACACTTTGGAAAGGTCACCCACCTAGCGTGGAACAAAACTAGGATAATAGTACGGATTTTGCAACTGCTGAAGTAAAATAAGGTACCAAAGTACTGTACTGAAATACTTAATAACTCTTTTGCAAATACAAGTACAGTACTAAATGCACAGTTATACAAAAATAGAAGCGAAGATTATTTAGGTACGAACATCGATCTCCAGGTGAGCCAGTTTATTGGCGTGGATGACGGCCGATGCCTCGAACACCGACCATCTGTCGCCTTTCAAGGACGTGTAAGGCAGTAGATACGAGTATTCAGCACCGTAAGGACCACCATAATTAGAACTCTCGTACGATGTGGCAGGGGGCCTTCCAATCAGCGCCATATCGATGCGCACATCCGATGTGGCGTTGAGCACCAGAATGGATACGGGAAACGAACTGTTAGACCGCGCGCTGTTCACTCCAAACATCACATATTCAAGGCTTTTTACACTGCCGGTCGTTAAAACCAGCATCAGAGTTGGGAGAGAAATATACACAAATTGCATGATGGACAACATAGAATACACCGACAAAAGAGAAACGGGCTACCGGCTGCGGTTTGGATTGACCGTTACAGCGTTATCACCATGCAGAAGCGTGTTGTGAAACTGCACCATACACGCTATAAATAGGTCTGACAAATCACTGCGTAATATTCTCATAACAGCTAAAATTACGGGGCAAAATCGCGCCGAAGCTCTCTTCGAGTAGCCGGCAAAACATACATATTAGCAAGTTAAATTTCAATTGTCAAATGCTAGGAACAACACACTGTATGTGACCGCTCATCAAGATATCACATCCGATAACGTTTACGCTAGTTAAACAGAAGCTACCATCAATAAAACCGCCTGCCGTGTAAAATGCCGCATGGAAGATGTTGGCCGGTTTTTCAAACGTGCTGTAAGAGTGAACAGTTGTAAGAAGTATCACAACAAATGGTAGTCCAATGGCACAGAAATATGAACCGGACATGAGCATGCACATGAACCGGACATAGTGCTATCGTTGTTCGAGGACATCGAATGGACGTGCAAAGATCAGTCACCAACGCTAGGTTTCCTGGTTAAAATAAAAGCCCTCGGGCCGATCCTGTTTAGCGCATTTGCCGCATTCGCGTCTTCTTCTCGCACTCGTATGTACCGGTACATGTTACAAAGTGCATAAACCGTAAACAAGAAGCTGTGCTGTGCTGGCTTTACTCAGCATTTTCGTTCACTGAATATCGCGTTCATTAACCTGTACCGATCTGACAACGATAGCCGGAGCGCAGTTATTTACTGCAATCAGCAACAACAGTACGAATAGCTACAAAACTTGATAGAAACTGTTGCAAAATTTGTCGACTGTTCACCGGTGCACTTACGTGCTAAACTTTTAGAATTCTGCACCTTTTGAAGCACTGGATTTCTGACGGCAAGCACTACTCATGATTTTAGTAATCTTTGTTTCGTGATTGCTTTTTGTATAGCCGACACAATGAACTGCCGGCTCATTGTTGGGCTGTCACTGCTCGCCGGCGCCGCAAATGCGCTGAATTATGTAATTTTCGGCTTGAACACTGTCCGATCTAACAGTGTTTTTCCAGTTTCGATATTGGTTGTTAACAGTACATCCGATGTGTACGTTAATATGACGCTAACCGGTTATCGAAATTGGTCACCGGTGAATGGCAGTTCCAGTGATGCGGCTCGCCGTTCTGATTTTAATCCCGAAAACAGCAGCTTGTCGTTCACAACATCAGCTGTCATCCAGGCCAACGTCCTTACGCGGGTCGATATGAAGGTACGTTAAGTGCAAACTGCTTCTTTGAATTATTTAATACTAAGGAAGTGTTGTAATGCTACCGAATTAAAGTGACAGGAGAATTAGCACTGCAATGAAGATCTTGTATGCGCTTCTTCCCTAAGGTGGGTGACTTCTCAAGCCTTGCCACGCCAGTTGCATATTTGAGCGTCAGTGTTGCCGACCCGACATACTCTTTCACGGGGTATGTAACACCAGTGGCGTTGGACAATGCAACCATGGGAATGCAGAACGCGCCTGTAAAGCGCACTGGCGAACCCCTGTTCCAGATACAAATGGACCAGCCATACTATAAAGCCAAAGATATGGTCCGGTTTCGCGTATTGACAGTGGAATCGGTGGAGGACAAACTACAGCCACTGTTCGTTCCTTTAAAAATACAGATTTTGGTAGGTTCACCGTAAGCTTTTGCAGTATCTGCACTTATGTGTATCGGCAACCTTGCTAATATTCTTTATTGGCTGCAGGATACGCAGCGTAATGTAGTGAAGGAGCTTATTAATGTCAATAATTCCGAAGGTAAGCATTGAAAACATTACAACCGTTTCGGCTCGAGCCATGGCCTAAAACGACGGAAGGAGAAATGCAATTTCTGTAGTTACCGGGTACTTTGCTGGAGAGATGCCACTGTCGTCGGATCCACTGAGTGGCACTTGGACGATTCGTGTGGTGAATGATTCCGTTACTGAAGAAATGGTATGTAAATGTTCTGACTCTATTTGAGTCTGAACAACTGCTCGAATGCAGCAGATTGATCAAAGTGATGGAATACCATGGAATAGAAGTTTTGATGGATCAAAAAAATGTTTAAGTAACACAAAATCGGTTTGATCGAACCGTCCAAAGAATTCTACTACGCGTCGAATTCGATACAAAAAAGTCATAAACTGAAAATTGTCTGCAAATTATAATCCGTTCGCAGTGTGCGCATCATAGTATAAATCTGCGTAACTAATTTCGTTATTGCTTTCATGAAGACAGCTGTATTCCACAGGACAAACGGTTCGTTCTGGCCAGCAAAAACTTTTCCGTCGTGGAATTCGGTAAATCTTAAATCATAGTGAAATAATTTGCAAGGCGGTTCCATAAGGTTCTGTACTTACCGGTTCCATAAGGTACAGATTTTTTTCTGCTTTGGCGGGCTGATTGATACAGTAATGATGATTGCAGGGATTCCAAGATTCGATGTCACAATCGTTACTAATAAAATCCACATCGCCCAGTCGGTTGACGATGAAATTCAGTTTCAGCTTACAGCAAAGTAATTCTAAAAACCAGTAAGTAGTTGCGTCAAAACTGCAATAATGTCATCTTTTTGCAGCTACACATCTGGAGAAACTGTCGAAGGGGTCTTTGACATTGCCGTTAGTAGTTGGTATGGTCCATCTTTGAACGGCGACGAAAAAACAGAGTCGACACTATTACGCAAGTCGATGCCGACGGTAACGCCGCTAACTTCTTAACAGCGAAAACATATCCTAGCCTTTCTGTGACATGTGAGGTTATTGGACGGAATGGTTGCAGAATAAAAACGAGACCGTAACGGTTTTGGTACCGCTTAAAGGAGCGTTAGACAACATACCGACATATCTCTATAACGCGTTGACCATTCAAGCAAATTTCACTGAATCGGCTACCGGTGTGAAGAAAAGCGCCACCCCGGCCGTCATATCCGTACAAACGGGACCGTACCATGCTGTATTTGAATCCGATACCGGGACGTTTATTCCTGGATACCCATATCTCCTGAAGGCTACCATAATCGACAGATACGGACGTCCACCACCTCCCATCGGCCGTAAAGCGCAGATTATCGCAACATCGGCCAATGTCTCGGCTGGTCTGTGGCAGATTGTGCCGCTCAACGGCGATGTAGCCTGCTTAAAGCAATCATTTTTGAGGCGCTACGGATACGATTATCCAGAAGGCTCCTCCAGCTGGAGCTGGCATGGAGCTGTTTTCGGTCTTCCGCGCATTAGTTGGGGTAAAATTAACGGCTTTGGAATGAACGGGGGAGGCTTTGGTGGTGGCTTGAACAGTGGCAGCAGAAAGAAACGTGATCTGGGTCCTTTCGTACAATACAGTACCAGCAGCTGTCATTATCTTCCAACTATCCTGTGGGCAGATGTGGCCGCCGATGGGACACTGAACGTCAGTATACCGACGCCAAAGACAGCCGATGCCATGAATATTTTGGTTTCTTATGATTTCCAAGCAACGAAAGACAAGATGGTCTTCGCCAAGCAGTCACCCAGCGGGAGTTTTTTGGATATTACCCCGGTTTCTGTCGATCTGTTTGCGGGCGGTGTGACAGAGTTTGTTATTGACACAACGACGCGACTGAATGAAACTATTCAGATTTTGGTACGCCTGCGATATCTATACACCACTCGTTATTCCTGTAAAAACTGTCAGTTTGTGTTTTTTTATGTAGGTGTTGTCTAATTCAAATGCCAGTTTCCTATGGAGTGACTCGGTTTCCACGCCTGGTCAACGGATTACTGTCTCCGTGCCGCTTACTGATGCGATCGGCCCGGTCGGGCGCTTGATTGCGTATTATGTCAGAAAGGACAGTGAAATCGTCGGGAATATCATACCACTGCAAATCACGAATGTTCTTTTGTCGGAACAGGTAGGTGGCACTTCCATGCTAATAAATGATGGTTCTCTTAATTAGCAATAGGATGACACTCGTATCTCGTTAAGGCGCAAAATATAAGCGTATGTGAAACTTGATAAGTAAAAATATTCCCAAATAGTCAGACATACTCGGGTTCCCGCTTGAGTACATACAAGAGTATTAATTTTGTAAATCGACAGAGCTCCGACAGTTGTAAAGTTAGAATAATCAAACCGACATCGCAACCGATCACCGGATTTCGTTGTCTAGGTGACTCTGTTCGTAACATCCAAGAACGGTCAATCATCTGCTCAACCAGGCGAAAAGGTTACCGTGAAAGCAAAGACCGGTCCATTTTCTACGGTAGCCTTCTTGGCCATAGAGGAGAGGCGGTCGTTATTCAAGGCAGACAACGATATCAGTGATAGTTTTGTATGTTAATTTAAAATCAATCAAGATTACCGTATTAACATACTTTTCTATGGATTTCCGTAATTTAACTTTTTTTGCAGATTGGCAAAACTAAAAGAGTTTCGAACGCAAAACCTGGGTATCGGCTTTCGATAGCAGATTATTTTACGGTAACGCACGCTTTTTAGGCGTTGTACTTGTACTCGTATTTCATTTGATGGTACTAAGCTTGTACTTTGTTTAGCAAGTAAAATTAGGTGACCCTTAATTTGTTTTGAGAAACATAAGATAGAAAAAACATCATAAGAAATTTCGGATCAGTCAGACAATGCCATCGATGAGAACTGCTGCTTCGGCTAAACACCTAAACCGTTCTGCTGCAGCTGCTAACGCTAGACTACTAACTGAATGCAAATGTCATAGAACATCGTGTTTGAAAGTAAAACTGAATTGTGTACCTTTCCAGACACCGCTTGATTCCGGCCGAGTGCAGCACTTTCTTCTGACCAACACCAAAGGTTCCGCGACTGGTCCAGACATTGCCGCACTAGTGTGGTCTCGCGCTCAGGACGCTGGCTGTTCATGCCCCACGGGGGAATATCGTTACGGCTTTCGTATCAACACTGATGATGAATACTCGTACTGCTCACACTACTGTCAATATCAGGCGAGAGACAGAAGAGTGGATGCTGATGGAACAGAACCCAAGTCGTCATCGTTCTCCGGCGATTCCATATCGCAACTGACGCGTCAACACTTCCCACAGAGCTTCCTTTTTGAAACTGCTCTAGCAGAGTGAGAAAACATCGTCTACTTGAAATTTAATTGTAAAGCAATTAAGTCCATTTTACATACCGTATAATTAAATAGTCCTACCAAAACTACTGTACTAGGTATTTCTGAATTAAAATGGTGATAAAAATGTCGCTGCTTACTAGTGCAAACGGCGATGTGATTTTGGAGCGCAACGTGCCGGACGCATTAACAACATGGCGAATTTGGGCGTTCAGCTTGAGCAGCACTGGCGGATTAATTGCGTCGGCGACACCTGTCAAGGTTGACAGAAAAATTCATAACATTTCAACCAGTAACATCAAACGTGATCGAACTGGCTGCGTGTTGTTACAGCTTAAGGTTTTCCAACCATTAATTGCCTCTCTGGACCTACCGTACAGCGTTATCCACAACGAAAATTTCACAGCCGAAGTCGTCATTTCTAACCACATACCACAGAAGCAAGAATTGACAGTTAACTTAACCACTCGCAAGCCGGACAACACAATCACGACCTTCACAAAAAATATTATTTCCCTGCCTAATGACACGATAGCGACGGTATTTACGATCATTTCGGAGCAAATTGGTGAATGGGAACTCGAGGTCACTGTTAAATCTGCACTCGCCTCACATCAGTTGAAGAAAACTTTGCTCGTCAAGTCAGAAGGAGTCCAGCAGTTCTACAGCCAGCCAGTACTCATCGATCTCCACAAATCCAGTGCTTTTGATACAGTGATCCAATTACCAATAGATCCAGCTGATAAGGTCAGCGGATCCGAGAAAGTGACAGTTGCCGTTGTCGGTGACATTCTCGCCGTCTCCATTAGTAATTTGGATAAACTGATCAGACTTCCGTCTGGAGGTGGAGAACCGAACATGGCAATAGTAGCGTCCAGCGCTACAATGTTAAAACATCTGCGAAATACCAATCGGACATTGCCTCAAAAGGAGAAAAACTTGGTAAGCAATATTCAGCTGCGTTACCAACAAGCGCTGTCCTATCTGCGCAGTGATCATTCGTTCAGTATGTGGGGAGCATCTGACACAAACGGCTCTACATGGTTGACCGCTTATGTCACCAGAGTTTTTGCCGAAACATCCGAGCTACTTCCAAACAGCAGCGCTGCAGTTATCAAAAAAGCGGTTCAGTTTTTACTTGATCAGCAAAACAACGATGGCTCGTTTCGCGAAAGCGGAGGAAAGGTCCAAAACAGCTATACCGAAAGCGGTGATTCCAAACTCGTATCCTTAACAGCATTCACGGTTCTATCGTTTACGGAATATATCAAGACAGGAAGGGCTGACACCGAAAAACTGGACGCTTCGATTCAGAAAGCAGTGGAATATTTGGAATCGCACCTGGAAAACGTTAAGAGGGATTCGTACGCTTTAGCGATAACTGCGTATGCATTGGCGCAGGCTAACAGTTCAAAGAGCTTAGATGCACTGAACCGGTTGAAAGATGTAATGGTCTACGATGTTTCAACTGTGCGCTGGAAGAATATTGCGTCAGCCGACGATGACGGGGAAGACAACAGCTATTCGTATTCCACACATGCCAAAGATGTGGAAACCACAGCGTATGCGCTGCTGGCGCATATGGCCAATGGAGATCGGAACATATCGCTAAAAATCGCTTCCTGGTTGATTTCGAAACAAAATACTGAAGGTGGATTCTTTTCCACAGCGGTACGTATAATCGTTTTCGTATTTTACGGTTTCTTCTATACAAACTGCAGCACCGCCGGTTTTTTAGGATACAGCAGTTGCGGTAGAAGCGTTAGCCGAATTTGCCCAGTCCTTCACGGATGCTCCATCGATTCAAATCGATATCACGAATGGCCTTCAGAAGAGCGATATGGCGATCTCGCCGGAAACATCAATGGTTGTGCATTCCTCACAATTTGAACAGAAGCCTACGGACATCGCGATTCATGCCAGAGGAAGCGGGATAGCTGTCGCTTACATAAGCTGGACATACAATGTACTGCAACCAGTCGAGGGCTGGGCGTTTGACCTCAACGTCACTCTATCCCGCACCGGATCCGCCAAGGCTCACCGTCTGAACATCTGCACCAGGTTAGCCGTTTTGAAGCCGGTTGTATGAGCGTATGTGTTGTAAGAATTTTTGCTTGGATTATAAATCAACGTTTAGCACTTACTCAACAGATACTGGAAAGATGGCGCAAGCAGCCTGACGCTTATGGAGGTCAGTGCGCTGTCCGGTTACCAGTTTGACGAAGAAGAGGTCAAGCAGCTTCCGCCAGCAGTTAAATCACCGCGAAAAAGCGAGTTGGATAATGAGGGCAGCAAACTAAATTTGTATTATGAGGAGGTAAGTGCTAACAAGTAAGAATGCTTTTTGCGGTCTGCTGAACGTGCTCAGTCGGGATAAAATGTCAAAGACCAAGATACTTAGCGAGTGAACTGACTCCGCGCTTTTTTTGCTTGTAGATGACGCCGACTGCCATCTGCTTCAGTTTGACCATGCATCAGACTCACAAAGTGGAGAATTTGAAAGCCCAAAGCGTAGTAATTTATGATTATTACAATCCCAAAGATCGACGAACGGTTTTCTATTCATAAATGACTTCCAAAGCTTACCATATACAGATACCTACATAACGTAGCACTGGCATTTATGTACCTGATACGGCAGCGATACACCCATTCTCCTGGGTGTGAATAACGATACAAAATCGGTATTATATTTATTGCGACATATGCCTTGGTGCATAATACGTGAATATTCAATCATCTTAAAATGAGATGTTTTGCCCGATTCATAAGAACATAGCTGTATTTGGCGATATCTTACCAGAATAAAAATAGCGAAGCGAAACCTGTGCACTGACATTAATTTTACATGACCACCCACCATGATTGAAATCTAAACTTGTGCACCTACACTTTAGTAATTTTACAATAGTTTTCCGCTGGTATACGACAAAGGCAAATTGCAGTGGAATCAGTCTCCCCTTGAAAAATTATCCGGAATTTTCGGAGAATCGAATTTTCAATGATTTGTACAAATTGTATCGGTTCCTTCGATAGGAGTACGCAAAAGATGGGTGTTAAAATTAACATTATGGCTGTGTGCACGGGTAAACACGGGTGTTGGCTGCGTGCACGGGTGGCCTTATTGGGTCCGCACGGGTGCCGGCTGCGTGCACGGAGTTTGGGAGCGGGTGTTGGCTGTGGGCACGGGATTTCTGCACGGGCGTTCGCTGCGTGCACGGGTAAATTATTTAATTTTTTAATTTAAATTTAAATGTATATTCTAATTATAATTTTTTTACATAATTACTACTTATGGAAACTTACTCACTTTACCCATAATTTTTCAACGAAGTACAGTTACAGTAAGTGTAGGACCACTGTAGGTACCTGTACAATACCTAAAGTAAGTACTGCAAAATTTCCTGTACGTAGCAAGTACTATGTTAACAGCTACTGCTTGTTAGTGCGATATGCGATATCATGAAGTACTTGTAGGTCACAGTAAGAAAAGTCGAAGACGTGAGAATTGTGTAATATTTTCCATGAGAAAATGTGTAATACGGTACAGCTCGTGGAAGGGCCACTTTCGAGCAGGGTCTGATGCGAACACGTAGTTGCTTATAAAGCATGCAAATGACACCATTCCCACTTGCATCAAGCCGTGTACAAAAACTCTGAGCCGTAAAACAAAGCATCTGTAAGTTGTGTAACTATTTCTAAATTATGGCACATGAAAAAAATATGTCAGAAACCGGTCCAAAAACCTGTTATGGTTGAATAAGACCTGGAAACCTATAAATGTTACGACCAAAATTCGAAAATCATAAAAGAGTTAAAAATTGAAAAAGCCGTGTACAAAGCCAACACCCGTGCGTACCCAAAAAGGTCACCCGTGCACACAGCCAATACCCGTATCCGAACTCCGTGCCCGCAACCCAACACCCGTGGAGACACCCGTGCACGCAGCCAACACCCGTGTTTCCCCGTGCACGCAGCATCAACCTAAAATTAATGAAATAAATTAAAAGTTTGACGAAATCTCCGGTTAGAATAATTTATGCGAAAGCGAATCAGTATTGATTTTCCACGTGAACAAGCTGTAACATCCTTAGAACGGCTATACTCTCAGTCTCTCACTGATGCAAATGACGTAGAATTAACGCGCTATGCGTAGACTGCGCGAATTACATACGTGTTATGACGTATTAGATATCTGTTCTTATTTAATGCATTTGATCGCTAATTCCATCAGGGATTCTGGTTTCCATCGCTAATTTTTTGCGTTAACATGATCTAAATGAAAAATTCCTTCCAGTTAACATGAGATGGAACAGTCCCCAAAACACTCTGAGCATTACCACGTTGAATCTCAAGACTTAAACGTTGAAAAAGAAAACAGGTAGAGCGGCTTTCTTCAATTAAATGTGTGAGGTTGTTGCTATCTGAAAGGTCGTGTGACTCTAGGTTAGAAGGAAGTTCATTCATATCTCGTTCTGTTCTGTTCTGTTCTGTTTGCGTTGTTTGCTGGGTGATTAAACATTTAGGAAGTTTCTGAGTGCTTCGGTTTCGGTAACTTTCGTTAGGCACGGCAATCCGCTTGTACCTAGCGGAAGTAGGCAGTTGTACCACTTACGTAGTCCAGAGCATATTCCCATTCCACCGAATGAGTAGGTTTGATCATCTGTGCGGTTATCGCGGTGCGACTTCCGCATAGCATGTCAGTATATTATGTATGAGAATGTTCATATTGCTACGCTTGAGTTTCACTTGCTTAATGACGTTTTGTGACAGCTAAAAAATGTGGATATCACATCGGAGATGGATTAGGTTTTCTTTAGTGTTCAGACAGCATCCTCTTTGCTGTGACCTTTGCCGAGCCCAATCGCTGCAAACAGGAGAGTAAGTTTAAGTTGGGACGTTAACCGCTCACTTATGGTTAGTTTGATTGTATTAAGTACGAGCATGCCCTTAAACCTATATAACGTTAAGAGCATAACCATCTTAAGAAATAGCACGAATCACTAAGAACACAAAACAAACGAAACCCAAAACACAGGAAATAGAAGAAACGTATCAAGTGCACGAAGCACTTGAAGCTCACGTGAAACCTGTGAAACATATGTAACCCTTCAAATATATGAAACATTTATGCATTAAGTTCAAATTTACGATACCAAACAAGCAAGGATACACGAAGCAATCAAACAACGAATTATCAAGCTCAAAGCCCACAACAAGTCATGAATCACGAAACGTTTACTGTTTCACCGGTTTCCGAATGCTACATCATGTTTCAGTGTTTCCCTAATTCATGCTTATCGTTTTGTGTTTCATGCCACATACTCGATACGAGATACTTCATGTTAAATGTTTCTGTGATGTAGCAACGCCAGCTGTAGTATGTTCAGCTCTGTTTTGTGTCGGTCAGTACGGATGTGAGGTCACGACAGTTCCGTCTCTTGAGTCTCTAAAATTCGCGTAACTGTCCAACTCGTCCAATGTTTTATGATGGTCGGAAAACTTTCAACTGGAATAGAACAATTTTTGCTGATTACCGGCGTTTAGGTTTACGTGATCACGAATACGCTGACCTTGACCGGCTCCGAAGTGACCGTTAGCCCGCTGGTATTGCTCAGACTGAACGCCGAGATTCGCCAGGTCGTGATGGCATCTGGCACTTTACGCTCCAATTCAACATCGCCGTTTGCGCTACCGAAAACAATATCCATCACTGCATCACAGTAATTATTAGAGCGAGCCACATTAAAATTGCTGACTTACTCGGCCCAAGCGGTCTCGAAGAGGAAACTTTGACGAAAGTCTCTGCGTGTCTGAGCCGGTTGCTGTAATCCGGAATCAAACGGAGACGCTGGCCCGTCACCTCTTCCATACGATGCCGACGAATACCCCGCATAGGAATCGTATGAACCTCCTCCACTACCAAATCCGGATCCTTGATTGTATCCAGAATTGGACGAATAGTAATATTGGGCGCTTGGAACGGATGTCGTGGACAGCTTTGTGTTCGTCAGAAGAAATTGCTGTACCCGCCCAGAATCGATGGCTTTCTGCGATTGGCAAAAATCAGTTATTATTTCTATTCACAGTTCGTTCTGGGTAAATTCGTTTTGGTGTCTAAAGTGCAAAGTCGCGGTTTACCGTAAAGTAGTCTTCAACGGACTGCATATAACTCAGCTGCATTTTTTGTTGCGGTTTCGGCTTAGTATCCAACTAAAAAATCCCCAGAATAAGAGACTCGGAAAATCTGGTGTGATTTACTTTTAACAGATACGTACAACATTTTGAGTAATATCGTTGCCAGATTTCTGCAGCAAAAGGCTTTCGTCCATTGCAAGAAATGCAATGAACGCAGAAGGACTGCTGTGAGCTCGTATGGAGATCTCCGCTCCCGGTTCCGCATATGGTAAACCGCTCTTTGCTTGTACTGATAGCATGACCTTAATATCAATGTACGTTAGTGCTGTAATGTGTGAATAACGTAAGTGTGCTCCTACATTTTTCGTCGTATCGTTGAGAACCGAAAACGCCTTAATATTCCCAACGAGTTCACCGTCACTTGCCACATAGTACGCAATGAGTCGTCCGGATGCACTCATCGCAGCGGTAATTGGTACGGATATGTTAATAAATTGACCGGGTCTTAAAATTGAATCACTCCATAAGAAACTTGCATTGGAACTTGAAAGAACCTAAGATGATCACAAATGCTATTACTCGCCAGGTGGAACCTTTACTGTAGCCGCTAGATGAAAGTCACCACAGAGTCTGGTGTACGGAAAACATCGCACACGCTGCTGTAACGTGTGCGCTTTCCGGCATGGGGCAAAAAGCGGCCGGATCTGAAATATGTGCCATTTCATCTAGCGGCTACAGTACTGTTTCGGAAGCTTACCACGATGTGAATAGGTTGATCGGTCCGCGTCGTAGTGTTAACAGCAAACTCGGCCACTTTGTCAACCTGAAGATCGTTCGAAACCTGACTGATCTCTAGGAAACTGCCGCTCGGAGATTGTTTACCAAAGAGTATTAAGGTTTCCGATGTTCCTTGGTAATACACTATTACCGCCGCTGCAGTCGCGTTCTTTGGAGTCGGCAAACTGGCACCAATACTCCCATCAACGTCCACTTCCACAAACATTAGACCAGGGAAGGGATGACAGTCGGAACCATCAGAACTAGAGCTGTAGGAGCTGACCGGTCCATGGATTCCAAAGCCGGTACTTAGATTCTTTTTGCCGTAACCACCGCCACCGTGACCACCGCCACCGAAACCACCGCCGTTGGTCTCAACACCGTAAGCACCACCACGATAACTACTATCATAAGCGTCCCAGTGAGGCGGTGGGTATATTTTCCCCCGGCAACGTACAGTGTCCGACGATGATACGCGCTTTGCGTGACCTTCGAAGTAAAAGAAGCCCATTAATCCAGTTATGGCTTTCTTAGTGCTGGGAGGTGGCGGACGCCCATCCCAATCGGTGATGGTAGCTTTGAGCGTGTACGGATATCCAGGGATGAACGTCTTTGCGTCGTCCTGGAATCGAATATTGTATGCTTTGGTTTTGGCCGATACTGTTGCGGGAACAGCATTCCACTTCTGACCGGTTACGGTTTCCGTGAAATTAACTCGAATGGTTATTTTTGATTCATCCGTGAGATTGGAAAGGAATTGCGCCGGGACGGAAATCGACGCTGTTCCGTTGTTGTCCTACAATAAGTAGTGATTAAGTACTCAAGCTGTTTCCGCTCTCTGCTGCTTTGCTTTCAACGGCTGAAAAGTTCAACATACCGCAGAAATTGTCTGGTTCCACATCGGGTCAAATACATCGTAGCGTGCATAACCTTCTTCACGATGCGAGCGAAGTACCCCCACATCGAAAGTGCCCCTGGCAGGTTGTCCAGATGCATTACTATAAAATTTAATATCCATTTGAAAAGAGGCACTATTTATTAAAATTTTTGAAGTTTGGCAGTTTTCGTACTTAGCCACGACCTGGAAACGGAAATTTTCCTCCATCCGTGGGACGATGTAGGTCTTTGATGTTATTATTCTGACATCAAACCGCGGCACATCTGACCAAAATTGACACATTTGTTAAGGGTTATCACTTGACACGTTAAATACTTAATGAATAGAATGTAGTGGAACTACGGTTACCGAATGCTTCAACGGAGAAGTCTTTACTGGCCAACACCGTATCCTGGTATTCAACAGGGTCGCAAATACTTTGATCGTGGTCACTGTTACGTTTCTTTATGTCATCATCATTGTAACCGTTACCATCCCAACCACCACTGCTTTCATAACTACTCCCGTAGGGTCTGGGAGTGGTGTAGCCCAGGCAATTGGCATTGATCTGCAAGCACAAAAAAGACTTTTTCACATCTGATCACCACGCTTTATCGGTTGATTTAGACCTACGCTCTTGTTTGTGCGGACCACCCGCACTGTCCAACTGCCTAGCAGCGGATCCGACGACAATGGCATTTCCCCAGAAAAGTATCCGACAACTGTCAAAACAAATTAGTATCATTAGAACTAGATTGTGACATTATTTCTGTTGGATTGTCAAACCTTGGGAGTCATCTGCGTTACTGTTCAGTTGCACATTATTGCGTTGAGGATCCTATATAAATACAAAGACGTTTAGAACTCCTGGATGTTTAGAACTTCTGGATGTACTGAATGATTTTAGAAAAGCAAAAGTTTTACCAGAATCTGCACATTAAAGGGCACGAACACAGGTCGCAGATGGCCGTCCACCGATTCCACCGATACGACTCGGAAGCGCACAGTGTCGTTAGCCTTGTACAGCGGCTGATCAGTCTGTATGAAAACAACCGGTCTGCGCTTGGTTTTCGCTTTCTTCGTTACTGTCGTGGTCTCGTTGTTTTCGATTTTAATTGGTGAAAACCCGGTGCGAAACGAGTCCGACGGGTCAGATCCGTTAAGGACAAACACCATAGGTTCCTTAACCATTGCGGAAAGGTCACCCACCTGATGCAAAACAAAACTCCATAATGGTTCGGTGTAAATGCTCTACTAAATACGGTACATAATCCTGTACTGTAATAATGCATTTAAAATTAATAGTAATTTGACAACCATTAGATAATGTGCATCTTGCGCTGTTACATAACAACGTAGGCAAAGTTCGTTCTGGTACGCACGTCGATCTCCAGGTGAGCCAGTTTATTGGCCTGGATGACGGCCGATGCATTGAATACCAGGAACCGGTCGTCGCCTTTCAATGAAGCGGACGCGTAAAGCAGCATCTCGCCGGAATCGTAGTTAGAGTAAAGCCCGTACGATGTGGCAGGGGGCCTTCCAATCAGCGCCATATCGATGCGCACTTCCGATGTGGCGTTGAGCACCAGAATGGATACGGGAAACAAACTGTTAGACCGCGCGCTGTTCAATCCAAACACCACATACTGAATGCCGGTTGCACTGCCGGCTGTTGAAACCCACATCAGAGTTGGGAGAAAAATATGCAAAAACTGCATGATGCCAACCATCGAACCCGGTGGCAAGAGAAAAACGGTTTACCGGCCACAAATTAGGCGAACTGTGTAGTATTACCGCCATGCATCGATATGTTATGAAATCGTTGCATGCACGATGTAAATTCAATAACTGCATGAGTCAGAGCGCACTAAAACTAGAACTTGAAACACTGCGCAGTAATATCGAGCTGAAGCTTCTCTTTGAACAGCCAGAATGACAGCCGGCAAACTTGCACATTACAGTTCAGTTGCATTGTCAGATGCTGGGAACAACCGGCAACCACCGTTCATCATGGTTTCGGTTTGCGTTAGTTAGAAAGCAGCTGAAAAAGGAAAATTTGCTAGCAAAACCAGGTAAGGTTAATAATCGGTGAGAGCTAACCAATCAAAACACCGAGTAAAACCGGCGTTCTTCTTTCGTTGATGACTGTCTGTGTAATAACATTCGACACCGGCAATGAACCCGTTAGAAAGCCGGAGGATACGGATGTGATGCTCAGATGCGCCGGCTTATGCAGCCTCGCTCGGCCATTGCAAGATCCGCATCTGCGAATAGAATACGACAATTTTTCCGAAGTAATGAATAAAAAGTGCGCAAAAAAAGTCAAGGGTCTGTTGCTTTTGCGTGTTGCAATATTCGCAATGATTTCTGCGGTTTTCGCAGTTCCGCAAATGGTTGTCCGTTAACAAACAAATACATATCTGAGAAGCGGATACGAGCACGGAGCACATGCAAGGATCTGCCGCTGTTCAGAAACATCGGATAGACATGCATCTTCAATCACCAAAGCTAGAGCAGATTTTTAATGCTTTCCTTGTTACAATAACACCGTAACAGCCCTCGGGCCGATCCTGCTTAGTGCAGTGCCGCATCACGCGTCTTCTTGTACTGTACGGGCACGTGTTACAAAGCGCATATAACAAGAAGCAAGAATAAGCCGTACTCAGAATTCGGTTGGCTAAATTGCGCGTCCGTTAACCTGTACCGGTTTTTGCGACGGTGTAGGTTAGCTTAGCTGCCTATTGCAATCAGCAACAACGGTAGGAGCAGCTTCAAACTTCAAAGCAGGATAGAAACTTTTAAAGCTTTGTTGACCAGTGCACTCCCGGACCAAAGTTTGAGTAATTGCACCATTTGGAGCAGTGGATTAAGGCAGTGCAGTTTTGGGATTTCTGTTCCGGATTTGTTTTCTTTAGCTGACACTAAGCACTGCCGGCTCGTCATTGGGCTATCATTGCTCGCCGGCGCTGCAAATGCGCTGAATTATGTGATTTTCGGCTTGAACACTGTACGATCTAACAGTGTATTTCCGGTGTCCATTTTGGCTGTCAACACTACATCCGATGTGCACGTTCACTTGACAATAACCGGTTACTGTCAGTTTTGGTCACCGTTGAATGTCACGTCCGGCGATCCGTATCGCCGCCCTGGCTGTGATCCCGGGAACAGCAGTTTGTCGTTTGCAACGTCTGCTGTCCTCCACGCCAACGTCCTCACGCGGGTCGAGATAAAAGTGCGTAAGGCGAAAACTACTTCTATAAAATTTACATGAAGATCGCAACATACAAGCCTGTCGACAAATTGAGCATTTGTAAATTCAGCGAGCATTTCAAATTTACTGGCTACGCGTAAATCCACGGCGTGCCGCTCCACACTGCTTAAACACGTAACAAGTGTCTGGGTGGCTGGTGGCACTTCAGATATTTTAATGAGAATAATCGTAAGTACTTTACCTTTTAACCCGCGGGGGGGATAGAGATTTTGGTTGCTTTTTTAATGTTTAAATTTTAACTGTGATGTAGTTTGCCCGCGCTTGCCTTTTTTGTTATTTGATGGCTGTTGCCTATTAATACGGTACAAATCGTAACTGTCTGGCGAAATGTGGCTAAAAACGGTCGCTGCAGTAATGGACAATCTGACTGCCAAGCGCAGTTACGCCGCTTACGCGCTGCGATAACCGCAGTGCAGTGGCCATTATTCAAGCGCCAACTTCGCGCTAATATCGCTCTACCTGTACCTTTACATGCTCAATTTGTCGACAGGATTGCACATGTGCAGATAAGCAGGTTTTGATGCATCTAAGAAAATGCATCGAAATGCGCTTTGACTGGAGCGCAGCTATCAGTTGCTGAATGGTCACACCAGCGGTAGAATTTCGTTGTACAGATATAATGCTAATCTGGGGTGTTAGGGCTCGCACAACATTACTGATTTGCTTTCCATATGTCTGTAGTATATGCAGCAGTGGGCCGGCACAGTGGCACCCTTTTATTAGTTGAATCGAAGGACCTTTGCTGCAATCCGGTCAATAACTAACACAGCAATTTAGAAATTTTGATGTATAACAAGAAGTACTGATTGGTCAACGTATAATATGTATCTTATTCTGCCACACTGTAGGTATTTACGGTTGCACCCAAAGAACATAATAATAGCATCCTTGTAACTGTGGAAATAAAGTAACCGGGCGCTCCTTCCACAGGTAGGTGACTTCTCGAGTCTTGCAACGCCAGTCGTATGGTTAAACGTCGGTGTTTTCGACCCGTCAGACTGGACAAACTCGTTCACGGGTTATGTGACACCAGTGGCGTTAGACAACACAACCACAGGAACGAAGAATGCGCCACCGAATCGCAGTGGCGAACCGCTGTTCCAGATACAAATGGACCAGCCATACTATAAAGCCGAAAATGTGGTGCGATTTCGTGTTTTGACAGTGGAATTTGTGGATGACAAACTACAGCCGCTGTTTATTCCCTTTACCGTTCAAATTTTGGTAGGTTCACGGTTGACTTTAAGCTTGTGTTGTACATGTGCCGGTAACCATACAGCTTACTGACACTTTTTATTGGCCACAGGATACACAGCGCAATGTGGTGAAGGAGTTCATTAATGCCAACAATTCCGAAGGTTAGCATCGAAAAAGTTACAAATGTTTCGCCAGAGCTATGACCTAAAAAACTTTAAGCTGCATTATTACAGTAGCGGGTTATTTTGCTGGAGAGATGCCGCTGTCGTCGGATCCTTTGAACGGCACATGGACGATTCGCGTAGTGAATTCTTCCGTTAATCAAGAAACGGTAAATGTTTTAGCAATGTTAAAGTTCGCTTTAGAAACTTGCCGAATGCAGCAGACTGTAGAGGGATTACGATGCCGAAACAGATCAGCAAAACGCCGGTTTGACTACAGGAAGTTGTTTTCAGTTTACAAATGTTGCTGTAGTAGTTACAAATTTACAGTCGATTCACAGTTTGAGCAGCGATATACAAGTTTACGTAAACAACTCTGATCCTGGCTGTTGTAGATGACCGAGACACATAACTCGTGTTATTATGCCTACAACTGTGCACAGGAGACGAAGTTCGTTCTAGCCAGCAAAGATTTTTCCGTTTTGGAATTCGGTAATTAGTAAAGCATAAATCATAGTACAATTAAGTAATTCGAAAGACATTGCTGTATTTACTGGCTCCATAATGTAAATAGTGGATCCTGTTGTGACGGACTGATTAATTTTATGTTATAAGTTTGTAACCATGATTACAGTGACTCCAAGATTAGATGTCAGAATTGCTACTAACAAAACCTACATCACATCGATTGACAAGGAAATGCAGTTTCAAGTCACGGTGAAGTACGTTCAAAAACCAGTTAAGATTTTTTTCACCGCAACACTGCGTAATATATGATCTCGTGTGTGCAGGTACACAACTGGAGAAGCTGTCAACGGGATCTTTGACATTGCCGCGGTTAATAGATTGCATGGCTACAAAACGACAGATACGACACTATTACGCAAGTCGATATCGACGGTAACGCCGCTACCTTACTGGGTATTAATACTTAACAAAGTAAATCTTTTTGACGTGTTATCGGAATGGTTGCAGAATAACAACGGAACAGTAACTGTTTCTGTTCCATTAAAAGGAGCATTAAACGAGACATTGCCGCATTACTATAACGAGGTGACCATTCAAGCAAATTTTACTGAATCCGCTACCGGTGTCATGAGAAGCGCCACACCGGTGGTCATACCCGTACTTACTGGACCGTATCATGCTAAATTCGAATCAGATACCGATACGTTTATTCCCGGATATCCATACCTACTGAAGGCTTCCATACTCGACAACCACGGACGTCCACCACCTCCCACCGGTCGCAAAGCACACATTATTACATCGGCCAATGTCTCCCATCGGTCGCAAAGCACACATTTCCACATCGGCCAATGTCTCGGCTGGTGTGTGGGAGATTGTTCCACTCCACAGTGATGCGGCCTGCTTGGTGCAACCATTTTGGGGTCTCAACAGTTATAGCTTCACCGGTTGGAGTTGGCAGGCAGCTGTCTTCGGTCGTCAGCGCCAAAATTGGGGTTTCGGCTTTGGAATTAACGCAGAAGGCTTTGGTGGTGGCATCTCGAACAATAATGGCAGAAAGAAGCGCGATCTGGGTCCTTTCGTGCAACACAGTTACAGCGGCTGTCACTATCTCCCGACTATCCTAACAGCCGATGTGGCCGCCGATGGGACACTGAATATCAGCATACCAACGTCAAAATCAGCCGATGTCATGAATATTTTGGTTTCTTACGATTTTCAAACATCACAGAGCAAGACGGTCTTCGCAAAGCAGTCCGTCAGTGGTAGTTTCTTAGATATTTCCCCGGTTTCTGCCGATCTGGTTGCCGGTGCGGTGGCCGAGTTTGCTATTGCCACATCGACGCGGCTGAACGAGCCTGTTCATATCGTGGTAAGTACCTCAGTCATATTTATACGCCACTCGTTCACAGCACTCTGCCCTAGATAAGAAGTCTTTCTCGGTTTTATTTGTGTAGGTATTTTCTAGCTCGAATGCCAGTTTCTTATGGACTGACTCGCTTTCCACGCCTGGGCAACGGTTACTGTCTACGTGCCGCTTGCGGAGGCGATGGGCCCCGCTGGGCGCCTTATTGCGTATTATGTCAGAGAGGACGGGGAAATCGTTGGCAGTATCATACCACTGCGAATTAAAATGACCTTTCATTAGAAAAGGTAGATGAAACTTCTTTCCAACAAATAACAATTCCATTAAACATAGATATCTTCCAAAACGTCCACGTACGTAAGACGCAAAGCATAAGTGTAGGCGTATAAAAAATTTTGAAATAGCCGGACGCACGGTACTTGCTTCCTGGTATCAGAGCAGCATTACTTTTAAAATTAAAAGAGCTACGGCAGTCGGGCTTGTGAAGTCAGGATAACCAAACCGAAGTCCCCGTCGTCACCGTATTATTTCCTTAAACAGGTGACTCTATCTGTAACATCCAAGAACGGTCAATCATCAGCTCAACCTGGCGAAAAGGTTACCGTGAAAGCAAAGACTGCTCCATTTTCCATGGTCGTCTTTTTGGCCAGGGAGGACAGACTGTCGTTGCTTAAGCCAGACAACGATATACCTCCTTCCACTGTAAGCCGCTTCGATATCAATAATGATTATTCTCTATTACCACATTTGACTACGGATTTCTATGGATTCCAATAATCTATTCGTAGTTTTTTTATGCAGACCGGAAAACCAAAAAGAGAATGGAACACAAAGCCGGTCGGCTATCGTCGGGTTTCCATGGCCGATAATTTTAATGTACGCATGTATTTTAGGTATTTGTCTACTGCTGGTATCTGTACAAGTACAGTTAGCTGAAATTTTATGTATTCTTCTTCAACTAAAATTCAAATAGAGGGTTGCTGTTGCATCTGCAAAATTAGGCACTCCCTAAACAATAAAGCAAATAATTATGGAAAAAAGACTGAATTATGTACCCTTTGCAGAAACCAGTTGATTCCAGCAACATGCAATATTTTATTCTGACCAACACCAAAGGTTCCGCGACCGATCCAGATATCGAAAAGTTATTATGGCCGTACCCTGGATACAGCAGCTGTATTTGTCCCAGAGCAGAAATTCGTTACGGGTTTCGCATCAACAATGATCCTAAAGAGTCGTATTGCTCATACTACGGTTAAGACGAGCGAGATAAAAGTTCGGATGCCGATGGAACGGAAGCGACATCGTTCTCCGACGATTCCACAACGCTGCTCCCTACGTCGACGCGAAAGCCGATTCCACAGAGTTTCCTTTTTGAAACTGCTGTGGCAGAGTGAGTGCACATTTTGTCCTCAAAATTAACGTGTTGATCTTGCATTCCGATTATCGTACATAGGGTAACATACCGTACCACTTAAGCGAATTATTCGCACTTCTGTTCTGGAGTTATTTTAATTACGGACACAATTTTAAAATTAAAAATGTTTGAAATATCGTTGTTTGCTTACTTACGCGATGTTGGCTCACTAGCGCAAACGGGGATGTCGTTGTGGAGCGCAGAGTGCCCGATACACTGACAACATGGCATATCTGGGCGTTTAGCTTGAACAAGACTGGCGGATTAAATGCGTCGACACCTGCCAAGGTTGACAGAAAAACTAATAATATTATCAATTTTAACCAGTACCGCCAAACATGATTAAACTGCCTGCTTTGATGTTTCAGCTTAAGGTTTTCCAACCATTACTTGCCTCTCTGGATCTACCGTACAGCGTTATCCACAACGAAAATTTCACCGCCGAAGTCGTCATTTCTAACTTTATGCCGCAGAAGCAAGATGTGGCAGTCAATTTATCCATTCGCAGTCCGGATAACACAATGATGACCTTTACAAAGAGCATCATTTCCAAGCCGAATGATAGGATAACGGCGGCATTTAAGATCATCCCGGAGCAAATTGGTGACTGGGAACTCGCGGTCACAGTTAAATCTGCACTCGCCTCATATCACCTGAACAAAACTTTGCTCGTCAAACCAGGAGGCGTCACGCAGTTCTACAGCCAGCCAATCCTGATCGATCTCAACAAATCCAATACATTTAATACGGTCATCCAGTTACCGATGGATCCAGCTGATAGGGTCACAGGGTCCGAGAAAGTAATAGTTGACGTTGTCGGTGACATTCTCGGCGTCTCCCTCCATAATCTGGATAAACTGATTAGGTTGCCGACTGGAGGCGGCGAGCCGAACATGGCGATAGTAGCGTCCAGCGTTGCAGTGCTCAAATATCTGAGAAATACGAATAAAACATCACATCAAAAGGAGAAGAACTTGGCAAGCAACATTCAGTTGGGTTATCAACAAGCGCTGACGTATCTCCGCAATGATAATTCGAATTTGTTCAGCATGCGGGGACCAACTGACACAAATTCGTCTACATGGTTGACTGCTTATTTCACCAGAGTTTTTGCCGAGACCTCGCAACGGCTTCCCAAAAGCAGCACTAAAGTTATCGAGAAAGCGATTCAGTTCCTCATTGACCAGCAAAACGACGATGGTTCGTTTCGCGAAAGCGGAAAAATTATCGACAGTTACGTCGAAAGCGGTGATTCCAAACAAGTGTTCTTGACAGCATTTACGGTTCTATCGTTTACGGAATATATCAAGACAGGGAAGGCTGGCATCGAGAAGTTGAACGCTTCGCTCCAGAAAGCAGTGGCATATTTGGAATCGCAAGTGGACAGTGCCAAAAGCGACTCGTACGCTTCAGCAATAACAGCGCACGCATTGGCACAAGCTAACAGTTCGAAGAGCTTGGATGCGCTGAACCTGTTGAAAGATTTAACGGTCACCGATGCTTCAACTGTGCACTGGAAGACCCCTGCGTCAGTCGAGGATGAAACGGAAAATGCCGGTTATTTGTACGCCACACACCCCATAGATGTCGAAGCCACCGCGTATGCGTTACTGGCGCACTTGGCCAATGGAAACTGGAACACGTCGCTAAAAATCGCTTCCTGGTTGATTTCAAAACAAAATGCTGAAGGCGGATTCTTTTCGACAGCGGTACGTATAACTGTTTTCGCATTTTATGATATCTACTATGCAAGCTCAACCCCACCGGTTTTTGTAGGATACAGTAGTCGCGATAGAAGCGTTAGCCAAATTTGCCCAGTTCATCACCGATGCCCCAGCGATTCAAATCGATCTCATGGATGGCATTCAAAAGAGGGATGTGACGATCTCGCCGGACACAGCGATGGCCGTTCGTTCCTTGGAATTTGCACAGAAGCCCACGGATATTGCGATTCATGCCAGAGGAAGCGGGATGGCTGTCGCTTACGTAAGCTGGACATGCAACGTACAGTGACCGATAGAGGGCTGGACATTTGACCTCAACGCCACTTTATCCCGTACCGGATCCACCAGAGCTAATCGTCTAAACATTTGCACCAGGTGAGTCGTACTGATGCCGGTTGTAAAACGCATGTGCTTTACAAATTTTTGCCTGGATTATAAATCAAAGTGGAGCGACTTATTCAACAGATATTGGAAAGATGGCACAAGCAGCCTGGCGCTTGTGGAGGTCAGTGCGCTGCCCGGTTACCAGTTTGACGAAGAAGAGATCAAACAGCTTTCGCCAGTTGTTAACCCAGCCAGCCAGCCGCCAGCCAGCTGCGGAAAAGCCAGCTGGACAATAAAGGCAGCCAGCTGAATTTGTATTTTGACGAGGTAAGTTATAAGAATGCTTGTGCGGATGGTTAAAACTTAAAAGTACTCAACCAGGATTAGATGCATATGCCGATAATCGAGATACTTCACGACTTACAGGTATATGATCGGTCTGTTTGTGCTTGTAGATGACTTCGACTGCCATTTGCTTCAATTTGACGATGTACCAGACGTACAAAGTGGAGAATTTGAAAAACCAAAGCATTGTAATTTACGTGATAGACGAACGGTTTTCTATAACGCTTTGTGGAATGGCATTTAAAGCTGACAAGCTACTAATAAAGTACATAGCTTTACCGTTCATATAATTGGTATACGACCCTTTTCTGGATGTGAACAACGATAACAGATGCTTAAAATTTTACATATGTATGTAGAATTATTTAAGGAGACATATTAGTGCAGAATATAACCTCAAAACGACTTGCTGCCGCGATCCCAGAAGACGCATCTGAGTGTTATTGTATCCGCAGATGTCAATAACCAGCACAAAAATTAGCCCAGTGAAAGCTTGAAGTGAATTTAATCACCCATAACGATTCGTGAGCTTAACTGTTAGTGTTCGTGACCATAATCATATCGGACAAGGTAATTTTAAGTAGACGTTCGGCTATGGACTAAAATCTGTACGACTACTCCTCTAATGCGATAAACGGGTCCTGCAATAGCTGAGCTGCCGTTGGTCGATCCGCCGGTACTCGACACAAACATCTCCTAATAAAATCTCCAGCTTCCACTGGAACATCCTTGGGAATTTCGGGAGAACCACCCTTACCCATGAAATACACAATCTGCATCGGCTCCGTTATGACGGTAGGAGGTTGACCGGCATCACGTCGAATAAACTGCGGAGGGCTTCGCGAAAACATTTGGATCACCACACAGCCCACACTCCAGATATCCGTCTTCCTCCCGATCTTCCCTTATGGCCGATAAGCTCGCCGCCCATGATCTCCGGCGACATGAAACCGACGGTGCCGTGATTCGTGGAGACTTCGTTGGAGCGGGTCATGGCCGTCTCCAACTCTTTGTTATCACCGAGGTCGCCGATCTTCAGGATGCACCTAGCGTAGTCGGCAGAGGACAGGACAATGTTGCTGCCTTTGATGTCGCGATGGACGATACGGTTAGCGTGGAGAAAGGCTAAGCCGGCTACGATCTGCTTCGTCCAGCGCGCGGCGTACCTGTTTGCATCGAAATCTGGGTTTTGTACCGCATCGTGCAGTGTCCCACCTGTTTATGTAAGATAGTGTCAACAAGCGTAAAGCTGTTGATGGTTTTGTGGTGGAGTAAGACGCGAAATGTATATCTTGGTTATTACTAAAGGTCAGCGGCATCATCTCGACTGATGACATTTAGTACCTTTAATACTCAAACCACCGTCGCTAATCATATTAGACAGGCTGACCGTTTCCGGTCTTTCCATCTTCATTGTAGACATCCAAACGGCCAACTACTTCACAACTTTCAAGACAGTCAGATTACCAGTTCACCTTACCAGCTTAACAACGGACTCTACGGGAAACATAACAGAGCCGCCTACCTGAGTGATTCACAGCACAAGACAATTATCATAATCCATAGACAAACCATAGGTCAAGAAATCATCGATTACTTTAAAGTGCTAAAACAAGGCTTAACCATCTTCAGCTGGGCTATTGCTCCCTCATAATTGGTTGCTTATTCTGATTCATACTGGAATTACGTAATCACTGGGAATGTACATGTATGGCTGCGCTTATGACCAACAGACATACTACACGTGACAATAGGTATGTACAATTTAAAAACATAAAACGCTACATATAATTTTACTTAAAGGGCAACTACAGGATTTATGCACAAACGAGAGAGTCAAAACACGACACATGTACGTCACGCAAAAACCGGCTTCCTGTGCGAATACAAGAAAACGCTTTTATCATAATTATGACCAATATGGACGTCGGCTTCATCATTTAAATTAATTTTGGTTTGCTTGACTCTCCTTTCTATTATCTTTCCCTTTCTGTTATCTTTCGCGGTCAAACGGAAAGATAATAATATTATAAATGATGAAACAGTTAAAAAACGGCTTTCGAAAACGTGACTGAAAGATCTATATTAAATCGTGCTTTCTGCAACTTTTCGGTACCTTGACAATATTCCGTTAGTATGCAGTAATAATCAACAGGACATTCGCCGGCCATATTGAAGATCTGCATGGAACGTTGTTGCAGTTGCAAATGATGGACCAAGTGTAGATGCTGCAGTTCAAGAATACCTTTGTACTGTTTATTCAGTCGGCTAATTAGGGTGCTCCTCGTTGTAGCACAATCGGGAAGTGCAATCAGCTTGACGACGATGTTACAGGCACCCTCTGGAATATTATCCGTTCTCCTGGCTTTGAAGACGTACCATTTTCTACTGACATGCAGTTTATCAGCTAACTGGAACGGAATAGCAGTATGATCGTCGGCTCGGTTAGCCATAAGGCTCATAAACAAAGAATAGCATCGGCGATTCTGTGGTGAAGTACACAGGGCTGTAACAGTAGTCTTGATTCTGCCAAATGCGAAAAGCAAACAAGAAAAATTTAACTACGTCGAAAAGAAAAATTTAACTACTGTACGTCGCTGACTTACTGAAAGGACAGTAAGCCCTGTAATCCGCATTCACAGTAAGCACTTCGCACTATCTGTATAGTATACAAGTATACATATATTAAGGAATTTCAGCACACTCTGATCATAAGGCAGTCAGAACTGAAAGTACCTATTGTAACAACGGTCTATCTGGCTGCTATGTACAGGTAATAAACACTACTAAGTAGCAGGTGCTGTTGGATGTTGTGGTGGCTGCGGAAAGTGCATTACAGCACGTAATCGGCAACAAGCCTGAGTACGTGAGGATGGAGCTTTGGATGGGAAGTTTATCGCAGTTATAACTGTATGTCAATAATTCTGCTCGTAGTGCAAGAGTTCACCAGAATTCAACAGCAACCTCAGCGTCTTCTGTTTGAATTTTGTTATCTTTGTTGTATGACTTGTATCAGTGTTACTTACGTGCCTGGGCATTTTTATCAGTGACCTCCTGGTACGGCTTTTGTAAGACTTAGCCGCCCATATAACAACAACACCACCACCACCATACATAATTATTGTGATAAGTCAATTCAACAAAGTTCGTGGCAATTTTTTTCATTGACCTTAGCACCATGTGACCGTTGTCGCGATGCTAAAGCCGGACTCTTCGCAATTCCCGTACAAATTCAAGTAAACACTTTAATCCTACTCCGCTGATAACTGATAATATGGATCTGCAAAACAAATAACCAACTGGCGTTTGAAAGATACTGGAGTGTTCCAAAATTGTGTGGCAAGGCCGTTTTACTTTGTATTTTATATAAATATATGATCCCGTTGACATATGTACTTACTGTTCCAAGTACAAGTTGTACAAGTACAAGTTGCACTTTCTATAGTGTACTTACTTTCTATAGAAAGTTCCTGACTGTACTTTTCATATATTGTCAGAAACTAGCAAGGATAAGTGAAATCGTAGCATAGTGGCCGATAGATGCCAACGTATGCCCATTGGCCCAAAACGCAGATACGAATTAGTACTGCTGATGAAAAGTAATTCTGCGATTTAGTGGCTCGTATATTTTTTTGTTATGGAACATACTCCCATATTTTTTGTGTTACATGTATACTATTTTAAAAAGACGAAACAAATTAAGAATAAGTAAGTTAAACATCGAACTGGATGATCAACTTGAGGTAAAAGCGGAAAATAAGAAATAAACGACACATTAACAGTAACTGCAACTTCGTGTATTAATTTAATGAATTTAATAACGCCTTCATTACAGTGCAATTAATAATCGGGTCCGTGCTCTTAACACATACAAATTCTATAAACCAACAAAGATCGTGGAGAAAAAGATCCAGGACATCGACAGCGTACTCGGCAATAAAAAGCATAAAAAATAAAAACACCAATCTACACAAATAGGACTATCCAACAAAATCGATCCCTCAAAAGTACGCTTTGACACCATAACATGGCAGAATACACCAACACGCCTATACAAAAAACAATAAAGATTTCAAAATAAAAGATCAGCATAAAGCGGAGAAAGTGGAGAAAAAATCCCCCATGGAACCAACAAAAAAATTCCCGAAATTCCCAAAAATCGAAGTTATTCCTTCCCGGGCTCGCTGCGCTTGCCCATCTCATCAAAATTCAACGTGGCCCGCTGATCGCCCATCCGTGCGCCCTGCACCCGCATCAGCATATCAAAAAACTGCTCATCCGGCACCGTATCCGTCTCCTCGGCAATACTGACCGATTTGCTGATGGAGGTGTTGCGTTCCCGGGGCACCGGGGTCAGGGGACTGGGGAGATCCGCCCGCTGCTCATCCAGCCGTTTACTCTGCACCCCGGCGATCATATCCATCAGATCCTCGAAGGTCCGCACCTGGGCGTGCGCCGTGCCCGTCTTGGAGCTGCCGTTGCCCATGCGGTGGTGGTTCTCCTTGTTGGCCACGAAGGAGCAGCGCTGATCGTCCAGGCGCTTGCTCTGCGCACGGCAGATCATGTCCAGGAGGTCCTCTTCCTCGGCCGGCGGGACAGCGCCGTTGCTGTGCGGGGGATGGGGAGCGGCGGCGGTGGGTGCGGAGGTGGAGGGTGGTGTCAGTGCCTCTTCCGGGAGGGCCTGGAGGGGGGCTTTGGACAGTTTGGCCATGTCGGGCGACAGGCGCAGGAGGTCCATGTGCTCCATGGAGATGCGACGGATGCGGGCGGCTAAGTCTTCCGGGGAACCTGCAAACGATTACACTGCATCAAGTAAACATTTTCAACAGCGCTTCCACTAATTTTTTATCAATTAAAATTCTCACTTTTGTAAGCGGTTTTTCCAGTGAGTTTCTTATTATTAATGAAATTTTTTAAGCAAAGTGTTAAAAATGAAAAATAAAATCATAATTAAATTTTAAATTAAAATTTTCAGTTAATGAAAATTTCAAGAAGCAATAATAAAAATAATTGAGATCTGTACATATTAAGCACCAGCACCAAGAAAAAACGATCACATCATGTCGCCTTGCGCAACGTAAAGAAAAAAATTATTTTTAGTTAGCACTTTCATGATCATGATCTTACAACAAGCAGTTTTGCCTCTACCGATATTCATCTGCCTATAATTTTGCCTTCATCTGATGAAAATGGTGAACACAGCCTTGCGTTGATGTGACGCTACACTACGATGACCGACAGTACAAGATATATAATTGCCTTAATCAATAATCAGTACTGTACTTTCTTCGACAAATTCCCTACTGTCAAATGAATACTTTAAACACTTTTTTTTTTAATTTTATGATTTATACGGAAGCGGTTAACCACTTAACCTTATCACCATTAACGTAATTTTTAACGTAAAATAAAAAAAAAACGCACGCAGCTTAAATACGACAAAAACCAAGTCCGATCGATAAATATATCCAAACACTAATTAACAAATCAGTCCTGAACTTTAAATCCCCAGCGGGATCAAACCCAGACATGCCGCAATCCTCAAGGGACCACATTCACCGTACACATCGCTTTCAATCACTCTTAACCCTCCGCGATCCCCCCTCCCAGGGGACGTGACCTTTCTCCCTAAATCGGTAATTCCCTTACCTGGCTGCCCATCCATCCGCCCGGTGTACTCCTGGACGTTGGCCTGCGCGAACGCCGCCCCCACCGCATCCCCCAGCTCCTGGGCGATGCGGTAGTGCTCCGTGGCGTAGCGCAGCGCCGCCTCCTTCTTCCCCAGCGCCGCGTACGCCGCCCCCAGCGACCAGCAGGCCCGGCCTTCGCCCACGCGGTCCTGCAGGGCCTGCGCGATGTGGTGGTGTTTCTCGTAGTAGACGATGGCCTTCTCGTGCTGATTGAGGAGGGAGTAGGTGTTGCCCAGGCTGTAGCAGGCCTGGGCTTCCAGGGCGGGGTCACGGGCGTTGTCCACCAGGGAGAGGGATTTGAGGTAATACTGCTCGGCCAGGGCGTACTGCCCCAGGAAGATGTGACAGTTGCCGAGGTTGGTGTAGGCGCGCCGTTCCGCCGGGATGTCGTGGCATTCCCGGGCGAGGACGAGACGTTCTTGATGGTGCATGACGGCTTGCGGGAAATTACCTGCGTGTCCACATCGACAGCAGGTTAACGAAATATATATTTTCTTATTTAATGCGCATTAATATCTCAGATATCTGTACTTTATTCGATCGATTACGGTACCTTTCCAATTCAGCGCTACGGACTTATTCCCACCCACTATTTACTTACAATTAGTATGAGTTGACCATTAAAAATCCATAATTAGCATGCATAGTTCTGTAGTTACAAAATTATAAATGTCACAGTAATTGTTGAAAATTATTTTAATTCAACTACTAATTTTAAAATTTTTTAATTCAACTACTAATTTTAAAATTAATACGATTAATCTGTGATGAAAATACACCTTTTCTCCACTTAAGATGGTATTAAAATAACATTAAGTGCAACACTACACGTGAATGTTGCGAAAGATTTTTAAAACGTGAAGTCAGTTATTAATTATGACGCACTGTCTATGTGACACGAAGACGCGGTCAACAGTTTTCCGGTAAATGCAATACACATGGCCATCTTCTCAAATATTTAAAATCAAATTCAACGGATTTTGCGGTATCTTTTCAAAATAATTACTACCAAATGTAAAGGCTTTTGCGGCATTAAATTTAATGAAGAGCCATAGTTTCCCCCGCTGTTTTATCTTGCTTTTAACACTTCTACAAATTCCTTAAACCAATGCAACAAGAAATCGCTCAAATTTAGAAATCCATGGCTTCTCCCGAAACAATCAATACTTTCAAACCATGCACCACCACATCTGCATACGTAATTTAGCCCACGCAACAGTCCCGCATTTTTCCATCGTGAATCTTTCCTATACAGGTCGCTCGCCACCATCGGCACACTGCAGTCGCAAAGGGAAAACAATGTAATTTTCAGGGAAAAGAAAATTAATTTTCCCGTCTGAAGCACGAGCGCAGTGCGTTGCACCGCACTACGGCAGCCGAGGGGATAAAATTAATCAAGGGAAAATTGTCCTAATCGATACAGCACTTTATGCACCACTGCCTGACAACAGAGTGAACAGCCGGAGCAACGTGTGCAGCAATTAACGGGACTGCTAATGCACAATTTCGCACACCCTGGCGTAGACTTTAACAAGCACTGCGCGCTCGGCCTGTATACAAATTCTCGCTCAATCGATGGGCGATAAAACCGGGGATACATCCGCATCAAACTTCATAAGGACGGACTGCCTTGTACAAGTCATTTGACACTTCCGTGTAAAACACGCGTAATGCAATGTCAGTCTTGTCAGATTCGGGAATTAATCAATATCAAATTACGGCACACAGCGAATAAGAATTTTAAATAATCCGAATATTATTCGCGTCTTGTAGATATAAAAAAATATTACCAATAATTCAATTAAAAATTTAACCGATATTTCAGCGATTAAGGATAAAAATACAGAAATTCGGTTAATTCCGGTGATTATTCCAAACCCAATGACCCGGAACATCACACCCTCTACTTCGAAGCGCCTTATTAAAGAAGACGAAAAAATCAACGATAATTCAATCGTCAAATCAATAGAAATCGCAGTTTTCCTGATTCGCCATTAAACTTCACATCTTCCATCTTTATTTCCAATTTTACCGTTTATTTTACCATTTTATTTTTTTACAAATTATTTGGAACAAGCTTAATTTATCCTGAGTACTGGTATTCCGTTAATACAAAATCTGTAATTTTGCATTTAACAATTTTAACATGATCAACTTCGCCTTAAATTCTGGGATAATTTCGCAACAAATTAAACCCGCGTCACACAATGTAAGCCATTACACAAGAATTATTTTTCCGAAATTTCGAAAATAAATTCTGTAATTGTAATCTCTGGCTGAGTTCGCCCTACGACGAATTTCTGCTTCTTTTGATTTTTTAATTGTACATATAATGCAAATTTTCGCTGAAATAAATAAGCTAAATTCCGCAAACTCACCAAGCAAATACTGAGCACTCCCGAGATTCCCGCACACCCGTCCCTGCGCGGCCAGATCCCCGAAATCCGTGACGAGATTATAGTTCTCCAGATAGTACCCCACCGCCTGATCCAGATGCTCGCGAGCCTCCGGGGGCGCCTCATAGCACTCGCCCCCGCCCCCAATAACCGCCTTGGCCTTGGCTAAATGAATATTTCCCAGATTGTACAGCGCCCGACTCACCGCCACCGGATCATCCCCGGCCGCGCGGTACAACTCCAGCTGGCGCTGCCCACAGGCCACGGCCGCCTCAAACTGCCCCAGACTCTTCAGCGTCATGGCGATATTCCCCGAGGCTTTGGCTTCCCCCCGGGTGTCCTTCATTTCGCTGGCGATGCGCATATCTTTGGTGTGATACTCCAGGGCCTTGTCGTAGTTCTCCAGGTAGAAGTAGGCATTGCCCAGCTGTACGTAGATGGCGGAGAGGACGGAGAGATCCTGGGTGCCAATCTGCAGGGCGGCCTGGAAGGCCTGCACGCCGGAGCGAAAATCCCCCGCGCGACACAGGGATTCGCCTTTCAGCGCCAGGGAAAGACATTCGTCCGGTTCGGTCATGATGCGGGGAAAATTGTGGGAGAGGAATGATGCGGGAGAAAGATGCTGAGAAAGAGGGAAATACTGGAAGCCTTACATTGGAGGATGATGGATTTTTATACGTGTGACAAGCAGGACGGTAATGAACGCAGAATCAAACAGCTGCCTTCGCTGCCATTTAAAATTTTAATGGTAATCGCGCGCGCGCCAACTGAGACAGTGTGAAATGGAAGTTTGCCACTGGCAGTGATGTACGGAAACCAAGCGCTACGCGAGTGTTTCTCTGTAACACACCACTTGTCTGACTCTAACAACCGGGAGCGTTGAATTTAAGCCACAATTACAGAGCTTTCTTGCTCTTTTTAGCACTAAGGAGACGCACTGGCATATTTCCCTGTACGTTGTGGCTTTTTATTTACCGCGTGAGACAAGGATTTAGCAGCGCCTAACAGCGTTTTGACATCGCAAGTCACGCTAGCCGCACACTGGCCGGATTATCCCTTTTTCAATCCCCCCGTTTCCGGTTGGCTGCCACATAATTCTGACACGGCAGAAAGCAGTGAAGCGAAGAGGGATTTGCATGGAAAGCAGTGCGTGCGAACCGATCCACCGGAGTGTTGCACAGGAACAACTTGCTCACTTTTGTGCAGCTCGACATTCCCAGAGGCCATCACGTTCCCTAACCTTTCGCAAACTTGTGCTGCTTCCATCATATGACGGTGGAAAAATGTGATAGATTGCTTGTTCCTTTCATCCGACTGGTCAGGCATGGGGGATAAAATTTTATCCCGGCTGTGGCCCATAATCACATCCGGCGGGGATCATTAGGCAAATCGATCAACTTTATCGTGCAAGGCAGCGCACGGTGCCAATGGAATTGGAAATACGTAGTGGAATTGACCGCGAGTGGTCGTCCCACCACAACAACCACCGTCTGCCTGCTCGTGAAAAACTGCAAATATTTGCATGTAAAAATCTTTTTATCGCCGTTTCATTCCAAAGTCCGTCATATTTTTATCGTTTTCACTCGCAAGCGGACGGCCAGCGCTCTTATCACCCTTCATACGGCATCCTTGATTGTATTTTCTCACACACGGCTGGAATCAAAAATCTTTCTGCTTCATTTCCTGGCCAGCAATGCGTAACAGATCGCGGTTGTTGAAATAAATAGAAAATTCCCTGATTTTCTTGCGCAATCCGTCCATAAATTCCCTCCATTTTTTGTGCCTGTTTTCTGGGGAATTTTCATGTTTGATTAATTGGCGAATATGTCGGGGAGTATTTCGGAGGAGACGTACGCCCGCGGCCTCGGCGGGCAGGGACGGTCGGGCTCCCTGAGTCAGGCGGGGGGTCGCATGTTCCACTACACGGACGCCATTGTCTGCGGTGTGCCTGACAGTTTCATCCGCGGTCAGACGTCGCTGTCGCTGGCCACCCCGGTGGATGTGCGTAAAGCTCGCGATCAGCACCGTGTGTACGTGGATGTACTGCGGAAATTGGGGATGGATGTGTGGGAATTAGGTGAGGGGAGTGGCAAGCACGAGCCGTCATGGCGTGACTGTCTTTTTGTTCTGGCATTTTTGTCATTTTATTCATTTTCATGTGTGTGTGTGACTGTTTTTCACATGCGACTCCGGAGAGCGTAATTTTTCGTTTTTCAAAAAATTATTCGATTCAAAGAAATTTTTCTAAAAGGTGTACGGTTGCATAACTTGCATTAAATTACGTTATATAATTTTATAATGTACTCTTAATAAATTTATGCCAGTTTTTAGTTGATCGAGAAAATCAGTTTTTTGTTGAAGAAAAATGTTTTAGAATGTGCTGAATTTCTAAACATTGGAAAGAGAATTTCTAAACATTGAAAGTTAAAATGTTAATTAATTAATTTTAGTTTTCATCCAATTAGTGCGTGATTAACTGATCTGTGGAATTTTCGTGCTTGAAATTCAGGTGCATTATAAAACGTTGTTTTGGAATTTAAAATTCTGTTCTTAATTCTGTTTTCAGCAGGAAAAATTTGGTACGGAACACCTTGCGGTGTACCCAGTTTATCTTAATTTAAAAAAATAAATTTGCTGCAAGAAGTCCGTAATAATTGTGGAATTTATTAATTAGTACGACCTAATATTGGAATTTATTAATTGTTTTCTTGTAGACCCGGATGAAGCCCTTCCCGACAGTCCGTTCGTGGAGGACACGGCGGTGATTATCGGTCCGACAGCGTTAGTGTGCCGTCCGGGTGTGGCCAGCCGTGAATCTGAGGTACTGTTTGTCTATCTTTTCATATTGCACAAAAGAGAACACAATGCTCTCGCATCGGACGACGCCGATTAGTCATTGCGAATATTAATTTACTAATAGTGACACACTTCCGAGGAGTGGCAGGCATTATTAAAATGATATTAAGGCGGGTAGTGCCATTTCTTAAACTTCCACACTATGTTTTCGAATTTTCTGGGGACGTTTAATGGTCCGAAATTCTTGAATATTATTCTTATTTTGCTTTCCAAAAATTTGTATGACCTTAAAATCGGAAAAGAAGTAGCGCCAGATCAGAAACAGATAAAAAATAACAAGTTATTAAAAAGTTATTCTAGCAAACTGGTTGTGCAATATCTTAGTTTTAATTAACGGTGGAATTGCTGTCTTGCGGTGGGGTTGCACTAGAAGCCGCAGTTCTACATTGTTGGGCGAATTATCGGAGTTTTTTACGACATGAATGTTTTACGTAATGCGTTTATGGAGTACCCTGTATACGGGAAAATGATATTTTTCAGTTTCTTATACACTTGTAAAAAATGCAGTGATTCGTCTGGCAAAAGTTCACTGTAAAAATAAAGTAGATAATTTCTGTAACAGCTAGAAACGGTTTTTTAATAATTTATAATACTATTTTAAATTCGGTGGCGGCTGGAGCAGCCGACTCCGACTGAGCGAGAAGCGGCGACTGCGGTGAAAGTATTGATCCTTTAATCGGATTTTACTTAATGCGAAGTCGGGATTTTTCTGCTGCAGGTGAAAGTGGTCAAATCCATCCTGATGAAAGAATTCCCCGACATTGAGCTGGTGGAGATGAAGAATGAACGGGCGCGGTTGGACGGCGGCGATGTGCTATTCACCGGTAACGAACATTTACCAACAAACACCGTTTTCATGATATTTATTTTTCCATAAATTGTAATATCTTGTGTGACGCGCTGACAATGGCAGTATGTGTGTTGGCTGCTTTCCGGTCGGCATTGGTGGTCGGTGTTGCGTGGCTGGTTCTTCGCGGCCGCGGCTTAATGGGTGTTTAGTGTAAGCAATTGTAAAGTCTTGTATGAACAAATATGGCGCTGGATATTCCACTCCGCTGGTTCCGCTCTCGCGCGCGCGGCGCAACAGATTAGCGCGCTGCTTTGTTGACACAGCAGTGTTGAGGAGAGATAGCGGCGATGAATGTACCGTGGAAAATGAATACCGTTTTGTCATCTGCAGCGCAACACTGGCTTCTATAGAAAATGATGTTTCACCAGTCGGTTGATTTTTGTAATGTGTGGGTAATTGCCTGAACTAACTTATCCATTATTGCTGGATGATTTTTTTACGATATGTAGTTTTTTTTTTATTATCTCACTCAATTTGTGATGATGGACTTGTACGGCAAATTGTTAAAAGTTTTAATTTTTTACAGAATGGACTATTATTTACAGTATTAATTAGTTTTAATTAGATTTAATTAACTACTCTGTACACGCTTTTTTTGGCATGGCTTTTTTCGATGGTTTTGAATTTGGCAGAACCTAATGCAAGAGCAACTGCATTCCCTTTCTAGGAAACTTGTAAATTACCGGCTAAATCAACGGATATTTCGAGGCTTCATTGTTTATCGTGATGCAGTATTGCTGTTTCCCTGTTGTTGTTGTTTTATTTTACCATTTTTCACTGTTTTATTTATAAATTGGTGGTGCTCTAGGTCGGGAGATCTTTGTGGGCATTTCCAAGCGGACAAACGAACTGGGCGCCCAGGAAGTGGCCCGCGCCTTCCCGGATTATCCCTGTTTGGGGGTGCGCGTGGAGAATGCGCTGCACCTGAAGACGCTGGTCACCCTGGCCGGGCCGCGCACCCTGGTCGCCGGCGACAGTCCCAGTGCACGCAAAATGGTCCAGGTACACATTTTACATGCGTCCATTTTTCTTTGTTGATAGGTGTTAATTTTTGGAACGTTTCCGATAGAAAATTGAGAGCGATGCGATCTACCGCTACGACATCATCCATGTGACGGACGATCTGGCCAACACGGTGTACGCCAACGGCACACTGGTGCACAAAGCCGGATATCCCAATGCCGCTAAGGTAAAAAAATGTTCTTTCTTCCGTAAATTGTTTTACAGTTGACTACCATAAACCAAAAACATTAAAAAAATTACATAAACATTTAAACAAATTGAAAGATGATTGTCATAAAATTCCAGCAAGATGTAGTTATTTGTACTACTCGTACCTTCAGAAAACTTTAAAAATGATCAAAAAATTATCGTAGTACAACGAGCTAAAAATTAATTTTAAAAAATTGGAAATATTGATAACGTAGTTCTTGTGTGGCACGGTTATTTACTCTGTCTTTGGAAAACTTTGGAAATGCTCACAGTAATTTATTTAAAACCAGACATTAAAAATTATATACAGAATAATATAAAAAATGTAAAGAGAAACGAAATAAATAGAACAAAAATAAAAAAAACTTGGCTTATCCCGCTAGATTCTGACGGAGAAGTTGCGATGCCCGAAAGTCAGCGTGGATTTGAGTGAGTTCGCCAAGCTGGAAGGCCACCTGACCTGCTGCAGTCTGCTGTTGTCGCGCACCGCATCCCTTGGCGGCAAAGCGCGGACCTTCCAGCGCTAAGAGTATTTTTGTATCCAGTTTACACGGGAAAACCTTTCCAGCCATCCTACCTAATCAAGTTCCAGTCGGGTGTGTGGATAGTGAAGTGTGGCAGCCGGGAATTGATGGGTCTCGAATAAGCGCCTTTGGTGTGTGTTCAGCCTTTTTATGAAGTGCTTTTATTCTTTTATTTTCTTTTTAACTTTGTATAACGAAAAATCCGCCCAACGATGGTGCCTTATGTTTGTAATGCGGCCTTCGGTGTCAGTTCGGGTGTATAAGCATTCCCTTCTCGCACTTCCATAAGTATGGATCAAAGGATTTGTTGTTGTCTCTTCCTGTACAATTTATAAGCGTGTGTTTTTGTGGAATTTGTAGTCATTTTGTGGATTGGCAACACTTGTTGAATTTGTTTCACGGCAAACATATTTTTGAGGGAATAATAAAAGCCGGTAAATAATCATAAATCTAATACTGAAACCGTGATTAGGATTTTATTAAATTAAATTAGGACCAAGTCAAATGTGATTGTAACGGCCTGTGCTTAGAGCGAGTAGAGTTCTTCAAGAACCTGTAGGACTTTCTCGATCCACTTTCTCGATGTAAATATAAACGAATAAACGTAAACGTGGCAGAAGCGGCTACGGTACAACCATTAGCATTGCATGGCTTTCGTAGAACAGTGGCGGTGACCAGTACCCCGGCGGTTGCTCTGTTATTTCGGCGGGCCGTTATACAAGATCAAATAACCTAAAAAATTAAATTATTTACACTTTTTTAATTTTAAAAACAACAGTATCGTACTTACCGCTCACATGAAAATTTTTAACGCGCTAATACACCTGTATACTTTAAGTATCTAGGAAAAAACTGAAGCGTTTTGCAAAATTTGTGTATACAAACTGCAAAACTTAACACATAAGTTGTATGTATGTATAACACATAAGTTTGTTTGTATTTTGTCATCCTGATTACAGCAAGTCGAAAATAAACCTTATTGTGATGTGGTTTAAAAATAAAATCCCGTCGACCCTGTCCGTCCGTGACGCAACGCCCGGCACACGTAAAACAATAGAACATCGTATTGTTCACTGCTAATAAGTAATCCAATAATATTACATTGGTCTTTTTACAAAATCCTAATTCCTTTTCCCTTTTCCATCCTAATTATTTTCTTTGACGATATTGACATGTTATCCCCCTTTTTTGCCACCACTGCAGGTTATCGTAGCTGTCACCAGTGTTTTTACATTATTTTATTTCGGTAGTGTCTTCGTTAGGTTGGTTGAGATCTCGCAGCGGTCGACCTCTGCACGTTTGTATTGCCGTAACCTTTGTGTACTGCTTACCTGGCGCCAGGGCTGTGCATCTCCTACGCAGCCGCACTTTATCATTTCATAGTATCGTCCAGGTCAAGGTTAGTGTTGAAATAATTTAATCGGTAACCGGAGAGACAACAGTATGCTCAAAGGAATTCCTGTATGGAAGCGGATACATGCGATAGCGTTATCGGAAATTACGACACTGCACCAGGTAGCCGCTATTATATAAGACGTGCATCTCTGCGTCAGATATGACGCCCCATAGGAAACGTTTTGCAAACTGCAGTTGACGGCCCTCTGGATCAAACTGGTTTTGGTGTATGTATATTGAACGACGCCGAGTGTAGCAGCAAGTAGAAAATGTTGACTGTGCTCTGCTTTATAACTTTCGCGGTGTTGGTTGTATCGGGACAGGAGCATTCCGGAGTTTTGCGAAGTTAGTGAGCACGAGTTTTCCGCCATCATCATATCGGTTTACTATTCACAGTAACTGTAACGTTAGACTTTTTACAGGAGCACTGCATGATGCTGCACTGCAGAAGCTAAACCAATCGGCGATCCGCAACACAAAGTACGACGTTCTTCAGTTATTGGCGTATTGAACAAATTTCAGAATGTTAACTTTGTTGTTGTAGTTGGGTAACACTGGGCAGCTGCGATATGGGTACGGTTGTTCAGCCAGCTGATGAATCTGGGCATGGCTTGGCCATCACAGCGTGCTCAAATCCATCAACTATCGGCTACTGGTACCGCGCTGACCCGTATTACAAGTACCTGTTCGATATCGTACAGTCACCGTTTGATACCGGTAGGCTTGACACTTTGACTACTGCAGAGTATGTGCACTAATTGAAGATCATGTTGTTTTACGTAAGTACTTTGTCCGATAGACGGCATCGCTGCGGTTTCTCAGTGTACCCAAAACCAAATTTCCACTGTACTGCTCCCGGTATCAGTAACACCCTTAAACAGCTTCACCGTGTGGCCCAAAGCCTGCTCGGTTTATCGACTAACGTTCCGGTACACGATGGCTGATCATCCCACATTTTCCAGCACTCCCCACGACGAGTTTAACCTTAAAGTTTTCATTGAAGATTTCCCACTGGACAAGTAAGTTAGCGATGTTCGCTTCTTAACGCGCATTTAATGATGCAACTGCATTTAAAGGGCACCGCCGCCGCGTCCCACCGGCCCAGGTGGACAGGGTAACGGAGGCAATGGTGTAGGAGTTCCGGTGGCTCCGGGATCGTTGAAGTTAATTTGGGGAACACAAGCCGATTATAGCAGTTTCACACCGGGAAGTTGGAAGTCAGTTGAGGTCGTTTTTGGACGCAGTTTCCAGCCGTTTAACGTTGGGTTGCACGCTTTCCACGACAATGAGTGTCAGGCGCCCGTTAGAGCGATTGCTGTGGATGACATCAAAATCGAGCAGAGTAAGTGATGCTGTAGAGAACTCTACTTAAATAAATTTCCCTCGTCTCGTCTGCTCGAAAGCAGCCTTCTTGCCGGTTGTGCGCTTTGTACGCAATCCCATACTATTAAGCTTATGGAACTAAATTTGAAAACGATGGTACTACTCTGTATTTAGGACAATATTCTCATTCCTCCACAAATTATTGCTTAAAGTGCAAATATGTATAAAAACGAGCGAGAGCAGTGCGACATACTCGTATAAGGTGAAAAACTGGTTTTCTGAAATTCTGAGTGAAGGTTGAAAAAATGGTTTTATCGTGTAACAAAGTGGGCGTCCGCTTTACCGCCGAAACTTTGGCTAACGGTCTTGTCTTCTGTTCTGACGGTTTGACAGAGAAACAGTACTGAATGTCGCAGCTGTTTTCTGGCTTTGAATTATGGTGTGGCGCGTATGCAGTACTGTGTACTCGTTCTTCGTAATCCAGCTTCTACGAAATAGCAGCTAATGCCGACTACATCTACAAAATTATTATTTACTAGAATTACATGGAATAAGATTATTATCTGCGTTTTTTAGCTACCATGATCAACGAAGCCACAGGATTTGGATGGGCACTGACGATGGTTATCAATACATTGTCCGTGTCGCAGCAGTTTCAGAACCTTCTGTTTCACGATCCAGTCGTGCAATGTCTCGGCGATAATCCCGGCGTGGAAACCATGGTCTGCTTAATGCAGACTGACACTGCGCTGGAGTTTTACGAATCGCAGTCAGTGCAGCAGTGTGTGGACGCTCAGGGCGGAATGCAGCACTACATCCAAACTGCAGCTTGGATTGGACATGCGCTGAATACGGCCGCAGCGCTGGGCGCTACTACCGCTATCGAACAAGCGATCCTCGATGAAATGGGGCAGGTTGTGGGGCAGCAAATCGTTTTGTGGCTGCATGGCCGTCCGGAATTCGGGACATAAAACGACAGAAGTCGTGCAACGAATGCAGATGACTGGGAAATGTTTTGATCATAGCAAACGAGATGTTAAAGTTTGTGCTCTTTGGTTTGTGCTTTTCTACCTTCGTGCATATGAAATGAATTTCTCCGCATGACAACATTTCGGCTATTACTAACAAAAAGCGAACTTTCTGTAGAAATGTAGAGTTTACAGACAGGATCAGAAACCGTTTCTATAAACAGGATCGATGCATATTAAAGGCAGCAGTGAATGCCAAAGCAAAATTAAAGCCGGCATTCGGTAATAACAAACTCGCCCCGTGGGCTTGTGCTCCGTGCAAGACAGAAAAAAATAACGATAGAACCTTTTAGCTAGATAGTCTAAAATTCAGGTCACGACATGAAATTACTCGGTCCTGAAAAAAACTGCTCAGTTGCTTAACAGCCAGCAATCATATATAGCGGCAGACCGGCAACCGGTTGTGAGATCTTAGGATATGTGTACTGTAGGTATGATATGGAATTGGATTCGTATCGTAGGACTGTAATGTGTATCGCAACTGAGCAGAGAACCGACTGAATGTATTGGCAAGAACCGTAACCAGAGAACAGAAGAAGCACAGGAAGTTGCTAGGACGAAGGACAGCGAACAGAAATACAGAAAGTACAGGAAGGTCAAGAAACACACGAATCCACATACATCGCACCGCTCATGTTGCTCCAATTTAAGTCGGCTCTCGCCAGCCGCCGAACGTCTTCTCCAGCTCACAGGCCACCGCCAGCGTGAGATGATCGTTGTAGTGACTGCTGATGATCTGAATGCCGTACGGCAGTCCCAACCCGTCCCGGCCCATCGGCACATGGGTCACCGGCAGACCCAGGGCATTGAAGAGGGCTGCACAGCAAACAATTTCAATAATTGTTTCAGAGTAGTGAAAATTTTAATTAAGTATCCAAACAGCACTATAAGAATTTTGTTTTGGTAGTCGGTTCTGTGTATCGACAGTGCCTTATACACGTAGCTAGTAAATACTTCGAACACACTTACTTGTGTAGATAGTGTTGAGGTGCATCGCTTTAGGCTGGTTCTGGTAGGGCGCCGTGCGAGGATGCGTGGGCATAATAAGAATGCCGTCGTTGCCTAGAATGTCCACGATCTCCTTTTCCAAGTCATCGCGCACTTTGCTCCAGTGCTTCCTACAATCATTTCCGGCTTAAACGCTCACAATCGCTAAGTGCTTCTTAGTAGTGTGCGTCGCACTTAATTGTGCACGCTAATAGATAAAGTATACATCAATTCCGATAAATACCGGTTCTGGTCAGTGGGTGTGGCTTGTTCCATAGCGGCCAGAAGGATAGCTGGCAGCGTGTGTTCCGAGCGGCCGCGGATCCATCGGAAAAATTCCGCACGCGGCTGCAACTTCCCGACTCCATTCAGCATGTCCGCCGAGAAGGAATGGTTGGGATCATGAATAACTTCGGCCGTCCAAAATTCGGCGGTGTAGCAAAAGGCTTCCAATCGGTCCTTAATCTGCGATTCCGGGATGATTTTGGCGCGGTGCTTGGTTGCCAAGTGGTTGACGGCCTTCCGCACCGCTCCCTTAATGTAACTACGCACCGGCGTGACGAAGGGGTGCTCGATCTGCAGGATGTAGTGCAGGCGCAATTTTGACAGATCCACCATAGTGTCCAAGGATAACGTCTTGGCTTCCGGTCCCAATACAACCTGGAATTCGTACCGTTTATTCATTACTGCAGGTTGGCTATGAACAATACAACGTACTTTATAGAACGGTTGAAGGTCCTCCGCGTACCGACACAACGGGCCGACGGTGTTGAATCGCGCCGTGTTCTCACTGCTTTCCGGAAACATCCCCGTCAGCGGCGTCAACGCCCGCGTGGGTTTGTGGCCGAAGACCCCACAGAAGAAGGATGGAATGCGGATACTCCCGCCAATATCCGACCCGATCCCGCACGGTGACCCCGCGGCGGCGATAATGGCGCCCTCTCCACCGGACGACCCGCCCACCGAACGGTTAACGCCATACGGGTTTCGGGTCCGTCCGTACACTTTGTTGTCTGTCTCCCACCACATGCAGATCTCGCAGATATTTGTCAATGCGAGAACGATGGCCCCGGCACTGCGCAACCGGTGCACCGCCTCCGCATCAGCCTCCGCCACCACGTGTTTTCGGGCCACCGCCCCCGCGGTCTGCGGCATACCCTGTACCTGCAGGCACTCTTTGACAGTGATAGGGACGCCAAGAAGGGGTTTGCGAGCCTCCGAGAACTCCCCGTCGTCCAAGTTCTCGAAGCCGGTGTCGCGCAGACGTCGGTCCAGCTCCCGGGCGTCCGCACGCGCCGCCTCGAAGCGCTCGGCGACGACTGCGTTGATGGCGGGGTTGACATCCCGGATGCGCTGGATGTAGGCTTCCACCACGTCGGCGCTGGTTAGCTCGCCGGCACGGATACGCCGCACCAGGGCGGTGGCGCTCTGGCGGAGGAGATCAGAGCGGATGGGTGGCAGGCGTTGTGTCGAGCCGAAAATACGGTTATAAACGCCGAACAGGAAGTCGGAGACTATGTCCATGTATAGCCGCAGCAGGCACACTAACCAGTCCTTCCAGGACCAGATTTTCCCTCCCATTCTTGTGGAGTTCCTTGGAAGTTGCAACTATGTTGTATCGTAAAGAAGAATGTGTTGAATGTGACAAACACTGGCTGTGCAGTAAAAAGGCAAAAGTTGTTGACAAGGTTGCAGTTTTTATCAGTTGCGGAAACAGCCGAATGGAAGATGCGCCGTACGAGTGCACAGCTGAACGGCAGAGATAAACCGGTTTAACGTTCAGTCCACTGAACGATAACACCGAAAAACTGTACATAGTACATACGCCTTGTGCATGCATTTTTGTTTAATTGACTACTATGCCGAACAAATTATCACTTTTAATTTTAGCACTCAAAATTAATACACATTAGCTGTACGCGAGCGGTATTGATAACGGCTGATTAACACCACATGTATAACCTTGATACGAACACTTTAATAACACCATTAAACCCAGACTTTAGGTATTGTACGTGCGCTTCTCAATCGTAGCCGCTTGCCACGAGACCGTACAGTTTATGACCAAACGTACCTCACTACCGTAATCCGCCCCAAAACGAGCGACTCTATCGAAATCGGTTGAGAAACCTGCATCGTGTACACGAATCGTGCAAAGATTCTAACGGGTATGCAAAATAATATTGGCCTCTCTAACTCGGCGCGGTCTGGAGAGGTGTGAGCTTTCGGAGCAGAGACACAAGGTGCACCCACGCAGGCAACGTGCTTGACCTGCCCATGCGTTCGCGGTGACCCATCCGTCCTGCTGGTGCACCCTTACTCCTTGCCCTTTATTTCGAAATGCAGTCGAGAACAACAAGCAAACCAGTGCTGCAGTGGTGGGGCGAGAGAGAAAAAAATGGAAACACGCAAAGCTAAAGTTAAAAATGAACAGCTCAACGTGGCTGGCGACGTTTTAGTACGTATATTAGGCCCAGTCCGGCCATCAAGAAGTAGGCGAAATCGTATTTCAGATAGAAATAAATCGAAATCAAAAGGTTGTTTCAGCTTACGTACATAATTTGATACCAAAGTGATGCTCTGATTGGTTTGCTAACAAGCAAGACTAGGATGTCACTCAATGTTATTTTTGTATCTGATTCTGATGTACGATTTAGGTAATCATGTGCTGTACATGACATGTGTAATTCAGGAATGCAGCGTATTAGGGTAGTATGTACCGTATAAAGTACCCATTGTCCTCGAGGCAAATCGCGAAATTCTTTCAATATTGTACCAACGGTTGAACGCATGCAGTTTAATTTTCCCTCCGGGAAAGCGTCTCCGATCACGCGAACTCCAAGCTAAACAAATCAAATCAGACCTATTTGTTTCTGAAACGGTTCATATCTGTCCAGGCCGAATTCACACTCGCCTTCCGTCGATCATTATCCAAATTTATATATTTTTAAGTTGGAATTCTCCGTCCGAGCCCTTGTCAAATTGCTGCTGTGTAAAATTTAATACTGGCGCATTTGTGCGAAAGACCATTGGTTATCTAATGATTTACGGACCATGTCGCGCCTCATAATTCTTATACCGCTTTTTTTGTGGCAAATCGGAGGTATGGTGAATATTGATAAAAAAATTCTAACTCAACGACTCGCAAGTTCTGATCTTCTGCTGACAAACCCCTAACTGATTAAGTGATTTCCTTTAATTTCCGATAATCGATTATTACACCACCACCCAAGTAATAAAAATTCCACAACCTTGTTTTGTTTAACGTCCAGTTTAAAAATAGTGCGGGATAGTGCGATAAAAACTGCACAGTTTTTTCACATGCTCATCTGTTGCTATCTGGTCTACTGGTCTGCATATGTGATACATATACAATGTATTACAAATACAACCCTTTAGCTGTTAATATATGTGGATGTACACATAATTATGTATGTATCCTGCCGCGAACGCTTTGTTACATTTATAAGTGCGTACGACTGAAATATTTTCCCTTCTTTTAAGCAACTTTCGGATTGGATCCACAGACCTTTAATTTCACCCTGAATTTCGACTTAACTCCGATGACGTTGCGCGAGTGCAATGCCCGGCCCACGAATTACTGCGGACCAAAGTCGCTAGCTTTATCCGACTGCCGTCACCTGCAGAAGCGTTCGCCAGGGACCTAAAAGGCAGAGTGCAGCGATAACTGCCTGGAAGTCGTACCTTGTCAAAATGGGATTAAGCATAAATGACAGCTCGACAGTTATTAATTCTCATATTACACTTTCCTGCTGGAGTTCAAAGGCGACAAAGCAGGTACGTAAAACGAGTGGCAAATGATTCCTGCAGTTTTGTGACGAAACCGTTTCTATGTATTCCAACGAATGATGCTGCAGGATTTCGTAAAACAAGCCTTAGCCATAAAAAAGCGCAGTCCCTTTCGTGCTGTACTGGCCTTCATTGAGGACGACGACTTCATCGCACCAGACGCGATTGGTTTAATTGGACAACAAATCGTAGTTTTAAAGTTAATAAGCAAGTCGCCAAACATCACATCCCGAATTGCAGAAATTGATTTGGTTAACCTTTTGGATTGACCTTCTTGCATTGTGAAAGCTTATTGATTCTGAAAAAGATCGATTGTGCTGAATTACGGAATGTGCGGATAATTACTTTTCGACACAGCGCAGTTGCTTCTGTCGAGCGCGATACATTTATTGATCTGCCCAATCTACAGTTGCTGGATATGGAGAGCGACAATCGGTATTTTAGCAACACCGAGAGCTACAACGCAATGATCAAGTTACATTGCGATATAAAGAACCGTTGGTTATGGCTATGGCTGGATCGAAATCCCCTTCTACGCCAGGAGTATGGTTTAGGGGAATTGTATAAAGTGGGCAGTCTATTTAACTACGCAGTGGACAACCCATCCGACGACCGGTACAATTGCTCCACACAGCCACAGACAAGTACTACTGGACCCGGAAACGAGTAGCTGAATGTAACGGTTTTCCACATAAATTTTTACTTTTCGCAAATAAGTTCTCTCTGACGCTCTGTTTATCCTTGGCTAACATAGAGGCTCAAGCTGAGGAGAATGCCATTCCTTATCATTCAGAACAATCCACATAATCAATGCCAGTAAATGGACCTTTTGGTCTTGCTTCTACATAGTTCTGATTAATTTTAGACATCTTTTGTGTCGTTCTTCCTTTGTTCAAATCGAGTATTATTGGCTGCGGTTTGCTTATGCATTAAAATTGCTGTGAAGTCTGTATCGGCGTGTATAATTGGAAATAAAAATAATTAACGACGATAAACAAGTGAGGTCTAACCTGACCTTTATTCCGCAGTTAGTATTTCAGTGTCCATTAGATACTTATTTGAAGCTGCGGTGAAGTTACCAAGGAAAGATTGATACCTTACCAGTGCGGAGGAAGGAAGCTTATTCCATGCTGGGGGAAGGATTTTCTGGCGTGAGGAGTTGGCTGATATTAACGTGGAAAAATTAATTGATAATTTACGCTACACAATATCATATAAAAAACCGGGAAAGATATGCTTCTTCATGTCCAGATTGGCAGCCGGTAAATCAGTACCAGTTCTGAGCGTCCATGGTGGCATGGTGGACTGATGTCGCTAATTAACAAGGGTGTTCAAGTTCGGAAGATGGAAATACGGCAGTTTTCTGAAGTAAAAACGCCAGTTAACCCTCCAACGCTCACTACCCGAATTGGGTGGGAGATTTCTCGTGAAAACTGGGATTTCCCGATGAAAAAATTCAATTTAGAAAGGGATTTTTTTGTGTGCCTGTACTGACCATAGGTCACCGGCGGTGACATGGGTGTTTAGCAACACCATTGGGCGCAGACGGTCCTAGTCATGAAAACGTTTAATTCTATAATAATTCGGCGAACAACAGCTGACCGAAACAAAAACGTTTATCCTATAGTCCATAAAGAGGCTTAGGCTTCAAAACACGGGTATTGCAGTGGTCAGTAAACTGACCGCTGGTCAGCAAAAACTGTAAAACAAAAGAAACGGTTTTTGCATGATGTAGTGAATGGTGGACAACTAGACACAACAATTACAGCGATTTTCAACAATCCTGTTCTCAAAATAGCCATTACATGTCGTATACCATATCACGTAACAGTCTTTATGCCACGCCGAGCTGCCTTTACACTGCATGCCTGGTGGATGCTTGCACTTTTCATGGATGTTGCCCCTGCGTTTGAATCGGACATCGGACAGTCCAGTAGCACGTGCGGTAGTGGTGCGCGAAAGCTCACATCAGCAGTTCTGGGAGCAGCAGCCGCCATCATGAACGCATCATCAGCGGGAAGTTATTAATACACGTGGCGCAAAGGTCACTACTAACTACCGGCTGTTTGTTTATCGGAGTTGTTATCATCCACGGTTACAGGACACTGACGTATTTTGTTTCCTGCACGTCTACACAGCTGTAAGGTCCGGTTGGTGTAAACTGCAGATCGCAAGAGCAAATGGCCTACTGCAGAGTTGTCATGCCGATTAGTGGCAATGCACTATTGCAAATTACGAAACAAGGTTACCACGCTCGGTTATCTTGAAGGTTTGATTGTCCAGAAACGACCACCGATTCGTTTGTTTGAGGGAGATAGCCGACCGCCCAGGGTGCCGCCCAACTAAATTGTTTTTGAAAAAGTTCTGGCAAGCAGAACCATGTGCAGCTTGTTAGAAGACCGAACAAACAAGACCTTATCCGATTTACATAATTATAAAAGTGTCGAAATTGCGCACGCCCGTACTTCAGGACCATACATGCCCAATGGTGTCTGCACGCAACACGAGTTTTCGATGGACTGTGGCCATCCACTGTTTAACTTTCAGAACCGATAATTGTTATTTTTTAATAAAGCATCACTGATAGTACATTACTGAATTATCTCAAATTAATTGACTTAATGACTAATTAGTTAATTATCAGGACTTTCGGGAGGTCAGAAAGTTCGAAATTAGCGACTTTCGCGACCTCGTGGTTCTTGAGGGACTTTGGATTCCAGTTTGGTTTGTTTTTTTATTGCTGCTGTAAGGTCTCGTAACGCTAATTACGCTATCAGATAGTGGTTAATTGCTCTTGTTCATTAAGAAAAACATTTTGAAGACCCTGTTGCGCCCCAACACCAATGGGCGTCAGTGGGTTAAATTCGAAAACCGCTACGGGGGGGGATTACCTGGCCAGCTCAAGCAGCGATCGGAAGTGAGCAGCAATCGAGATTCGATCGTTAGTTTCCATTCTGTCATTTCATGCTTTTCCTTTTACTGCACTTTGCTATACATGTCACCTTACTTAGTGCTACGGAGATGTCCTCTGGCCCGCAATTATTTTGCTCTGCATGGTATTTACGCAACACGTAAAGAAATACAGACAACCCGCAATTAAATACTCTCCATTTCAGAAATATTTTCATTTTCCCCCACAAAACCAAGAACATTTACCACAAAAAAGTTAGCTCGAACTCCGCAAATCGCAACCTTGTGCAATCCCAAACAAAAGTCATCCAGTCAGTATAACAAGAATTTTTTACGACCAGGACAGAAAGCAATGCATCACCGCACGTACAGTATACCATTCCCACCCGACCGTTCCCGACGTAACGTGAACCAATCCGCCTCTCATCATCCCATCCATCAAAGGTTAGGAGTTAAGTGCACATTACGCTTTTAACTGGCGCGCCGATGGCCTCTTTATTCGCGCTTCAGCTTCATCACCACGCAGCCAAAATGGGACTTGGCCTGCGGCAGCCGGCATTCATGCAGCGCCCAGCTGTCCGTCTCTCGTCGTACACCTCGATGCTGTCCTGGTACACCCCTTCGGCAAAGAACCCGCCGATGACGTACAGCCTCCCACCCACGCTGACACACTCGTGACTCGAACGCTCCTCCACCAGATTGCCTGTGGTCAGAAATGACGATGTAGCCCGGTAGATTTAAGATACTTGTCGCCTGTCGGTGTTCCGACAACAGATGTCAGGATACACACGTACCTTTCTTCTGCCACTGATTGGTAACACGGTCGTACGCTTCCACGTGCACACGGAGTGCATTATCCCACGTTTCTCCACCTAAACCATAATTACCAGTTTCACATGGCGACAATACCATAGAACAGTGAACTATGATGGTTTATCTTAATTCCTCACTTTATTGGTCAAATCATACTTCAAGCACAGAATAATGAAAAGAAGACACAAAGAACTACAACACGAAAATCTCATTTGGTTATCCAGCCCTTCCATGGTACCCAGTACTGACGCCGCACTGCCTTGTTGTACCTACCGGTGACGTAAATCAGTCCACTGGGAGCCACACACGCTCGGCAACCGATGCGTGCGGTCGGCATATCGGCCAGTCGCCTCCAGGCGTCGGCTGCGGGATCGTAGGAGAACGCAGCATTGGAAATGCTCTCCGGGCCGCCTCCACCGAAGACATACAACCGCCCCTCACACGCCACCATCGCTAAACCGATCAGCCCGACGGGCAGCGCGGCCACGGCGCTCCAGGAATCGCTCTTGTGATCGTACGCCTCCACGGAAGACAATGGTACCATCCCGTGGCCATACGGACTAAAACCGCCGGCTGCGTAGATGCGGCCGTCCAGGGCGGCCAGCGCGCCCGCTTGGCGCAGTGTGGATACTCGGCCCGTCTCGTGCCATTCGCGGCGCAGGCCGGTGTAGTGGCTGTTGCGGCGTACGGTCCCGACGCAGTGCATGCTGTTGATCAGCAGCCAGCCGGGATCCAGCATCGCCGCCGAGCAGCACTCGACGAGCTCGGGCAGATCCCGCAAGCGCCACACGGCCGGGATCGACGGGCAGAAGACGTCCACGGAGGCTTCCTCGCTGCCCACCGGATCCTGGCAGGTTCCGCCCAGGCACAGAATCACTTCCCGTGCTCCTGACGCCAAACACATCAATTGCACAAGGAATTCCCATGGTACACCGCAAATCACTGCGACAAGACGGTCGATCCTTACCGTATGAAGGCCGTGGATTGGCGCTCGGCGTCGTCTCATCGGCTGTTTGACTCGGGCACTGTGGCGTAACCCTAAGTGCGCTGGTGAGGATTATCGAGTGCTCCAGTTGACACTGCTCGCTCAGAAAGGCCACACGGACCATCTGCAGAACGGCGGCGGCGTGCTCCAGTCGTCCGGGACGGTCGTGATCCAGCCAGCACAGCGCCGCCTGCAACACCTGATCCTCGCTGAAGACTTCCACGTTATCCGATGCCAGCAGTGCAATCAGCTGCAAACAAGTTTAATTGAGAACGCTACCAACTGGATAGTTCAGAACAGTCTTTCCGTCATATTTTATTCCTATGTCACCTGTTGCGCGTCCAGCTCCAGAAAGTCCTGACTTTGCGCCACCTGCAGGAAGTTGAGATGGATCAATTCCAGCGCTGCCGCGGCCAGACGGGGATGGTGGTGGTTGGAGGCCAGTGCATAGACGGCAAGATAGTTGGAGACACATATGTGCTGCTCCACGTACTCCCAGCAGAGCAACTCCAGCGAACCCATCTGCAGGAACTGCGCGGCAATCACGACGCGTTCCACGTTGTCGTCGTTCAGGTCCACCTCCAACGTGTAGGCGTATTTGACCAAACTAGTCAGTCGACCAAAAATTATCGCAATTTCTAATTTACAATTTCGAATATTTAATAAGATAACAGTACAGTAATGACTGAACATCTTCAGAAATTACATTGTACTCACTCGTTCAAGGTGTGACTGTCAATGTTGCGAAGCTGAAATACTGGTTGCGATGAGTCCTTCCAGTCCTGCGTCAAGACGGCCCGAAAGTAGGAGCTGTGCACGCTGAGGACGTTGCGATGGCAGGGAATGCCCACCGCGGACTCTTCGCATCCCTGCACGACGATATCGCACAGGGTCCCTGTCGACTGCTGCTCACGCAGTCCGCGCAGGAACTCAGCCAGACAACGGTGAGGAGGATGATCTCCAGAACTGCTGGAACTGGACATCATTCAGTATGGCACTGCAAACAGTCAAGGAGGAGCAGTAGGGGCCCTACTAGGGGGTAGAACAGTTATTGATGGACAAGTATGACTTGCATAATTTAAACCGGATTGTAGATGCAACTTCGATATCAAAACTGGAAAAGCAAAAACGGCACCTGTAGCTTTTTTACACTTGCAACTTCAGCTGCTCGAATAAAACCGTACTAGTAACTGCCGGTTTGAGGAGGTTGCCTGTGTTTTTGCGTCATCGCATGTGTTTTTGGCTTTTTGCTCTCACATTTCACAATTCCCAGTGACAAATTACAATAAGTAAAAAGATTAAAATGCGTTCAGCAAATGTTTTAAATTTTAATTGTTCATTATTAACTAGTTACTTACGATTATTAACTAGTTACTTAACTAGTTCATTATACTAGTGCACTTACTAGTTACTATTACAAGCAAATCCTTCATTGACTACATTCCGTGTCATTTTGATTTCTGAAGGATGTGGGAGCCAGGCCCTGCCGAGCGACCTCTGCATGATTGTCGGGCTGAAGGATTCCTGCGCGGTCTGCGTGAACTGCAGTCGACAGGGACGCTATGCGATGTCATACTGAAAGGCTGCGAAGAATCCGCAGTGGGCATTCCTTGCCATCGCAACGTCCTCAGCGTGCATAGCGCCTACTTTCGGACCGTTTTCACCCAGGACTGGAAAGACTCGTCGCAACCAATATTCCAGCTGCGCAACATCGACAGTCGCACCTTGAACGAGTGAGTGGCAGCGTGACACAGTTCTTTACTTTTGTTGTCACTGTTTACCTGTTAATTTTGGTTCGCGGGTAGGTTAGTAAAGTACGCCTACACGCTGGATCTTAGCCTCAACGCTGACAACGCGGCGTCCATCTTGATTGCCGCGCAGTTTCTGCAAATGGAACCGGTGGTCCGGCTCTGCTGGAACTACGTGGAGCAGCACATGCGCCTGTGCAACTGCCTGACCGTGTATGCACTAGCTTCTAATCACCACAACCCTCCACTGGCTGCCACCGCCGTGAGCTTAATACGCCGACACTTCGTGCGCTTGTCGCAGGACAAACAGTTTCTGGAGATGGACTCCCAACAGGTGGCGTGTCTGCTCGGTTATAAACTTGGCGATAAGCAGTCCAGAAAGTTAGGCACGAACACAGAACCATGTAGTGAAGCTTTCTTCAGTGAAAACATGCAGCGGAAACGGAATTTCGCTTAGGTAAACTGTGCCGTTTCTGCATTTATAGCTGACTGCAGTGATCGTGTCGGACGACGTGGACGTGGGCAGCGAGGATCAGGTGTTGCACACTGTGCTGCGCTGGCTGGATCACGACCGTCCCGGACGACTGGCGCACGTGCTCGCCGTCTTGAAGGGTGTTCGCGCTGCCTTGCTCAGCGCCCAGTGTCGGTTCGCCTACTCGCAGGTCCTCGGAAGTGTAGCGACGCTGATGCCGTCCTGTCTAGTCGACGAAATGCCGACCCGTGACATGCAGAACAGTACACCGCGACATTCGATCGGTAACCATCAGCCGCATGGTGCAGCATTGATGTGGTTTCATAATGCGTTCTACTTCTTTAATAGGTTATAGTTCTTTAATAGGCAATAGCCAGAAAAATAAAAAGTGCAAGGCAGCGGGGACACCGTATTACTTTCTACAATTGAAATTTAATCGTTAAAAAACAGTCGAAGTCGCTGTCTTCCCGTCAGCTAAAAGGTTAACAAGGTCAGCTAAACGGTCAGCTAAAAGGTTAGTTAACTGGATAGTGGATACATCTGTAACGCTCCTTTCATGACAGCCAAACTACAACTTTGTTTAAGACTTTTCAGGCGTTTTCAGCATACTGTACATACATTTCGGCATGCTAATGCGTCGCAAAAAATATTTTTTGGTTTGCATTTTAATGAAATCATTTCCAACGTTTTTTTTTAAATCTGTAGTGTCTCTAGCTTTCTTACGGGTTTTACATTTCTTTGAGTTCCTAAAATGTTCACGTACTTCTATACGCATTTCTTCGATATTTCAAATCTTGATTTTATGCCGAAATGTCCTTATGCTGAAATGTTGCTCAAGGAAAGAAGTAGCAGTCATGCAGCGCTTCTCCAGTAAGTTAGCAAATTTTCCTCCCCATGAATCGCAACAGTTCGCTTACAGTCGGACCGAAGATACCCACAACATTCCAGTATCACTAAAGATGAAAAAGTGTTCAGTTAGTGATGTTATTCTTGGTGTCAGGTGCGCAGGAAGTGATCCTCTGCGTGGGCGGTGACGGTGTGGATGGGAAGGTAGTGGCGACGGTAGACGTTTTCTGCCCATCGACAGCGACCGTGTGGCGCCTGCAGGATTTGCCAACCAGGGTGGAGCTGTGCACGGCAGTGCTGGCGGATCCAGGTTGGATGATAATCTCCACCCGTCGCGGCCTCAAAACCATTCAACGCGACGTCCGCTACACCGACCTGTCCGGAACATGGCACAGCATCGCCCCGATGCAAACACTACGCCATGCCGAAGGCCTGGCCGCCTTGGATGGTCGTGTTTATGCCGTCGGTGGGTACGGTCTGTATTCGGCTGAAATGCTGGCGTCCGTGGAGGTGTACGATCCCAGTGTGGATTCCTGGAGCGCCGCCGCCCCTCTTCCCGTTGGTCTGGCTTATCCGGCCTTGGTGGCGTGTGGCGGGCGGTTGTATGCGTTTGGCGGAGATAGCACGGAGAACTATGGCCATCACGGTGGTCGTGCTGCAATAGCAAGGGCGACATCGTCGGCGTTTGCCTACGAACCCGCAGTCGATACGTGGAGCAGACTAGCCGACATGCCGACCGCACGCAGCGTGTGCGTTGCCTCTGTGGCTGCCAGCGGGCTAATCTACGTTTTGGGTACGCTTTGTATTTTTTTATTAGGTTATACAAAAATAAACATTGGTTAAACTTAATCACGCAGTACATTCCTTAAGCACATAATATACCTGCTACCAATACAGTCATTATACAGAACGTTTCTGAACGCAAGGAGCATTATCCCGCATTACGGCCATACTGATTCTCTGTGTGCTGTTGTTTGATAGGCGGCAAAATATTTAACAAAATATTTAACAAAACAAAAACTGTCGTGTTACTGTTGCTGTCCCAGCTTCCTACATGTTACTGTTATACTTTTTGTTCTCCTCACCACCTCGCTACGGTGTAGACCGACGTATCTTGTACTAGTATGCTTTTGTATTACCACATACTTCACAGCAACGCGGCAGCACTACGTCATTAAATAGAAGAAATTTTACCTTTGAAGAAAAGTGAAATCGTTGTCGTCCCGCGTGGTCTGAAGAACTACATAATACGGGAAGGCTGAGCTGGACTAGGGTTGAAATTACACGTTTTATGTTTAGTAATTTCCTGCGGAAAATGTTTTAGGTGGACATCTGCATTCTCACGGTCGTGCGGACGTGGATGCGTACAACTGCGTGACCAATCAGTGGGTGAGGAAAAGGTGAGCGTTTTCCGTCTGCCGATTGTGCACGTTCACGGACATCGCATTGCCAACCGTGTTTGATCACTTTGATGGTGGCAGGCGATTTGCTGAAGCCGCGAAAATACCCCGCCTGCGTCTGCCTGGACGGGAAGTTGTACGTTCTCGGTGGACGCGGGAGTGAGGAGGACGGGCATGACACCATTGAAGTATATGACGAAGAAACTGACCGCTGGATGCTGCATGCATGCCGATTGCCTGAGGCCAAGTTCGGCTGTGGCTGTGTGGTCATGAAGCTGAAGCGCCGTTGACTGCCAGCTGGGCCATATGTATGTACCCGCAAATTCAGTCTGAAAACGATTTGTTTGGCTGTGGTTCTGATAAGACTTACCAGCCCTTAGCGAAATCTCAAACTTTCCTGTAATGTTTTAATTGGTTCTGTTACTTGCTGTACCAGACTATAAGCACTATTTTGACCAGACTTGTGAGTCCCAGGCGGGATCGTCTGCTCAACGAATCACCCACAGCAAACTATAGTTTGTTTCACAGATCATCCTAAACATGATTCCCTTAGAACATGGTACCCGCTACGCTTCGAAGCGTGGTTCCTGGTGCTTTCCGCAATCTGTTAATCCGCTCTAACGTCACCAACGAACTTTGGTCTTGTTGAATGTTTTTTGCCGCTGATTTTGAGAAAATTGGTAATTAGAATGTGCGTGCGAACTGCTAACTATGCTTAGTTTAGGTATGTGTTAGGTACCCGCCTGGTACCGTTTCTTCCCGTGTTAATTGGAAATGACTTTTTATTTCGATACTTTCTTATCAGGCGCAGCCATTCTGAAATTTAATGAATATTGTCGCTCAATATTAAAACGATGCTCATAAAGCATCTCAACTGGAACTACTTATACAGCGCTTCCAGGGAGCAGTCGACTGTTCAGGTTGGAAAAGGATGCGAGGTCACGAAGCAGCTATGATTACGATTACCAGGATCGAGAAACACCAATTCACTCTGCCGCCACATCGCAGGCCTTACTTTATTAATACGTCCCGTACGAACGGAAGAAGAAACAAAACTAAAATCAAGTTTAGAAATAGAATGGGCAGCCTCCGATAAAAGTGTCTAGTCATGCTATCCGCTTGGTGAGCTCGTCAGAACAGGTAGCCACACATGGTGAACCGTTTAGACAACATTCATTCGCTTTCATATTTACGACCAGCAACAGAAATGCACTGACTTCTTCACTACGGCATGTACCGTAATTATCGAATTCGTGGCCCTGGGGTGCAAATAGTTCGAAGGTTATGGCGGAGGGGGCTTATTTCGGGGAGGGGGCTTAATTTCGGGGGATGGCATTACTTTTCAAACGGCATATTTTGGAAGGGGGCATTATATTTCAAATAACTGCGCATTCTGTTCTAGTGAAACTGAACGCAATAGTTACCGGTTTATACAACTACACGACCTTACGAACACACATTCTGGAGCATATTCTTACCTAAGCAACTGTTTCTCAACAAACACCACATTATGTTGATGTCCGTTTACTGTTTACCCATCAGATTTCAATAATAGTTAGGAAGAAATTTGCGGTGTACTTATCATTTCGCAGCGCTTGACATTTAATAACGGCCCCCTGGGGCGTAATTTCGGGGGGGGGGGTGGCATTATTTTTCAAACAGGATCGGGGAGGGGGGCTTATTTCAGGGGGGCTTTTATTGCGGGGGGAGCCACAAATTCGATAATTACGGTATCCCATTCCATGTAAGTATCCCATTCCAGACATTTGTACCTCGGCAGCTGTTTACGCAACAACTTATTTTTTTGCTCAACCAAATAGTTCATTTGGCATCCAAATTAAAGTTCCGCATCACTCGATGAGCCGCAATAGGCTAGTACGTAAACAGTATAATTACAGAGAAAACAATTAGATAACGCAGACACGCATATGAAGTGTATGACAATCTTATCTGTTGATGTTATGCAAACGGAAAAGCCGCCGCGCGTGTTTATCTATGATATTAGTTTGTTAAACTAACTGACGAGAAGAATGAGTTAGTTCAAGAAATTAGCTAAAATCGCCAAATAATCTTAATCAAAGCATGAAAGTTTTGGCAGCAACTTGCAGCATCCAAGGTTTTCAGCGCTGACTGTGACGAAGAGACGCGAAACTTATCGCAGCAAAAACGTGTATCTTCATTTCTAAAGCTGCTTATTAAAAAGATTTTTCGAAAAGTTCTGGAGAGCGAAAGATGGAAGTCAAACTTTTGTGAACTTATCTTGAGTTTGTCTTGTTAACCGATTCTGATTGTGTTAAGTTGCATCTGCTACATCACCGCTCTAGCAGCCATCAGCCATGGAATACGGGAATTATTGTCGGCAACAGATGTTCTCTTCTCTTCTGACTGCCATAGCAGTTACTTGCGGTATGTCCTACTTGAAACTCCTACATGTTGTTTGAGACGTTATTTATTTACTTTACCACGTCGGAGCTGAAATTTTAATACGATGCGGTCTTTGCAGCTGGCATCATCATTTATGTCTGCATATGGTTTGCAGTGGCTTCAACGGAATCAGTGACTTCAGATACACAACGTAAAGCAGACACCCTAACTAATTTCTAAAATACTGTGATTATCGCGCTATACTTTGCACTAACTAAAAGTGGCATCAACAAACGCTTTCCAGACGATCTAGTATCATTCAAAAAAATCTTTCTTATAATCGTACAAGTGCAATAACTGTTGTGAACTTGCGATTTAATTCGTGGCAGATGTGGTAAATTTATGGTTGGTTTTTTCTTCTATAAATGCAGATGCAGTTTCGAGCAGTCGTGACCAGAATAAAGGATTTACTAAGGATCTGTCGGCGGGGTGCACGCTTCCATATCCCTGCTACAACTGGATGACAGAGACATCGTGCACTATGGGAACAGCGGCCCAACCCGACAATGACGGCTCAGTGTTAAACGCGTGCAGCGATGTGCCAGCAGGACGGGTCTGGTTTCGAGGAATGCCGTATTATAAGTATCAGTTCGATATTAAGACGGCTTCCGTTGACAACATCACAATGCAACGTACGTCTCTGCAGACTGTAGAGTTTTGAACTGACACAATTACTATTTTACCACAGAGCATTTTGGCCTAAAATCCAATGTACAGGCTCCAAATAGATCCCGTTTTGCAGGTGATATCGTTGCTATATCCCAGTGCACTACAACGAATTATTTCATGCCAGCACTATACAACGATTCCATGGCCGTACTTCGCAGTGTCGCACTGAATCCCGCTTCCTGCTCGGTGTTCCGGCTAAGATTTTGGTACTGCCTGTACAGTGTTCCGTACTTCGCAGCCTCCAGTCCATCCGTAGACGAGTATAACCTCAAAGTGTTCATAGAGCAGGATGGTAGTCTAGTATCTCAAGAGTTTCCCACACAACTGCTATGGGGAAGTGCCGCCGATTACACACACTTTAGTGGAGTCCGAGAGTGGCATCTGGTTGAGGTTGTTTTTGGGCGGCAAGCAGGCCAACGGTTCACCGTTAATTTTTTTGCCTTCCATAAAGATGGATGCCGGAGCGACACAATAGCTAACCAGATTTATGTGGATGACGTGGAGATCGAACGTGGTGAGTTCTTCGTTGTAGCTGATACTTTTCTGCTTGAAAGAACCGAGCTGAGACGTTTACTTATATAATTATGTAGCTCACCAATAAGGAGCGATCACGTAAATTTTAAAATAAAATTTTTTACAGCGGTGCATAGCTCTCCAGAAAACGGCACATGTTGGACAACAACAGCGGCAACAACAACTTCGACACCATCATCGACCGCAACAACAGCAAGCCCAGACGAAATAACGGTTACCGTTTTTCTCTTGGAAGAGCTGAGAAACGCTACAAATCGGACATTGTACGACAGTGATTATGGGTATTACGTTCAGTCTCCACAAAATGTACTGAATGCGACACAAAATCTGCTAATCGGCTCGCACACTGAGGTCAACTTTTCCAATATCCAGATAATATCCGAATTTTTCTTGCACTTTGCTGAAATGCCAATTCCCAATGGTCTGCCCAATAGTGCTCAGGAAGCCACAGTCAATATGATGCTCGAAATCGTTGACGTTATCATTATTGCGGAAGAGAATAAAAAGGTCATTCCACCGGATTCAAGAGAAGATGGACCTCATGCTGCCGCCGCTGTTTACCAGGCTTTGGAAATTCTTTACAATAATCTCCCGCCAAAGGAGCAACCTTATATCTTCAATACTACGCGAGTGGTAACGTTCGCAAACGCCCTCGCAGTGAACTCCACTGCACAATTCGCTAACCTGAATATATACACTGAAATGAATGTACAGCGTTTTGAGAATGGATTGCTTTCGGTCGATGTCAGTGGTGAAAAAGCTGCGGTAGCCAGGATTGCGTTGAATAAGGATGTTCTCCGGGAAGCATACGAAAAATTTCGTCAGTAAAGATACTTCATCCAGAAATTAACCGTTCGCCTTCGCAGTTCCTGTACTTGTACTTTAATTTTCAGAACGAAATCCCAATGGAACATTCACATTCTCCTTCTCCCTTTCCGCGATGCCGGTATTCAGATTTGGAAAACACCCGACGCAAAACTCACGACAAGAATTTGCAAGTCCTCTGGTTTTACTGGCAGCCGTTAATCGGCAGCTGACACTGAAAGGAACCAATGTCATTCAGATTGAACACAACATCGATAAGTTATTCAAAGTATGTGAGAGTGACTGAACTTAGCGAAGTCATCCAATAATCAGCTATGAATTCGATTTACTAGGAAGCCCATGGAGCTCGAAGACGGCATGGTTGTACGTTTCTCGGCTACACTTCCAAGAAATGGTCAACTAATGGCTGCAGAATGTCATCAAAACTGCCCTCATGGAAGGGAACCATTGTACAGTGCACATGTGACCATCTTACACCGTTTTCACTGCTGTTAACCTTGTGCAGCAGCATATCACAGATTCCGACGACGCAAACGTTCTCGTTGGATCTCGCAGTAGTCACCACGAGCACAGCAGTTGTTGCGGCGTTGTGCTGTTTCTTTGCTCTGGTTGTTATTGCGTAAGAGAAACTATTGTACATGTTTATCCTGGTTAAAAAGAAGCTATACGAACCGTTTCAGATTCCGAATTTGTCGACGCCAGATTGTTTTCGACGAGGATACCTTTGCGCGTACTAGCCTATGGATAGTGCTGTTTGCGATGTACCTCTTTGTGACCTTCTCCCAGCTGATGCTGTTTGCTCCGGACCTTTGTGGACCGACGTCGTGTTTCGCCACCGCCGTTCTAGTGCACTGGTTCTCCCTGATGAGTGCGGCCTGGACCGGTGTGGAAACATTCCGTCTGCTGCAGATGATACGCTATCCCGAACGGTATGCACGCAAAACGTTCAGCATTCCCGGGGATACGTACAACGGATTTAGGATGAAAGCGTGGCTAGGCGCAACTTGTGAGTGACCTTTAAACAGTTCGATTAGGAACTGTTGGAACTTGGAATCCTTATTTCAGTCATTCCACTGCTGTTTCCCTTTATTGCTTCTGCCAGTCATCATTCAGTGGAGGCCAGCAGAATCCTTGGTGGATATGGGTACGCAAGCCATGAAAAATGGTAAGCGGCAGTAGGGTCTGCAAAGCGCTTGACTCCGCAGTATAGCGTGACTTACAGCTTAAAATTTACATGGTTTATGTAGATTACTTATCGACACCGTACTAATAGAAGAACCTTTGAAACAAAATTTAAATGCTTTCTGGATGAGTAAAAATATTTTGGAATAGTAGATTTGTTAAAGTATTTTGTGGTGCAACGTCCGTGCAACGTGGTTTCTTGGAGTGTGTTATGTCATTTTGCAGGTGTTGGTTAGATGGCGATCATCCATGGATTACCTGGGTGACGTTTATCGCTCCAGTCTCCGCTGTTGCTCTGCTAAATATCTGCGCAGTGCTCTATTATCTATGCAGTAAGTAGTCAGTTTTTGGGTTTCTTGTCTAACTGATCCCGACTCCATTACGAGATATCAGGACCATATAATAAAGATCGCAATTTCATTGATTTAATTAGGGAAAAGAGCATTGATTAACGGAATAGCAAAAGCGGATGGACATGGTTCAATCAAACCTGAGCGACTTATTGAATTGCGGAGTAATCTCTCCGGTCATACATTTGCACGAAACCATTTTCACGGAGTAATCGTAACCACCGCGTTAATGGGACTGATCTGGTTGAGCGTGTGGCTAGCGTTGTTTTCCTGCTTTATTGACGAAACAGTACAGCACGCTTTCGTCCTGCTGTTGACATTAACGTGTGGATCTCAAGCAGTTTACATTATCTCGTTTCAAGCCATCGCTCCTCGGAAGCGGTTAACCGGACGAAAGCCTTCGAGAGTCGGGGGAATCGCTCATATCCTGGAAGCTCCGACACATGCGGGGCAACCAGTGCCTTAAGTTAACAGCAATCGCAGCTTGCGTCACCAAATACTGCAGTTAACCTTCACTTGGTTAAGTACTGCTAGAAGTATTACTAGAAGAGTGTGTCCAGTGATTGCAACTGTGAGATGTATGACTAGTCGTAAGCTAAGTCAGCTTGTGCACTTCAGCCAATTATTTCACGATAAACTTATTCAAGTTTAATCTTTTGACCGGTGAAAATGCGTTGTTAGTCATCGGTCAGTTTGGAATGCCGCACAATCATGAGGTATGTTTGGGATTGTCGATGTTTGGGATTGTAATGTTTGGGATTCGTCGATGTTTGGGATTGTAATAGTCATAAATTTGTATGCTTTGGTTCTTCCAATTTTCCACTTTGTATGTCTGATACATCGTCAAATTAAAGCAGACGGCAGCAGATGTCATCTACGAAAACAGGACAGTATCAGATCATCTTGCTCTTCGACATTCTACCTTGACTGAGTACCCACAGGGTCACATTCAACCGCAAAAAAACCTTCTTTGCACTAACCTTGTCAAAATACAAATTCAGCTGGCTGCCTTTGTTGTCCAACTCGCTTTTCTGCAGTGACCTAACTGCCGGCGGAAGCTTTTTGATATCTTCTACGTCAAACTGGTAATCGGACAGCGCGGTAACCTCTAGAATCATCATGCTGCTTGCAACGTCCTTCTGGTACCCGGCTAGATAGTCACATTCCTTTGTTGTTTGCTATTCGTGATATCGATCTGAATCGATGGGACACGGCTGAAGAACTGAGTAAATTTGCCTAACGCGGTCAGCACGATTGCCGTATCCTAAAATTAAAGAAGATGCTTGAACTTGCGCTACTGACGCAGCTTTCAGAACCATGACGAGCAGAAAAATCCGTCGTTCTTTTACGCCCTTTCTTCTAATGAAAACTACTAAACTTAACGAAGTTTAAGACTCAACGTATTCACGGTTACAAACCAAAACGCTTTGTCGAAGTATCGGAGTTTTAAACGTCGGCATATTTAGTGAACCATAGTGATAGGTTATCTAGAAACGTGAACTTAGAAGTGAATTGTACAGACCATTGTGGTAAAGTATCCGCCTTCAGCATTTTGTTTCGAAATCAGCAAGAAAGCGATTTTCAGCGACATGTTCCGGTTCTGCGGCTAGAGGTTGGATATGTTCTTGTACTCTCGGACCGTTTTTTTATTGGCGGTAGAAAGTAACCATATTCCGATTTCTAAAATATTTTTGAAACCAATATTCGACCGAAGCGAGACGAAGGTATGTTCAAGAAAACAGGAATTTTGTCGGTCACGTCGGTCATGTCGGTCACGCACTAATAATTTAAACAAAATATGGAAGAACGCACGTACACAAAAGTATTAAATAAAACATAATGTTGAATAATATAAATAAATTTAAATGTATTAATTAAATGTATTAGCGCATTAATTAATGTTATAACTTAATATATTTTTAGGCAGTTTTAAAACAAACTTAGCAAACAGTTCATTAAGCTTGGTTTCCCGCTTCGCTTCGGTCTTTTAGTGCAAGCCAACAGCGGTGCACTTTCCTAGTTAAAATAAGTACATAGTACATACAATAATAAATTTAAATTCAAACGATTAATTTTAAATACAACAATAACTTTCAATGATATAATTATTTTTTAATATTTTTATTTCACATTTCATTTCATTTCTCGTCATTTCACGTTTTCATTTCCTTTCAAAACTGGGTTTTAACGTAGTCAAGCTGAACAGGCAGAGCGATAGAGTACAGAGAGAGTTATCAAGGTCCGGCCGCACTATGATCTGCCTATGCTCAAGCATTCGCCGATGCGATGACTGTGCAAACAAACCATTCTATTGTCTTCGGGACCCGGTGGCCATAAAATACCGGGTCCGGTGAAATAGGCAATTCACATTGGTCTTCGCTTGGCCAATAGCTGTCATAAAAACGAGCATGTCTGACCAATGGCTATCGTGAATACCGGTATCACACTGGAAATGCCAGTGCCGATGCAAGTCAATGGTTATGGAACTATTTTTCTGCTAAACTACCAGGGCATGATGGGCATCCATTCCCGATATTATTATTTTTATTTTGTGATTACAGATGTTTTCTCGCTTTATGATTATGATTGTAAATAAAGCCCTTATTATAATGGTGGTGTTTATTACAGAATTATGGCTTAGTAAACGGCCGCCATAGAATCTGCTATCTGCTATTAGTTACAAATAAGTTCATATCATAAGTACAAATACAAATAGCATTATATTACGTCACATTAATTTCATGGTTATTGTGCCTATATACCTATATCCACATAGAATTTAAATTTTGTACACTTTAATAAGCAATAGCCACCAAAATAACAATGATGGCAAGCGTTGGCAGTTGATAGTTAAATTTCAAACATTAACATATTTGTATTATATTTGTTGATTTGTGGTTGATTATTACCATGAACAGGGATGTCTTAAATTCACGAGCGCTGTGTGTAGCTGCAGTCTAGTTGTAAATGGAATGAGTAAGCTGGAATACGTGACATTTGGAAGGCTAGAAGCCCTCCCTCTGCCTGGTTCTGAGGTGGGGCTTGTGCTCTTACATCGCATCGGCGAAAAGTTTCTACGCTCTGTCCGGACCTCTTATAAAAGTAGCTCTGTCTGTTGTAGTAGCAGATAGTAGCTCTATAAAAGTAGCTTGACTACGGTTTTAACCTCTTGAATTTCGACCCTGGGCGTGGATGCGGTCACCGCCTACGAAGCGGGCTCCGTACGTAATCACCTACCCGTCAGGCGGTCACCTGTTGCTTTCATAAGCATTGCGAAATGCGAATTTCCTTTCCCCATAATCTGGAATTTTTGTTTTGTTTGCTTTGCAGATTCCCATCGTTACTGTACAGTTGTACTTATCTTATCTACAATAGTTCAATAAAATATGTCTTTTGGCGTTCTAGAACACTTAAGCGTTTTTTTTTATAGAAGAGTGCCTGCACGGATGCCAAAGTAACCGTCGTCAGCTGTAGAGATAACACAGCAAAATCTACAATGAAGCGCCTATACTTTCGCCTGCCTCGACAGCCAGTACCCCCCGTCCGCCGCACGCGCTCCACGACAACCACCGCCCCGCGTCTCACATTCCAGGAGCTGGCCGACCTCATGGAGCCCCAACTCGAACCCTCCTCTGTCTGGCGCAAGGCCGTGGACCGGGAAGCCTGCGTGGCGCTGTTCTTCCAGCTGAATCTGCGCAGCGACGAACCCCGCCTGGCCAAGTGCGTCTGCCTCCGTCTGCAGGAGTTCCGAGTGGGCGCCCACGCCGATCTCCGTCTCGTTCCTTCAGTCTTCCTCGACGAGCCCCTAGTCGTCCCGGAGACAGAGCCCTGTGTGCCCCTACCCCCCACCATCACCTCCGCCACGGATGTCGTTAAACTGCTGCAGAATTTCGAGCTGTATCCACACCTGCCCGATGATGAGGAGAACGGTGTGCCGCGCACATTGCAGGAGTCTTGCGCTGAGGAATGTGGGGTGGAGGGTGTGTTGGTCATGGGGGATTCCGATGGGGAGATGGAGTTTGTGGATGATAATGATGCTGGGGATTATTCTCCAGCTGAAGGCCTTGTAGAAGAAGGTGAGCTTGTAAGATTTAAGAATTCAGATACAGAAACTTATTAATATTTCGATAATGTTAGGTATATTATTAATATTTTTATATTTTATTAATTAATATTTTAATATTAGTATAAGCCTGAATCTACAAAACTATTAAAAATTAATAAATAGGTAGACCAGCTAGTAAGTGAATTATTTAATAAAATATAACAAATTGCATTATTACTGTTGCAAATATTTGGGTATAAATCATTTATATCCAGATTACTCTGACTTGATGACTTGATGATTAAATTACTCTGGTATAAATTAATTAGAATGATTCCAAAATTTCAAGGTGTATCTGTTCACTGGCAGGAGCTACGCTCCGGTCTGCCAGTGAACCAATCGGTGTATCTTCCTAGTTATTTGAAATTTATAACCATAAAATTTTATAACCATATAATTTATCATGAAATTTTCATTCAGATTAGTAGCAACTAGCAGATTACACTCGTACTTATACATTGTTCTTGTCAAAAGCACTTGTTTTCACATGCAGGACCGTGATACGTTGCATTTTTTGGAGAACAATTTTTGTCTGCCTGTCGGGGAGTAATCAGCATTGGCAGTTTTGTTGCATTATCGATTTGTTTTTGCAGCTGACACGGTGACGAAGTTGAAAGGGGAGAAGTGCAAGCCAAAAAAATTCTCTAAACGACCTAAAGCAACATCTACCCCGGGTAAGATATTTTTCAGTATTTTGTTAAAGGCTAAAAAAATTTCTGCCGAAAAATTAAAATTGTATTTAATTTCAGAATTTTTCTAAAAAATATAACACTTTTTGCCCATTGCTTTTTCGAAATACTGCATGTGGACTTCACTTTTTAAAATCGATTGCTTGACTGCAGGTTTAAACGAGCATCTCCTGGCCTCCATGCAGCTCATCAAAGTATATCTCCATCAGGCGGGGCCAGATAAAAAAGAATTATATCCGGAAGCCGGAATGTTTGCCTGCTCGAAACTCGTGAAGAAATTCCATGAGAAACACTTTCGGCCCTTGCGCTACAATAAAATCCACCCCCAGATGCATCGGTTAAAAGCGATGGGCGCGAGTATAGCGCTGGATCTCATCGATTCACTGGGGAAAGTCTCCGACCAACTGCCGTCACAGCAATGTGCGCTGCTGGAATTGATTGATAAAGAGTTTTTGCAGACCGTTGCAAGTGAGTTAGCGGACGCACATCTCCTTTAACTAAGAATACCACATTCGAATTTTATTTTTATTCTGAGTTAATAGGATTACACGGCTCAATTATTTTGGAAATTAGTAATTTTAATAAGACCTTAATAATAAACATTAATAACTTTAGTAAGCCAGAATATTTTGTTATGTTATTACTCTTAATGGTGCAATGCTGACGGTAGTCATATGAATAACGGTTGTTATGTCGCGATATGAACATCAATAATTGAATCATCATCTGGTATCTACAAATTTCATTTTTTCATACTCGTGTTTTTTTGTATATTTTAATATATGTTTATTTTAAATTTTATGCCGTATAATAACCTTAGTAATTATATGTCTTGTAAATTTTAAAAATTTTATTTTTATTCCTTGTGTGTTTAATTTATGCGATTTTTTAGATCACTGCTGTTGCTTCTTGTCTGCATGTTGTTGGTTTTTATGTAGATTTTGTGAATTTGAACGATCCGCGCGTTGTGAAAGAGGATCTACCGCCGTTATCCACGGATCAGCTGCTACGAGGAATGCGGAATAGGATCAAATATCTGAAGGTCTTACCTGAAATGCGTAAGTTGATGAGTTCTTATTTGCAGATAACAGTTTTTCGGATGTGAACGCAGCAGGCCGAATTTGTATGCATTTGCGTAATTACTGTAGTACAGAATGTATCATTGCTATTTGTTAGAATTTATATTAGGAGATTATTATAGTCACGGGAACAGAAACCGGAAGCGTCGCACACACTGGTGTTGTTCTGTTATGTTCTGTTCATCAACGTTATACAAGCAGGTTTCTTATATAGCACTAGGTACATTCACGATATTAGTAAGTTACTGCACCTAAACATCTGATAAACAAGGGGATTGGTGACCTGGGTGCACCGTACACTCATAGATCAGCTAGTAAGACAATGATCATAGTTCACAAGTAGATGACACATTATGAGTGTATATTATATTGGTAATATAATTTCTAACACCCCTTCACCCAGCGCGCCATATCCACTGAAATGCACACTGGTTCCAAAGGTTCTTGATTCGGATCCTTGATATCTTTACATTGATTCTCTCACGCGTTCACGTCGGCAATATTGGGCTTTATGTCCAACGATTCCACAGTTGGCACAAGCAGGACAGGTTGGGCACTGTCTGGTCGTATGTCCTTCCATTCCGCAGTAGTTACACTGGAACTGGTCGGTTTGATCGGTTTGATTGGTTAGATCGGTCGGTCGGTCAGATCGGTCAGATCGGTTCATATGGTCAGATCGGTTAAAATGGTCGGATCGGTTAGATCGGTCGGATCGGTTAGATCGGTCGGATCGGTTTGATCGGTTCGGATTCTCTCTTTCTCTCTGGTTATAGCTGGAATAGGCTGATCCAAAAGGTCCTTTAAGATATCCACGATTTTCTTCCTGGGTCTTGATCATCTGTTCTGTTAACATCAGCTTTTCACGGAAGACGCTCATCTTTGGGTCGGGGCCGGCCATCATGTTCCATGATGCCACAAAGGGTCCGTATTCAACTGGCAGGCTGGACAGTGTTTTCGAAATCAGCCACTCATCGCTGGTTTTCACGGCTTTCCCACAGGCGTCGATCTTCGATGCCAATACGTGCAGCGTTGACATGAAGGTGTTAACGTCGTCGTTATCCTTCCACTTCAGTCCGAAAAACTCAGTCATCGCGGTCATTAAGTCGCATCCAGTTTTCGGCTCCCTTAACTCTTTAATCCGATCCAAAATTTCTGCTGACGTTGCACAGTCGCGTACCTGATTGAAGGTAACCTCGTCGAGCGTTGCGCGCAGAATACTTCTTGCTTTTCCGTCTCCGGATATCCATTTATTATAAGCGGCATGCTTCTTTTCGTCTGCTGGATCATCTCTTGGTATCTTGTTGCTTCCATCCACAATGCTCCACACGCCTTCTCCAGTTAAGACGTCCTCCACTTCGACTCTCCATCGAGCGTAGTTCGAGCCATTGAGTACCGTGACCTTTATCTCCTTCAACGTTGCCATCTTGGCGTCCGTAACAGTAACAGTAGCAAACCACTATACTAGTAAGACACGGCAGATACAACTTCCTGCTTAGAGACAAGCAGGTCTCATAATCTGTTAGAATTTATATTAGGAGATTATTATAGTCACGGGAACAGAAACCGGAAGCGTCGCACACACTGGTGTTGTTCTGTTATGTTCTGTTCATCAACGTTATACAAGCAGGTTTCTTATATAGCACTAGGTACATTCACGATATTAGTAAGTTACTGCCCCTAAACATCTGATAAACAAGGGGATTGGTGACCTGGGTGCACCGTACACTCATAGATCAGCTAGTAAGACAATGATCATAGTTCACAAGTAGATGACACATTATGAGTGTATATTATATTGGTAATATAATTTCTAACACTATTTATTGACTGTAATTTTCAGTTGTTGCTCAAAGACGATTAAAGCAACGTAAAAAGGAAGAAAGGAAACGCATAAGGACAGGCGAGACACTGCCGCCTCCAGTACTCGGACCGTCGGCACCGTCGCTGATCTCCCCATTGGACAATGGTCCATGGAATCCCGATCTCCCTTACAATCATCCCGGTAAGCACTAAGCATTCCTCTTCGTTCTCAGAACTCGTTTCCAAATATTATTTTATTGTTATGTTGTCGTTTTGCATGGTTACACACTGGAAAGTGTTTTTCTCATTTCTCAGTACACGTGGGACTGTAAAAGTGGAGTTAACCACTGACCACACTGTTTCCTTTCACTCGATTCACACCTTCCGCACTACCTTTCACTACATGTGATATTTTTTCGCAGTACCGCTCATTCCGTCCACAACCTTTTCCCGAGTGCCTCTAAATCCGGTTCGCACGGGTTTATTCTTACTTGTTTGTTTGTTTAATCAGCTTGACGTTTACCACAGTCGGGTCAACCATGCGACGTGTTAGAGGCTAGGCTACCACGGCAGAATGTGTTATCAAACTAATGAACGCGTTACGTGAAAAACTACTAGCAGTGCCACAGTATTCTACAGTAAAGAATACTCATCAGCATTTACAAAACGCGTAGTCCATTAAACACGATCCGGACTGGAGCCGAAAAAGGCGATGTTAACGTATCGCTGCTCCCTGGGTATCAACACAATGAGAAACGGCAGCGATTTTTTTCCCGAAACTTGAAAAAATTTTCGCCGTACGGGGAAGGCTCTTTTTGTACATTAAAGGCTAAGACCAATAGCTGGTCATTTGCATTGTTTCAGGATATTCGACTCCAAACGAATGGTTTTCGAAAAAAAATGGGGACAGCCGGGAATTGAACCCGGGACCACCCGCACCCTAAGCGGATATCATACCCCTAGACTACTGTCCCGTAATACAATGAAGAATAATGGTCAGCATTAACGAAAAGTCTGGTCCACTTTAGGTACTCGTACTTAAATAATATCAAGCCACTTTCCGCCACAGCTGTTGTTTAAAATTTCAATCCAAGTTTTGTAAGTGTTTCGTAAAATGATGGTGTTACTTCCAGTAAATAGCGCACGCAATTCCATTAATGTTGTCTCTAACCAGTTCATGCACGTAGAATCAGGAATTGAAATACGTATACAATAATATTGTGTATGTGACATTTTTTAACTTTGCAAGAATTATAATGCGGAAAATAAGTCGCGAAGTTTACTCCCCATTTTACTCATGGGAGAACGTGAAAATCGAAAGTAACGAAGTGTAGTGTGCGGTTGAATTTTTGCACAAGACCTGTACAGTGCGCGCAAACGTCAGTGTACGGAATGAAAGGAAGTGCAGAAGGTTGTGAAGCGAGAGAAAAGGTGGGAAAGGTAATTACGGGGTGGTCACTATAAGTGGATACTTTATTTTAACGCATGTTGTGGAAACAAACGCTTCTCTGTTTGCATCCAGTGCTGGCATTTTGAAGGATCAGGGTGTGTTCTTGTTGCACACTGTTTTTAACCTTCAAGTTTCTGAACCGTGAGCCGAGTGGGAAATTGTAGTCCTACTATGTGTAATTTGTAAAGCTTTGTTATTTCAGGTATGAAATATTGGATCATTTCTTAACATGCGCTGACTTCATTATAAACAAAAAAGCGCTAGCAGTGTTTCTCTTAGAAGTCTTGTGATAAAAAAGCTATAAATATAAGCAGTTTTCTCCTTGTAATAATTTTTCGTTTTAATGGTTGCAGATTTTCGCGTATCCTACCTGGTTGACCGGCCGGACTACGTGTCGCTATGGCCCGGCGGCGACAATCCACAGGTTTACATCAAGCAGGAATGGTACGACTACTTCACCAGAGAGCAGTCGCATGTCGATTATCCCCGCGATCAGAACTGGATCCGCGCGCTGCTCTTCAAGATCATCGACGAGCACGCGCTGCTCCACATGTGCCTGCAGCATCGCCAGCGCGAACGGCAGGGAGTGCGGGTCGCACAGCATACCTTGCTCAGCACCGGCTTTCTCAAAATACTCGAAGGTAATGTACTTCGTACCGTTTTTTCGAAAATGCGTAAAGCTGCTGTTATCTTAAATATCTTGGATCTCACGTCAGTGAAAACATTTGTTCGATCTTGCAAGTTTTGTGAAGATTATTTGGAATTTCACGTAGAATTCATACGGTGTCGCGGTTCGATTTGCTTCGATACGGAGTCGTTATTGTACACCTTCGCTGATTGGTTTAAAGACTACAAGCGCAACATCAACCGGAAAGGCATCCTCGACCAGGATCCGGCCACGCTCAAACCCAACCGTCTACGAACGGCCAGACGGAAGGGATATGGTCGCAGTACCATGCAGTAGTGATCGACGTATTGTTTCAAATACGATTACTCTTTCCCTAGTTTTTTTTTAAGTTTTTAACGAGCAATGGCAGCTGATGGAATGGACATTGCATCAGCGTTTGTTTTCCTGTGGTTTGCATTGCGACCTATGCTAATCAGCTATGCCTTGTACAGGTCTGCAGATAAACTGTTAACCAGCGATGGCGTATAGTGTCCAAGTCAGGCTGGTACAAAGAACATTGCTTGGTTTATGGTGCCAATTTTTGAACTTTCCATCAGTTATACAGCAGCTGCCGGCAGCGCAGTGGGCAGTATTTGGTACAAGACTGTTTTATTGCTTGTTAGCTCGTTTTTTTAGTTTAGTTTATTCATTAAGCGGACAAACCCTTGAGGCACTTACAAGTCTGGTCAATACACTGCTTGAACAAAAACAGAAATACAAAAACTACCAGAAATGTTTAGATTTCAACGATGAATGCTAAGTCTTAACAGAACCGTATCCAAACAACTCGTTTCTGCTTCGCAGTTCGCACTACTTTGTTAAGAAACCCTTCAGCCTCTTCGCTCCTCTTGATTGTCTTTCCAGTTCGTAGTTTTGACGCAGGTACATCCAGACGTTCTTTCCAGCGGAAATCGTACCTCATGCCAATGTCCTGGAATGAAACAAGATTGCACATGTATACTGGCACATCAAAACCGTCTTGGTTGCGAATCTTGTACAGCTACATGCCTATTGTCTGAAGTCGCATAATCTTTTTAATAATCATGTGTTGCAAAGAACGCTTTTAGTTGGGTCCGGATGTTTCTCAAACTAAGAATAAGGAAAAGCGGATCAAGCGCGGCTTGCAGCATAAATATGGTGGCTGTGACTTCGTAGATGGTCCCATCCCAATATCCCGCTAGTAAATTCAACTTGAAGAAGACAAGATTGGGTGTCCAGCAGACAAGAGCCGTGATGGTTAAGGCCGTGTATATGATATAGCCAATGGATCGCTTCCGGTGGGAAACCGGGGCCTTACTACCGACAGCGCCACTCGGTCGCGCAGGGTCTTTGGTCCGCATTCCACTGATGAGTGCGATGCTTCTATCAGCGGTTTCCTCATTTGCAAGGACGCGCTTATGTCGTTTATAGATCACATAAGGAAAAGCGCCAAAAATGACGGTCGCCGGCAGAACATAACACCAGAACTCGGTGAATACGATGAGCGGATATTGTGCGCCAACGGTCAATAGGCACGATGATGATGATTGCTGATGCCGGTACCTGAAAAGACTGTATTATTAAGGAATTCCGGTATCTGCGTTATTTTGGTACTTACTGTAGCGTTGTACAATACGTACTACATGGTACTGTACATTTGTCTTTCGTTGGTGTTTTGAATCGCATGAATTGTGTTCCAAGAGAATAAATTACGATGCATTGCTTAGAAACAATCGAAGTATGCATATTGCTGTTCAAGTACCACAGATCTATGTTTACTGTGCTGATACGTTGCTGCCGGAGCTTCTCCACTCGAACTGCTTGTTCAGCGCTTCGAGGAAGCTTCGAGCAGACTAGGTCTGCAACAACCAGTCATAACACAGTAAACCCATTAGAGTGATTAGACCGCCTTATTTTCACTTTATTATGTGGACAGATCGTTATGTAAACTCGTGCTGATATGAACTATGAAAGGAAGAAAACTTATTGAAAGGAAGTACTTATTGATTCTCTCTCTCTAATATGTACAGTACCATAGCGCATCGCGAATAATCTCAGGAAGTTGGAGAGTATGAATGTACACCCAACTACCCAAACATATGCACACAGCTGTGGCTCTCGTATGCCGAAACTTGTAGCTCATGGGAAAGGTTACCGCCCAGACGCGATTAACGGTGATCAGCGCGTGCGCATGGTACATTCCGGGGTTGATGATGTACAGAACGTACAAATAGTAGGAACACGTGAAATACGACAGATTCCAGCCGCCCGCCACCGTGGAGATTACGTCGAAGGGTTTAATCAGTAAAACGTGGAGGAGGTTGGCCGACATTAGATTCAATAAATAAATGTTAAACGGTGTTGGTGAGGCGTTCGCTCGGAAAAACGTTAAGAGTACCAGTAGATTCAAGATGGCGGTAACGGCGGCGATGATCAGCGTAACGATCGCAAATGTATTCCACTGTACCGGCGGCTCCGAAGACGCGCACGTCTCAAAAGCGGAGACGTTGCTACTTCCGTTCGTGTTCATGGGAGAAATTGTTGCAGCTGTGGATCAAAGTTGCGGGAAGCGGAAACCTTTTTGTACTAATTCAAGCTGGAAGAAGTTATTAATTTGCCTTGTAGTTTTTTCACGCCCAATGCTTCTGTATCGGTGATGTGGCTTTGCTGTAGCATGCAAAATGCTTGGTAAGAGAAGCGCACTGCGATGATGATGTGCAGTTGTGTACATAGCCTCCCTTTGCGAACGAACCGGTATCATGTTCGGTACGTCATCTACGGTGGGTTTTGTTGCAGATATTGTTCATACTATGTTGTTATCCGTATTGACACAAGTTTTTCGCTCACCGTGAAATGATTGGATGGAGATTGCGTAGTTTGCCAACACTGGCTTTAACAAAATATACAGCCCTGCTACGCCAAGTTCGGACACTTGCATAAAATAAATTAAAAAATAATTTTCTTCGTTATAATGTTTTTCTTTTAACACTTTTCTAGTGTAACTTTTCATTGCGGATCTAACGATACCAAAACTGGAATCTTTCGACATATTACTGAGCAGGTAGGCGGTGATTAAGTGGCGGGGCTGTGCTGGTTTTTTGGGTGCTTATAACTGTCCCTCTAGAAACTTCACGAACCTGAATTTTTAAGTGAAATATTTTGGAAACTGTATAACTACCCGAATGGTGTTCGTTGCAGTTCAATAACTCAGCCCTGTGCAATCGATCCTCGAGGTGACCTGAAACCAAAGTTGGTCTCCCATAGACTTGTATGTTATAACACACCCGCTGAAGAACGTGGTTGCCTAGCGTACAAATGTGGATGATTTGAAGTTGACCGCTTCCATAGGTGAAACATGGGTCAGGTTACACGATTTTAATGAGTCGACAGCTATTTACCACACAGGCGGGAAAATGCGTGCACCGGACAGCTGGAAGAAAAACCTAACAAAGCAGTGTCTAGAAAATGTTATCATTGATATCATAATTCGTTGGGACGATACGTATCCGTTTTTTTGTGGGAATGAAAAACCTGAAGTAGACGCACAGTCATCTATAAACAAGATTTTATCAAGATTAGACACTTGTGACTGCTCACGGCTGTACGGCTAGCGCCCGAAAAAGGTCATCCTATATTTTGACGGTGCCCGCACGAAAGCTGGAAAGGTCACGTAGTCTTGGTAGAAATGGGGATGTGTTAAGCACCATCCGCAAGTGAATTGATCGGCAAACTCCATAAATTTAACTAATCTAGACTAGAGAAGGTGTGGAATTTTTTAACGAATTGTGAAAAGGGAGATGCATCCCTGAACAGATGGGTCGAGCGGTATTTGGAAGCTGGTCCGTTCTAGTTTAGACCTCACTGTAATTCGGGGCATGCTTTCAGCATAAAAACTCTTAATGAAAAAGTTGCTGGATACATACGCTGATCATACAAAAATGAGAGGCAGTTTTAATTCTTAATGGGTGACTTTTGATAATTTTTCGATGAAAGTGTCCGAACTTGGCGTAGCAGGGCTGTAATTTAAAATCTGGGAATTTTCTGAGCTTCTTGGAAGTGTGCTGTAAAAAGGTGCAAAAACGCCACAAAAGTTATTTTAGTGCAAATTCGTTTTCGATGTTGTAGTTATGGTTTTTGCACCGTCCGGTGCGGCTGTGTTTGATTGGATACCCTCCGCTTCGGTTGCAGTCAAAGTCAGTAAGTCAGTGACATCAGGATTTTTTGGTCGAATATACAGTATGACAACTTAAACAATCATTTGCAACACCAAAACGCCTTCAGCTGGATGCGAATGTCTTTCAAACTAAAAATGAAGAAAAGAGGATCAAGCGCAGCTTGCAGCATAAACATGGTGGCAGTGATCTCGTAGACGGTCTCATCCCAGTATCCCACTAATAAGTTCATTTTCAAGAAGACCAGATTGGGAGTCCAACAAAAAAGAGCTGCCATGGTTAAGGTCGTATATATGATATGTCCACTGGATCGTTTTTGACGGGAAACGGAAACCCTGCTGCCGATACCACCGCTAGGTCGTGCGGAATCCTTACGGAGAATTCTACCGGCTGTAGCGTTGTAACCAGTGGTTTCGTCATTGGCAACCATCCGCTTGTGTCGCCTATACATTACATATGGGAAAGCACCAAAAATGATGCCTGCTGGTAGAACAAAACACCAGAACTCGGTGAAAACGATGAGCGGGTTCTGTGCGCCTGCACTAACGGTCAGTATGCAGGACGACGTCGATTGCTGATGCCGATACCTGCAATCCAGAGAAACTGGTTCCATAATTTTCATTTGGTACTTAATTCAATAATCGCGCTACTCAGCGGAACCAATGGGCAATGAGATTTGAAAAACCTATGAGTTGTAGCCTTTCATTTGTGCTTGCATGTATCTGAAAAATTAGTTTTTCGAGAAATTTTAAAAAATCTTGTAAGATTTTGGGCTCAACATTAAATCTAACTTTCTAATTTAATTTTCGTTTTGATTTCGTACTGTAACAGGCAAGCGCGAGGAGATCACGAGTGCACTTTATTGACAAATAAAGGGGGAACAATGCTGCGTAATAGCAGAAAGCAAGAACAAAGCACTGATGGCTAAGCAAGCAAGTGAATGCTAGAAAGGTTCTTGAGCGTCCGTCAAGACGTGAAAGAAGCAACTGGCGGCAAGCACGTGCTGTGTGCCGTCAGCTGTGTGTTGAAGCGCAGACTGGACTCTATCCAACGCGAGCGTATGAACGCTGAGTCATACTGCGAGAGAGGAACGAGAGAGCAAGTGTGGCTCAGTGTATGCGCTGCGTATATCCGCTTCAGCGGATGAGTGCAGTGCAGCAGCACACGTACGTACAGCGAGAGAGGCGATAACGGCAAGCAATGGTGCAAGTACGTCCAGTGTGGACCGTACGCACCAGGCGCAGTCGTACGCCTCTGACAGTACTTACATGTACAGTGTACTTCGCAGAGGGCCTCTAGTTTTCCCGTCTGTACGTTAAGGGAAATCTTGTTTCCCCCGCACAGCTATTAAAGCGGATGGATATTGTCTAGGGTGACACTATAGGCACCCCAAAAACCGCCGTTTACTATAGGCACCCCTTTTCCGCACCCCGTTAATTAAAGGCACCCTTATCTTATTAATTGATTCTTTCGTGCACCCTGTTTTTTATAGGCACCCCTATGAAATTTTAGCATATTATACTGTAATTGTAGTGTTAGAACCTAGATACGGTAATGTTGAAAACTACTGCTTGTACGCTGTTGTTGTGCAAGATCGCCACGGGAAAGGTCGTCCAGTTGCACTTTGTTTTATGTCATATGAAAGGAACCACTATATCGACGCGTTTTTCACCGCCTTTAAAAACTACCACAAAGACACAGTGGAAAAACTTTGGTGTCCGAAAAGAACCCAAGGAGGCCACCCGGTGTTCGAAAAGAACCGACAGAAAACCGGCATCCGAAATTACATACAATTTCGAAACGAAACATCAAAATTACCGCCGACGATGCCATCCTCATTAGATCTAAGTTAGCAGATCAGCCTCACCGCCCGATCATCGGATGGAAAGCCTGATTCTGTCTGTATGCGAGTATCTGTATGAGACTGACGCTCGTACAGTACATGAAATCATCTTCGAATTCTGTATCCGAAATATGCTATTAAAGGGTGCCTATAAAATACATTGACAGAGTGTTTCTATTTAATAAACAGAAAAGGGTGTCTATAAATTACGGGGTGCGAGAAGGGATGCCTATAATAAACGAGGGTGTAAGGGGTGCCTATAGTGATTTCCTATTGTCTAACCGATTCACGATGTTGAGGCTATCTGTCCGGACCAGCTTACCATTAGCGCAGGATGACTGCCAAAATGACTGCGCACATTATCGGAAACTGTTTTTAATCCTGATTTTAGTTTTCGTTCTTCTTCGTACGACACGTTCTAACAAGTTAGGCCTGCGATCAGGCCGCACAGTGTTCCGTTGTTTCTCGATCTCGAGCTGCTTCGAGATCTCGCATTCTTTTCAAACCTGAACAGTCATTTGCTACCTGGAAGCGCTGCACAAGCAGTTCCAGTTGAGATCGATGCTTTAAAAGCATCGTTTTACTACGATCTAAGCATGTAATACAGTAAACCGAATCTGATATTTGGTGTACCGGTAATCTATGAATTGTGAGAAGCCGCCTCTACGCGGTAGCGCATAAGGAATTCGAGCTGACTGAATGTTTTAACGTTATCGCTACAGTACATACAGCCTGTACAGGTACAGTTGATACAGTACCATAGTGCATCGCAAGTAATCTCGGGAAGCATGAGAATATGGATGTACACCCAGTTGCCCAAACACAGGCACACAGCGGCGGCTCTTGTATGTCGATACTTGTAGCTCATGGGAAAGGTCACCGCCCAGATGCGATTAATGGTGATTAAGGCATGCGCATGATACATCCCGGGGTTGACGATGTACAAGACGTACAAGTAATACGTGCACATGGAGTAGGACAACTTCCACCCACCCGTCACCGTGGAGATCACGTCGAAAGGCTTAATCAGTAAAACATGCAGAAGATTTGCTGACAGCAGATTCACTAAATAAATGTTAAACGGGACATGGAACGCGTTCGCTCGGAAGAATGTTAAAAGCACCACTGTGTTTAAGATGGCGGTAATGGCAACGATGATAAGCATGACAATTGCAAAAGGATTCCATTGCTGCGGTAGTTCAAAAGAGGGGATCGTTCCGATATCGGAGAAGTTGCTTGTTTCGTTCGTCTTCATGAGAGTAAGATCCATAAACTGCGAGATCGTGAAGATGCTAGAAGCGGAAAACTTTCCGCATTTGGTGCTGGATGGAATTCGACATACCAGTAGACTTTTCACGCGCAAGTCACGGCGCTTCCTACTGAGTACAATGTATCTCGGAAATTCGTTCTGCTGTTTATAGCAACTGGGAAGAGAAATGCACGCAATGGTGGTCTCCCTAGGGAGCGGTATCGGTATCCCATCGTACTCTTTATCCTGGTTCTGCGGCAGATTAGTCAAACAATTGTTATAGTCCATGCTGACATGTTTTTTGGTTACTTTAGAGTGTAGACTGAGTGGATAGCACTTTTACCTATTGCAAGCGGACGAGGAATTACAGTAAATTGTTAGGGAGAAATAGCAGATAATGATTTTACATAATAACCCTTTATTTTCAGTTGGTGCATGCATGTTTGTGCGAGACAACAGGAAAGGTTAAATAAATCGATCAAAGCTGCTTTTTGATATTACTGTACACTGTTTAGTTTTTCGTTAAAAAGGTGTCATTTGCTCTGCAAATTGCATTGGCATTACGGGTGCTGTAACACCATCACCCCAACAAGAAGAGTTTTCATTTTTTATGCACGCTCATTCTCATGTATTGATTGTCATCGATAGTAACATTGTTATTTCCAAAAAATTCATTGTAAAAACACCGGAAAAGTGTAATTCATAACTGCGGCCAGACTAGCCGATCCCCGATCAAGATAGCATAGAGGAAGTGTTTCTGTTATAAATGCTGTTTCGTTTTGGTACATAGTTTGTACTCGTATCATGATACTTATTAGAAAGCAATCTGCTGACCACGAATACGGACCCCAATACCGATCCAAATTAAAATCGTGTTTGTATTGGTATTCGGCCTGCTTTTGAGTATTCGGCCGCTAGCGGCGGAAGTACGAAAAGCGAGCAACGTAACTGCCCTTGAAGCAGTTTTACCACTTGCCACAAATGTCAAAATCACCACAACTATCTGTCGCATTTCAGTTCCAAAAAAAGTTTGACATTGTGAATTTAAATATTTATGATTCAGATTCGCTTTAGTTTATTTAAAAATGAAACTGGCTACGTTAATGAAGTTGTATCTCCGGAAAAATATCTCTCGACGGCTGTTTTTAATTCTGCGACGTAAGATTTGAATTTCCTCTCTTCTGACATTTGTGGGACAGTGGCTGCTTTTTCTGCCCGTCGGAGACGAACTTCCTCTTGCCAATCTTGAATGTCGCCGCCGTTGGCGCTGAGCCAGTCGTTCATGGCATCTTCATCATCTAGAATTCGAAAGCCCCGGTAATAGTTTGAAATGTTGTGCATAAAGACGAGCATCTAAATGTCCAAAAAGTAATAAAATTTCTATGAAATTACGTAATCCAGCAATCAAATTTGACGTGACGTACTTACGGGAACTGTCGGAAAAAATAAAAAATTTAAAACTGAAAATCTTCAAAATCTAACACGAACCAAATCAGCGATATTTTCTCAAGAAATCAGAAATACTAGATATCTACAAGTAGAACTTAAACGTGCATTTGTATATACCGTACATCAACATACCGTACATCAACATCCATTTACGTAATTTTTTTAGATTATTTTGGTTGTTAAGCTTCTTACCGGATAAAACGGAGACATCGTCAGGAGCTTCCTGCTCGCCCTTCTTTCGCCCGTGCTCTCCTGCAGAAACCATGAAGGCCGCTGTCCGCTTGCGCATCGCCATTTGCTCAGCATGGGTCTTAGATTTCTGCTGACGCGTTTCATCGGCGCTCTTTACAAGAGTCAAAATTTCCTGGAGTAGCTGCTCCATCTTGTTGTAGTCCTCCTCCGTTCCACTTCGGAACTTCTTTTGCAGGTCGTTCGCCTGGAATGCCGTGATGAGCACGCTGAGTCTTTCTTTCACAGCTCGGACGTCCAGAGACTTTGAAAACAGAGCAGCATCGTTCAGACTTTTCACCACATCCATCCACGCTTTCTCCTTGTTTTCAGCCGCATAGGGATTAAAATGTTGGACTTCACCCAACAAAGCCAAATCAGCTTTCGCGTAGAATCGATTATAAGTTTTTTTAACTAGAGTTTTTTCCATTATGAACGTTTGTGAAACAACAAGTTAAAAATTAAAATAAAATACTACGTATAATTTGAAAATAACGCACGACTGACACGAGCCAGTGCACACAAGGCAACCTATGTGTATTACTGCAATATACCGCGGCCAAATTAGATTTTACAGCCTGTTTCGGTGCTCTCCTGGGATTCATATTTTCATTGTTTATTTCGGCTTTTATCGCCCGACAAAACATATCAGAAGATAGGAAATGTTTTTTTCTATCATTCTGCAAAAACAAAACGGAAATTGGTCCACTACATGTTCCACAGCAGCATTTCGCAACAGACACACGATTCAAAGCATAAATTCCGTATTTTACGGAATCGTACGAAACGAATGGGGCTATGACTCACGCAAAAGAGGCGGAGATTAGTATTAGGGTCCGTATTCGTAGTGCGCAGATTACTTTCTATTAAAGGTTATTCAGCCTTATAACCGTATGAAAGTTGACTTTGTCGATGGCTTTTTCTCGTTGGCATCCGTTTCACTTATTGAACGTATTGACAGCAGTTCACAAATGTCGGAAACGAGAAAAATGTTACGTTTTACCCGTATGCGGATCATGCGGTGATTGATGGTTCCGGTACAGCGTGCTAAATAACAGATCCGTATCCCCCGGCATTCTCATGAGTTCGATGCCGCTGACAAGATATTATTTCTATCGCAGCGACAGCCATCAATGAGGGAGAAGATGCCGCTTTCACCGGTATTGATATTGGTTGGTTGTCCGTTTATTAACCTTAACTGGTTTTTCTGGCAGATCCTGTAGCTGTTCACCAAGTTAAGCACTAGAAGTACTCCACCAAGAAGAACCGTGATGAGCAGTTCATAAATACAGCAATGTATTAAATACCTGACACCAAAAATACAGTATTAACTTACAAATCTGCACGTTCAGTCGGCAGTCGTTGTGGCTGCTCAAACTTTGGGTATGATCGGTATGATATTGCGCAGCCCACGCAGTCATATTATGCCACAAACTGTTAAAATTATTAGCAGTTTGTAGTGACTACACTTTCAAAACACTTTGCTGCATGCCGTGCGTAGTGACTACACCACAGAGATTTAACCAGAATCGTAACCGGTAAACCGTTATTTTTTGTTGGTCTGTTCCATGATTGCGGTCATGCAGTTTTTGCGGATATTTTTCCCGACGCTAATGCTGATTGCAACGGTCAGCAGGGTAAAAGGGCTTCAATATGTGATGTTTGGACCGAACAGTGTGCGGCCTAACAGCCCATTTCCCGTATCAATCCTGGTGCTCAACGCCACATCGGATGTGCGCATCGATATGGCGCTGATAGGAGGGCCGCGCTCTAACACATCGTACTCTGGCAGTATGAATTACGCAGCTTACAATATGATGCCTTTTGCGCCGGCTTTTTTGAAAGGCGACGTCAAATTATTTATGTGCAATGCATCGGCCGTCATTCAAGCCAATAAACTGGCTCATCTGGAGATTGCTGTACGTTACGTACTTCGAAAACTTTAATTATTTTAATATTTACGCATAAATTAAATGGAGTTCCCCGGAATTAATAATTGTTAAGCTGGGCGTGATTGACAGGTGGACGACCTTTCCAACGTGGACGGAATGGTGTTTGCTCTTAACGGATCTGACTCGTCAGACTCTTTTTCGACAATGTTTATTGGACCGATTGGTGTGGATAAGAGCAATGCCACTAAAGCAAAGGAGGAACCGAAAACCAAGAGCGAACCGAATATTTTCATTCAGATCGACCAGCCGTTCTACAAAGCAAAAGATACTGTCCACTTCCGAGTCGTGTCGGTGGAATTGGTGAATGGCCAACTGCGTCCGCTTTTCGTGCCCTTTGATGTGCAGATTCTGGTAAAATTGATTCGTTTTTTTTGCAAATTTAGATTTATTTCTGAAGTATTTCCTAATTCTTCATATCTGTGCAGGATCCACAACGCAACATCGTCCAACAGAGCAGTAACGCTAACGATACGCAAGGTTCGAAAATTAGTACTTCGCGAATAAAAGACCACAATCAGCTATCATAATGTTATGTAGCTGTTAGTTAGCGCTGCTGATTCATTTTAGTTGTCGGATACTTTTCTGGAGAAATGCCATTATCGTCGGATCCGCTGTTAGGCAGTTGGACATTGCGGGTGGTTCGCTCAAGCGATAAGAACACAACCGTACGAAATACAACTGACTTCAAAATGTGATTAACGAAACATTAATATTGTCATACATATCCTTTTTGTAGGTCGGAGCTTCTTGCCCGACCTCCTCCTCTAATTATGGGAGTAGCAGCTCCAGTGGTTATAGTGGTGGCAGTTATGGAAGCAGCAGCTACGGTGGTGGCAGTTACGGAAGTAGCGGTAACGGCGGTTACGGTGAAGGCGGTTACAGCAGTTGCGGTTACGGCGGTTGTAGCGGTGGTTATGGCAGAAAGAAAAGATATATCGGTTTCGGCTTTGGTATCAACGGTGGTGGTTTCGTTGGTCGTAACAGTCCTTATGAAAGCCGCAGTTATAATGATTCAGAAGCCTCCAACAATGCCGACGAAGAAAGTGACACCGACTGCAACCCTGCCGATAGCCATGATTTGGTGTTGGCCAGTAAACACTTCTCTGTTGATGAGTTTGGTAAATTCGCTCCTAGCTTTTTATCCATAGATATGCAGATATGCCAGAGTGTCAACTGACAAACCTTGAATAATTCAAACTTACTACAGTTGTGCCGCGATTTGATGTCAGAATTGTAACATCGAAGAGCTACATCGTCCCACGGATGCAGGAAGATTACCGTTTCCAGGTCGCAGCGAAGTACGAAAACCGATAATTTCACATGTGCTTCGATACATTTGTAAGCGTTTCTTTTCATGAATATTTGTAGTTACACATCTGGAGAACCGGTCACGGGCACTTTTGACATAGCGGTACTTCGGCCACGCCCTCCGCATTGTTATGGGTGCTCCGAAGAGAAGGATCTGTATGATCCGGTGTGGAACTTGACCATTTCTGCGGTATGGCCAGGTTTTCCGCTAAAGAAAATCCCGCTAAGTCCCATATTTTGCAGGACAAAAGTGGAGCAGCATCTGTTACCGTCCCAGCAGAAACCCTTTCCTCTCTCACGGATACATCAAAAATAACCATTCGAGTAAATTTCACGGAAACTGCCACCGGTCAGAAACGGAACGCTACTCCCGCTGTTGTATCGATCAAAACCGAAGCATATAAAATTCGCATCCAAGCGGACCCAAAGACGTTCATGCCTGGATTCCCGTACTCTTTCAGGGCCACTATTTCCGACTGGGATGACCGCCCACCACCTCCCAGTCCGAAGACAGCCCTGATAGGAATATTTGGCTATTCCTACACCGAAGGTCGCGCCAAGTTCGTATCACTGTCCGGCGATGTGAGCTGCCAGATGTATCCATCGCAGTACGGTGGCAGTTATGGAAGTCTTTACGGACCAGGCGGCTAAGGTGGCGGTGGCTACGACAGCGGCCATCGGGGTGGCAGCTATCCTTTTGGTTTTGGGATAACCGGCGGAGGTGCTAGTAACCTCGGGGGCGGAGGCGGTTACGGTGGGGGCGGCAGTGGTTATAGAAGAAAGAGGAGCAGCGGTTTCGGTATCAACGGACTTTCACTTCGTTTGAACGGATATTCCCAGAGCCCCAGTTTTTACGGGTCAGGTTGTCTCCCAGTCGCCGATCATCAATCTGTGGAAGTGCGTCCTGATGGAACCATTACCACCAGTTTCCCGACTTCGAAGAACGCAACATCAATAACCGTAGTCGTATCCTATCAGGGCATAACGGAAAATAAATTTATCTACGCCAAACAATCGCCGAGTGGCAGTTTCCTTGAGATCACCCAGCTCACAAACGGTCTATGGGCTGGCAACGTGGCCGAGTTTGCTATTAATACCACGACAAGGACTGATGAAATTATTAACATCTTAGTAAGCTTAAACCTCTATAGATAAACCAATTGGTTCGTGGTTCACTCTGCACGTTATAATACTTTATGATTTCTTCAGGCCTTGTCAAGTTCCAATGCCAGTTTCCTATGGAGTGATTCGATTTCAAAATCGGGCAGATATGTTCAAGTATCTGTACCAATTGCCGCAGCGATGGGCGCATCGGGACGACTCATTGCGTATTATGTGGGAAGTGACGGTGAACTCGTGGGGAATATTAAAGGGCTTACGGTTGTCAACGACACAGCAGAAAACATTGTAAGGGCAACTGGAGATTTGCATAGAAAACTGATATTATTCACGATTTACCAGTAGCTCATATTGATTCAGGCAAAGGTCACGCTGTCAACACAAGCACGAAGTGGTTTATCGTATACGGAACCGGGAGCCGAGGTCTCCGTGCAAGCTCACAGTAGCCCTTCGGCGTTTGTGGCATTCTTGCTATGGATGAAAGCCTTTTCCTGCAGATACCCGGCAACGACATTACCCAAAATGTCGTATGTATCCGCTAAAATGATTGCATCAAACTCTTCGATGCCCCTAATGTGACGACTTTTTCAGCTGGACAAAATGCCGAAACCTAAGCAAAAAGTGCAACCGAGTGATATGCAGTCCGTCGAAGACTATTTTACGGTACTCTATAACTTGCTGAAGCTTGCTTAATCACCAGAAGGTTTGTGTTTCGCCTGTAGCGAAATATACAGCGGAATATACAGATATACAGCGAAATACACAGATTGATGACATTAAAATACAGCTGAAACATTCAGTAAAAAGCGTCGTTTAAACTCGGGCAGCATGATAGCAGAGGATGACCATTACAGCATTTGTTTTGAAAATTGCAGAAAGCAACCGATTCCGGTCCGGTGCAACAATTCCTTTTGACAAACACTAAACTTTCCACAACATCACCTCCACGCATTCAAGATTACATCGGCTATGAATCGTCCGCTTCGGTATCTCCGTCTGATTTCGGACCGCAGCAGCCGGCTCAGGCACGCAGAGACTTCCGTCCAAGCTTCCTCTTTGAGACCGCTTGGACAAAGTAAGATATGCAATCGTAATGTCGGTCTGCTGTTGCGGTGTTGTAACGAGTGTTGTTTTTGGTAGCATCAACGGCGATGTCACCTTGACGCGTAAAGTGCCAGATGACACCACGGCATGGCGAATCTCGGCGTTCAGTCTGAGCAATACTAGCGGACTAACCGTGTCTTCGGCGCCGGTCAAGGTCTGTTTATTGTTACCCAATGAAGACCATAAGCCCAGGAATCAGCAGGCTTCTTTTATCGTAGCTGAAAGTTTTCCAGCCATTTTTCCTAACGCTCAACCTACCGTTCAGTGTAGTCCGCCTGGAGAACCTTACAGCCGAAGTACTTGTCTTTAACTACATGTCAACATAGCAAAACGTTACGGTCAATTTAAAGCTGCAAAATCCGGACAATACTACGGCGACATACTCGAAGAAAGTGCTGTCTATGCCGAATGAAACCACAATGGCAACATTTGTCATCATACCCGAACAGATTGGAGATCTAAATATCAAAATCACAGCGCAGTCCGAACTAGCTGCTGATCAACTGGAGAAGAATTTGAAAGTAAAGCCGAAAGGGATCAAACAGTTCTTCACTCAACCAATCCTCATCGATCTACGCAACTCTAGCGAGTTCGATATGGTCGTACCACTGCCGATAGATCCCAATGGAAAGGTCGCCGGCTCTGATAAAGTGGAAATTCGCCTCGTTGGTGATCTTTTTGGCGCTTCGCTGAATAATTTGGACAAACTTATCCGACTTCCGTATGGGTGTGGTGAGCACAATATGGCAGTACTAAAACCCAGTGTAGCAGTGTGGAAATATCTAGAAAAGATGAATAAATTATCGGCTGCGCAGCGCAAGCAGCTGTTGAGAAATATCCAAATGGGGTAACAGAGGGAGTTAACGTACCGACGCGATGATAATTCGTTCAGCGCATGGGGACAATCCGACTTCTACGGCTCCACATGGCTAACTGCGTACGTCGCACGAGTCTCTGCTGAAGCTGCTGAATTTTTTCCCATCATTGACGACACGGTCATTCGGAGAGCGTTGCGTTTCCTAATCGATCAGTAGCTGGAAAACGGATCGTTCGAAGAAAGCGGAAAAGTCATCGACAAGCACAACCAAGGCGGCGCGTCAAAAGGCGTCTCATTGGCTGCTTTCACACTTCTGTCGTTCCTGCAGTACAACAGTACGGGAAAGCCTGACGTCGTTAAAATGAATATATCGCTACCAAAAGCGGTGGCGTATCTGGAATCGCAATTGGACAACGTGAAGAACGATTCGTACGCATTGGCAATTACAGCGTACGCACTGACCAAAGCGAACAGTTCAAAGGCAATTGACGCGATTGGTTTTCTCAACGATCGAATGGTAACCGACGTTACCACAATCCACTGGACAACTGTCCCATCGAATAATGATGAAGGTCAAGATTCCGGGCATTCGTATTCACTCAATGCGAAAGATGTAGAAGCCACCGCTTATGCTTTGTTGGCGTACATGGCCAGCGGAAAATCAAACACATCAATATCGTTGCAAATCGTTAACTGGTTGATATCCAAGCAGAATGCGGAAGGTGGCTTCTATTCGACAGCGGTACGTATACAATTGTGCCAAAACTGGCTTTTCGGATACTGCAGGTCTGTTTGTTTTAGGATACGGCGGTGGCGCTGCAAGCGTTAGCTGAATTTGCAGTAGCGTTTAGCAGTCCATCATCGCTGCAAATCGATGTTACTGATGAAATTCAAAAAAGCGGTTTAAGCATTACTCCCGAAACGTCTTTAGTAACACAGTCGGTTGAGTTTTCGACCAAGCCAGAAGATATCGTGATTCACGCCCGAGGCAGCGGAGTCGCCATAGCCTACTTGAGTTGGACGTACCACGTGGTAGAAACCAAAGAAGACATGGCGTTTGACCTTAATGTCACATACGCTACTGCATCGACCAAGGAGAACCGCTTAAACATCTGTACAGCGTGAGTACAACATTCTTTTTTTTCAAATTACACGTTTTCGTTTATGCGGAGGTGTTACCAATGGAGATCTTGCAGGTATTTGAAAGATGGCGCCAGCAGCATGGCGGTTGTCGAGATCAGCGCTCTTTCAGGTTATCAATTCGATGAAGAAGAGGTCAAACATCTTCCGCGAACACTTGAGGCGCTGCGAAAAAGCGAAGTGGACAGCAAGGACACTAAGCTCAGTTTGTATTTTGACGAGGTGATTCTTCCGACATATCATCAGCTTTCTGATCTGTCTCAAGAGCACATCCACGATAATTATCTTTTTTTGCAGATTACACCGACGGCCAAATGCTTCACTGTGACCATGTACCGAATCTACAAAGTGGACAACATTAAGAAACAGAGTGTTGTCGTTTATGATTACTACAACCCCAAAGAACGACGGACCGTCTTGTACGCCCCACTGTTTTACGGTGCTTCCGTTTGATTCTGAACCGCCTTGTTTTGTTGGATTTTGTGCCAGCGATTTCTGTTATGCTGTTTAAGCCCGTCTTAATCAAACGAATGATATATCTGGGACAACCATTGTCGGCCAAGCTTTCGTATGTTAATAGTATATGTAGATGTACATGGCCATTAAACAAATCGTTATACCAATGTGTACAGTGCAAAAAAGTTTCAAAACCGTCATTCATCCCATCGCGGAAACGACGAAAACATTCGCAGTCAAACACTGAAATGATATAAATAAATTTTAGTTTATTTACTTAGTTTTATTAAATCAACAACAAGCAGGCCACTTAATCGTCAAGCCCTTGGATATCGTACCAACACAGCTCGCAGTTTTTGGAATGACAACATCCGCTTGTTTGTTTAGCGTGTGTTTGTTTGCGAACTTCTTGAGCTTAGTCAAATTTTGCCGAAAGGGAAAGCTGTTTGCATTAATTCTGTCGTTATGGCTCATGATGGTGATTATGGCGCATGTGACAGTGTGATCCGTATCCTCAGGCATATCCTGCTCGGTTAAATACCATGGTGCACAAATTAAACCGGCTGCAACACTTCACTGCGGTTACTCGTAAGTTCGTAACAGAAAACGAGTGCCGGCTGTGCACAGCGTTACGATTCAACACTATGATGGTGGTTGACCGATAACTTGTTTCAGAAATGAATCTGGCGATTTTCCACCTGACTACCTATTACTAATCTTAGTAGAGATTCTCATAAACATAAAGAGATCCAGTTATGTTCAGCTGTCAGTACCGGCGCTGGGTAGTCACGGATGTTGCCTGCAGCTCTCCAAGAACAGAACGGCAACTCATCGTTGCTTGTATCACATTATTTAATACCGCTAGAGCGCATCATACTTTACACTATTAAAAAACGCGTGTTGAAGTTCTCAAGCTAATAGCTTATTTCGAAAGCATTTTCTTGCGTAGTGATGCATAATAAAGTGCTGCTGTAAAGTGTCAACACAGTCGACAACAATGCATCTTTGGCCGAAATGCGTCTTGACATCTGCGCTTCTATTGGCCGTTAGTGTTAGCGGGCTTGAGTATGTGATTCTCGCACCGAACATTATTCGGTCCGACAGTAAATTTCCGGTATCGGTTCTTGTGCATAACGCCACATCAGATGTGCATATCGATGTGGCGCTGGTTGGAAAACCGACAGCCAACGATGGTGACACCTTGGTGTTCAAAAATTCGGCCGTTGTGCAAACGGACAAATTGGCTGTTATGGAAATCGATGTACGTATTCCCTATTACGGCTATTACAATGGACATTACTATTAGGTGTCAGAGTGTGATGCAGTAGTGACAGTGCCACTGTCACTACTGCATCACAGTAATTAAACAATTTGTTCTAATCAAATGAAACGTTACTGTTGCGAAAAAAGTAAGTTGTTTGATTTACGTATAATGTTAATAACAGTATTTTTAATTCACGCATATTTAATAAGGTTGGTGACCTTTCGAGTCTTGTGAGCGGATCAATGGCGTGCATCGTTAATGGATCCGACTCATCAGATTCCTTTCGTACCAGTTATGGACCCCTGACAATAAGCACGACTACGACAGCGGAAAACCCGAAAAACAGCGGCGAACCCCTTGTCTTCATACAAACCGATAAGCCGGTATACAGTCCCAACGACACAGTACGCTTCCGTGTCGTGTCGGTAAAAAGAGTGGGCAACAAACTGATGCCTGTGTTCGTGCCATTCTATGTCCAGATTTTGGTAAGCCATAATTTTCTTGATAACCAGTTTCGCGCATCAAACATCACCATTTTCGGTATCACATCTGTCTAATTTCAACAGGACTGGAAGTGCAATGTTGTGCAACAATTTAGCAACGCTAACGACACACGAGGTTCGAACACCGTGCATTTCAAATAGCTTGCCCGCAGAATTTAACAGTAAAGCAATTTTTGCAGTCGCCGGGTATTTTGCGGGAGAAGTGCCGTTATCCGCATATTTGCAAAACGCAGGTTGGTCAATTCGCGCGGTGGTCCGCGCCCCGGATGACACCAATAACAGCCTTGGAAATCCAGTACGTTCTCTGATTTTACAAAGAACTTAAGCACTTCGGTGTTGTATACTTGCAGAAAAAACGCAGCTATAGGAATTTTGGCACAATTAAGCACTACTGTAATACAAAGTAATTTAAAATTTACCCGTGAGACGTTTGCTTCGCACACTCTATTATTTTAGTCCAGAGATTTTGACCTCGATCCACGCTGCGACCCCAGCAAAGAGCCTACAAGCGTAGAGGAGGAACTGATCCGCCGTCACACGCCCCGTGATCCTTCCGATCCTGTACTGGCTAGTAAAATCTTCCTCATCGAAAGCTATCGTAAGTGAAATGACTTATTCAACACCATAAAATGCTTGATCGTTACTTTTTGTCTCATTCAACACCTCGCAGCTAAGTCGAGATTCGAAGTTCGAATAGTAACCCCGAAGACCTACTATGTTCCATCAATAGATGGAGAATTCCGCTTCGAAGTCATCGCTGAGTAAGTACTGTTTACCAATACCGGCAATACGCCCCCCTCGCTATTTTTGCTGCATATACGCTGTATCTGGTTTGTTTTAATAGCTACACACCCGGAGAAAGCGTCATAGGAAAATTTGACGTCAGAGTTAGCCGACCGCGTTATGAGGATGGCGTTTATGTTGCTGTATGGAATCAGTCCATTTCTCCGGTAAAAATCTGCTGATTCAAAAGCGATGCTCTCTACATTTGGAAGCGAACTATAAGACCAAGATTACAACGTTGCAGGGACAATTCCGGTCTATTTCCGTGCCGGCACAAACGGTGATGACCGACTCCGACGAGTTCGATACCAAAGTTATCATCGAAGTTGACTTTACCGAAGTCGCTACCGGGCATCAAGAGCAGGCTAAAGCTATCGTTGTGCTGCGAACGGAAGCGTATATTATCAAGATTAACGCGGGCAAGAAGACCTTCTTACCTGGATATCCGTTTTGGCTGACGGCTACGATCTCTGACTGGGACGGTCGCCCGCCACCTCCCAGCACCAAAAAAGTGCAAGTGGATGTGTTCTATTACGTTTACGATTCACTTGGCCAGTCGAAGAGGGTTTCGCTGAGCGGCGGTGTGAGCTGCGCTGGACAGAGATTTCCGCCTTCGTACGGCGGCGGCTATGGCAGTGGTGGCTATGGTGGTAATGGTTACGGTGGTGATGGGTACGGTAGTGGTCGCGGTTACGGAAGAAAAAAGCGCAGCCTGGGTTTTGGTTCGTCGTGGTACGGTAGTAACGACGGCTGTAACGCGCTCCCTGATACGCAGTTTGCGGAAATTCACGCCGACGGAACAGTTTACTTCGACATAGCTCCTCCAAAGAATGCTGGTGAAGTCGCAATCACCGTTGCGTACGAGGGAAAGGTGGACGCTGTCAGTCTCCTGGCGAAACAATCTCCCAGCGGGAGTTTCTTGGAGATCCTGCAGGAAAGCGAATTGATCGCCGGGGAAGTGGCAGAATCACGGCCATAAAGCGGACCAATGAACCGCTTCACGTTGTGGTATGTTTTCAAATACCTCGGGGCTTATGGTACTGAACATTCGAACTACAATCCACAACGTCTTTCAGGTGCTGTCCAGCTCGAATTCCAGTTTCCTGTGGAGCGATTCGATTGTTAGAGCCGGTCATTTTGTAATGGCATTCGTACCGATTGCGGAAGCGATGGGTCTAGCAGGACGACTGATCGTGTATTACGTTGCGAGCGATGGCGAACTGGTTGGAAACATTATGGCGCTGTCGGTTGTCGATGATAGAGTATGTTTAATGCATACTCCTGCAGTGAAGTACTCATACAAGTTGTGGAGTCCATGAAACTGAATGACTTTGTTTTATGAATCTATAGGTCGGGCTATCGGTACATACGGAGCTTGGTCAGCCGCATGCTATGCCGGGTGAAGAGATTTCCTTGCACGCTTACACGACTCCGTCGGCGTTTGTGGCGTTTCTTGCCCTGGATGAGAATCTAGCGCGTCTAAGAATGGTTCATGATATAACCTTTAATATTGTACGTAAGATGTGGCCCAGCCTCAAACTGAATGCATTACGGAGATAATAAATTTTCAGCTTGAAGCCAGAAAAGCACCGCCACAACCGAAACTGCCTGAATACTATGCCGCGTTCATGCTGTCCGTTGAGGACTACTTTACGGTATAATCATTACGATATACTATATTTATTAACAATCATTTCTGAAACAGATATTCTATGCATCTTGCTACCTGTATGCAGAAACCAACCGATTCCGGCCCGGTGCAGCAGTTCCTTCTGACCAATACCAAACTTCCAGCAACGGTGCCTCGATGGGGGCATTTTCTTGGTTATTCAACGTCGCGATCGGGATACAGCGGTGCCGACGTGGATGGGTCATCCAAGAGATACACACCAGCATCGTACGCAGATGACGGTTACTTTGGTGATGACCCTGAGCGCATCTTTGGGTCAAACTACGATGTGGGATTTCAGAAAGCTCGTCCCATCAACTACAATTTCCAGCAAAGCTTCCTGTTTGCAACTGCAACCGCTGAGTAAGCTTTTCAGAACCGCAAAGGTTCGCAGAGTTATTTACGGTTAATTTGTTCGAAAATTTCCGGCGTTTACAGCGACCAAGGCGTTGCTGTAATCAAGCGTAAAGTTCCAGACGCCATGGCATCGTGGTATATCTTTGCGTTCAGCCTGAGCAATACCAGCGGACTGACAGTGCTCCCGGAACCAAGAAGAGTTGGTTTAATTATACTGAACTGTCAAAGTACTTCTTCCGCTAATACGCTTTTTTTCTAATGCAGTTAAAGACGTTCCGATCATTTTTCGTGAGCTTGAACCTGCCGTTCAGTGTTGTCCGCTTGGAAAATCTTACCGCGGAAGCGGTAGTTTTTAACTACATTACGCAGCGCTGAATGTAACAGTCCTTCTGAAGATTCGACTACCCGACAACACTACTGTGGCCTACACGAAAAAAGTTCTGTCGAAGCCGAAGGAACCGGTGATCGCAGCGTTCAGCATTGTCCCTGAACAAGCTGGTGAGCTGAATCTCCAGGTCACCGCTAGAGCCGATTTTGAATTCGATCAGGTGGAGAAACGTCTGGTTGTGAAACAGGAGGGCGTCACACAGTATTATTCTAAACCGATCCTGATCGATCTGCGCAACTCGACTAAGTTTGATGCGGTTTTGACGCTCCCAGTCAGCCCACCTGGAAAATTTGTCGGATCCGATAAAGTAGCGGTTAACGTTGTCGGCGATATTCTTGGCATTTCGACGCGCAATCTGGACAAGCTCATCCGGCTGCCGCTCGGGTGTGGTGAAAACAGTTTAGCGCTTATGGCACCCAGTGTCACAGTGTGGAAATACCTGGAAAAGACCGGTAAACTGTCCGCTGCCAAACGCCAAGAGCTTGAGAAAAGCATTCAAATCGGATACCAAAGGTCACTCATGTACCAGCATCAGGATTTCTCGTTCGGAGCTTGGGCCAGCACGCAACCCAACGGTTCCTTTTTTGCCTGGTCAGCTTCCGATGAGAACGGCTCCACTTGGCTGACCGCACGAATCGCCAAAGTTTTTGCCGAAGCCTCCCAGTTGGTTTCCGATGTTGACGAAACCGTAGTTCAGAAAATGTTTGCTTTCCTTATCGATAAGCAGCGAGAAGATGGCCACTTTGAGGAGAGCGGGCAAATCTTGGATAAAGGCGTCCAGAGTGGAGACTCCAAAGATGTCTCTTTGACCGGATTATGTGTTCTTGCGTTTGTCCAGTACATAGACACTGGAAAAGCTAATGTGGAGAACCTGGGTGACTCGATGCAAAAAGCGGTCATGTATCTGGAATCGCAGCTGGAGGGATTAGGAAATGACTCGTTCGCTTTAGCGGTTGCGTCGTATGCACTGGCTAAAGCAAACAGTCAAAGAAAGCTGGATGCCCTGACTCTGCTGAGCGAACGAATGGTGGCCAATTATTCCACTATCCACTGGACAACTGGAAGCACTGGTCAGGAAGTTAACATGGACGCGGAAATGTACTCCACTGATGCAAAAGACGTGGAAGCGACATCTTACGCACTGTTGGCATACATCGCCAATGGAAAACTCAGTACCGCAACGAAGATTGCTTCATGGTTGATATCCAAACAAAATGCAAACGGCGGTTTCTTCTCAACAGCGGTGAGTTTGGCTCGGCCGTTCCTTATCAAATTATTGAATCGCGGTTAATTTCACTGACTTTCAGGATACGGTGGTGGCGCTGCAAGCGCTAGCGGAGTTTGCGGTAACACTAGGTGCCCCTTCATCGGTACAAATCGATATTATCGGTGGAGCTAAGAAAAGCAGCTTCGCCATCACTCCGAAAACATCGCTGGACGTGCAATCGACCGAGTTTCCGACAAAGCCAGAGAATGTTGTGATCCACGCTAAAGGAACCGGAGTCGGTGTTGTTTCTCTCAGCTGGATTTACAATATTAATCAACCCAAAGAGACCGCTGCCTTTGACCTGACTGCCACCTACGATATTCATGCAAAACAAATCGGCGTGAACCTTTGCGCAACGTAAGCAAATATCGATCGTAATGTCGCACCGATATACTCGAATTTAAACCCGTGCATTATTCTGGACTATAGGTACTTGCGGGATGGTGCGAGCAGTATGGCGGTTATGGAAATCGAGGCCCTTTCGGGCTACCAGTTCGATGAACGGGAAATTGACAAACTTCCGAAAGAAATACAACCCATGAGAAAGGCTGAGCTGAGCAATAAGGATAGCAAGCTGAATCTGTATTTCGACGAGGTAATTGCAAAGTGTACCACAGCGTTCATGGCAGTGTCATTATCACCTTACTAAAGATTAGTTGTTTTTACTTATAAGGTAACAACGTCTGGCATGTGCTTCCGTGTGACGATGTACCGCCTCTACAAAGTGGAAAATCTCCAGAATCAGACAATTGTGATCTACGATTATTTTAATCCCAAAGATCGACGTATGGTTTCTTATGATGGTCCGTCTCACGCTTTTTGAAGTCCTTGGATTGAAGCTGACATCTTTCCATTTTAACTTCTTTTTCCAAAATCCGAATTTGCACGCATACAGTAATTTGGATTACTTATCTATCTCGTCATTGACATTAATAATTTCGATGGTTTGTATTTCTGCCAGTATCGCATTGGAGTAGATATTTAGTGTACGGGTTGGTTACGGTAACTCATAAATTATTCAAAAACGTCTTGAAGGGTGTGACCTATAATCCTATAATTCAATAGCAGACTACAGCAGGCAAATTGCATTTTGTAAACACATCAGTTTACTAAGCAACTACAAAATCTTTTGGCAACGTTAAAAAATGTGCCTTTTTGCTGACATCAAATTTATGGACAGAGAACATTAATTACGTGTACAGAAGCAATTTAAGCAGGCCGGTAGACATATTTGCCATATCTGAAGTCGTGTAAGACAGTCTCAAACCCAACTTTTCAGATTAGAGCGGAAAATGTAGATATATCGCACTGCGCATGGATTTGCTATACATGTCCAGAATCAGCTGACAGACGTTATTTCATAAATATATTCATTATACGAGAAACGGGTCATATGTTGACCGTTCGGTTTTTTGTGACTGCGTGCGCTTAAATTTCTACAGTCACTGTCCGCGTAGAACTATTGCCAGTCAAATACGACTATACGAGTATATGTATCATACAGCTAGAGTAGGTTATGAACTGATGCGGCACTTTTACGAACGTATATTATTATTACGAGAACAAACGGCATACAATAATTTATACCAGTTTCTCCCGCTGCACTGCTGCCCACAAAAGTTTGTACTGTAAATGCAATGCTACTTTTCACACACAGACCATCTTTTGACCAGTTCGGGCAGATTTTATCTGCATTTACCGGGTTGATAAACACCCTAAAAACCGGTTAATCCACCAGTTTTGCTGTTAGTTTATCTTGAATGAGAAGATGTGCCACCTGAATACTCACAGCAGTGAGCTCGGAAGAAGGGAGTCTCTCATTTACCAGCAACGCAGTTTCATCGACTGTGATCGGTATTCGGTGCATGACCAATCTTACTTTAGAGTGGATAATTTAAACTCACGAAACGTTTTTTTCAAGATGGTGATTAACAGCTTAACGGCTTAATACCAGAAAACGAAAGCCGCAAACATGGAGTTTGTATATCATACACAAATTCTCATCCTGTTGATTAACCTCGTAAATGGGCTTGATTATGTCGTTATTGCGGGAGACAGTGTTCGGCCGAACAGCGTATTTCCGGTGTCTGTTTTGGTTTTTCATGCCGCATCGGAGGTGCACATTAACATGGAGCTTACTGCAAACCGGTAAACAGCTTTGTGTTTTTGTTATGTTTCGATAAATAACTATATTCGTATCGAAATAAAGGTCTTCCAGTGGACGTGACAACGGCTTGTTGACGTTCGCAAATTCGGTTGTTATCTGGCCGGATAAACTGAATCGCCTCGAGATCCAAGTACGTATCATGTAGCCAGTGTAAATTAAAAGTACTCCAGATTAGACGCAGATGCGTCGTGCAATAAGCAGTGGTACTCGCGTAGCGCCACTTGAGGTTTGTTCGGTTTAATAAACGAATTGGCAAGTGACTGGTCACCGAGTGATGTTTTGCAATCAAAATAAATGTGCTCGACTTAAAGGGGCGCAAAATCCTTTGTCAAGGGCAATATTATTACCGGGTATTCAATTTGATCCGGTAAAAATTTTACAACGAAGGAGATCGCAGAAGTGGTCAATCCGCTTCTCCCGTGAGATTACACATAACACACTCCTACTCGTAGTGTTGGGCAGCACCAAGAATCTGACAGATACAGTCACAATGCAAAGCAAAACCGGTTAACCATGTCTCCGTAGACGAGAGCGCCGGGCTTTCAGCGTATACTTGCAGCGCATTCTTGCATTTTGATCTCCCATAAATCAACTCGCGACTGAGTTTTAAAAAATGCAATCAAATTAAGGAAGGGGCTGTGTACTGAAACGAGCGGAAGTGCCACAAAACTTGTGCTGCAGCCTGAATGTGCTATACCAAACCGAATTAACCATTACTGTTATTGGGGTTTTACGTAAGGTCGGTGACCTTACAGCAGACGAGGATATTACCCTTCGCGTTAAGGGCACCGATTCCTTGAACTTCTTTTACGCTGAATATCCACAAATCAGCGTGTACAACAAAGAGTCAGAACGACGGAGCCACAAATATCCCAGAATCATCGTCCAAACCGACCAGCCGCTGTACACCTCCAGCGATATAGTGCGCTTCCGAATTGTGTCGGTGGACTTTGTTTTCGATCAGCTTATACCAACGTTTATGCCATTCAATGTCCAGATTGTGGTATGTCTTCTGTCAAAGTTGCAATACTTGCTGCCTCTGCCAAACTGCGAAGGGTAACGAGGTATACTGTTTTACTGTTACAGGATGCACTGGGGCACGTTGTACGGCAATACAGTAATGCCAACAGTTCACCTGGTAAACAGACCACAATAATTATTTGCCTTTCTGCAGTATATTCTGCTTACATAATTGCTTTTTCTGCAGTCAGCGGATACTTTGCGGCGGAGATGCCGTTGTCTTCGGATCCGCTGCTGGGCACCTGGACAATTCGCGTGATCAACGCGTCGGTTGAATATCCCGAGAAGCCGGTAAATAAAAGGGTTGCGTTTGCTGCAGCCGTCGGTAGATGTTCTCCATGAACAATGTACTATTTTAAAGTACGTAGACAGGCATATTAATAAGAACCGTAATCGTAACGGTTGCATTAGTCATGTGGTATCTTCGCTGTAGTGACCCGTTTCCCAAATCTGCACTAATACAATTTCGGTTTCCCAGTCTGGGCGTTTCTCTTACAGAATTGTGGACAGTCATTGTACAAACAACAATTTGCTTTACAGACAACACCGGTTCCATGGAGTCGTCGATGTTTTTTCGGTTGCGCAGTCCCACTCGATCCCGTTCTAGCCAGCAAAGAATTTACCGTCGGCAAAATCGGTTCGTTAATCAGCCAACAACAATTCCTCTACACAAATCAAGTGATTATAAGGCGAAAAATGTTTCCAGTTTCACAAAGATTTGATGTACACATCTCTACCAACATGACCAGCCTTGTTCCTTCAGTGGACGATGAAATCCATTTCAAACTTGCAGTAAAGTATGTAATTCGGACTTTGTTTTAACAGTGTTGTTAAACTCCCAGGTAACAGTTGTATCTCAAGATTCATACTGTTGTCATAAAATGCTAGCCAAGTACGGTAATCGACACCAGGCACCGCCAGTAACATTCATTTTTGGGGTTATGATAACTGATAGGTACACATCCGGGAGACCTGTGCAAGGGGTATTCGACATTGCGATACTGCAACAGTCAGCGTTTCGTGCAGGGGAGAAAGCCCGGTACACGGCAATATGGAACACGTCAACATCCGCGGTAATAATTTGCATCCTTTTTAGTAGCTTTGTACACAAGCCCATCGATAACTGTTAACTTTTTTCCAGGACGACGAAGGCGAAGCATATATTACTGCTCCCATGTTAGAGGAGTTACGAGCAAAACTACCGCTAATGCAATATGGAAACAAATACGAAGCTGTTATTCTGGCCAATTTCACAGAAGCCGCCACCGGCCAGATGCGGAACGCTTCAATTGCCTTGCCGCTGCAACACGAGCAGTGGGACATTAAGTTAAGTACGGAGATGCCGACCTTCAAGCCAGGATATCCCTACACACTACAAGCCCGCATCGTCGACTGGGAGGGGCGCCCACTACCACCCAGCGCCACGAAATTAAAAGTCACCGCTAACTTTTACGGTTACGATGGCGTGAACAGCACCTGGAAGGCAGTTTCGGCCCATGAGGAAATAAGCTGCATAGGACCGTGGTTTCGCCAGCCTACTAACAGTACCGGCAACAGAGAGAAGCGACGCGTTAAACTTCCACGTTATGGATTTCCTCATACCGCCGAAATTGAGCAGTTCAACCAAAATTTCTTCCTCAACGACGGCAACTGCCACGCTTCGCCTACCATTCTCACAGTGGAGGTAGCGCCAGACGGAGCAGTTAGTGTCAGTATGCCCACTCTGCGTAATGCGGATGCCATGGTTGTCAGTATCGCCTATTTGAATCAGTCACGGATCCTTCAGCCTGTTTATGGAAGACTGTCTGCAAGCGGTAGTTTTCTGGAAATAATCCAGCCCGTGCTTGGCTTACGAGCTGGAGAAATGGCAGTGTTCCGAATCGAGACCACCACGCGAACGAACGAGCCCATTCATGTTGTCGTAAGTCAGCAAAAAACGCTGAAAACTGTACATCGGTTTATTACATTGAAAACTTATTTTGAAAATAGTGATTACCTAAACCTTGAAGGTGACCAAAAAGTTACAGCATGTCTTGGAATTTTCAGCTCCTCTCAAACTCCGATGTGAGTTTTCTGTGGAGTGATTCGATCTTGCAGCTTGGTCAGCAAGTAAACGTTACGGTGTCCATCGCAGAAGCGATGGGACGAGCGGGACGCCTCATTGCCTACTACATTCGGAGTGATGGCGAACTGGTCGGCAACATTATCCCGCTGTTGATTGAAAGTTACCGATCACCCACAAGCGTAAGACGTCGATGTCGTCATACTGCCATAATTACTGTTGACGTTATTAAACGAGTAGGTTCACTACAGTTTATTTTTTGTGGGATAGGTCACTTTGTCAGTCACGTCCCGCAACCGGTCATCGTATGTACAACCGGGCGAAGAGATCCGCATCCAAGCACACACAACTCCTTCAGCACTGGTAGCGTTCCTAGCTATTGATGCGAGCCTGCTGCACAAACAATTCAGCGACGACATAGTGACTGCTGCTGTATGTCCAAAGAAACTTTATGATTACGAATTTATGGTAAAAGTGCGTTGCTTCCGTTGCAGACTTACGCACCAGCGAGCCGAATGAAAACGAATCCACATTTTTTACTCTCATTTGGCGATTATCTTACGGTATGGTATTCCTTTGGCGAAAGCAATAATATTATATAGAAGTAACAGACAAAAGCTATTCGAACTGGGAGCTGTGTTGTTCTGCACAGAAACCGGTGGATACAGATCCTGTGCAGCACTTTATTCTGACAAATACCAAAGTGTCAACATCCATCTTGTCAGACCGATTATTCAAGTCTCGGCAATGGTGTATTGGACTGGATGTGGGTCCTGGATGCGGTGGGGTTTCTTACTC